ATTAGATTGGAATAAATGGTAGGTTGTTTTTTTTTCTTCGATTTGAGATTTGTATATATCGAAAGTTTTCGGAATTCTTTCGAGAGATTTGGGGAGATTTGTTATAGTTTTAAAAGGTTTATAATGATTTAAATTTTTTTTACTAAAATATAATAATCTATAATACTTTTTCCTTAACGATCGATTATCTTATACAATTGTTGGATTGTTCAAAAAGATTTTTTAATCTATTTTCCAAAAGATCGATTAAATTTATTTCTTATAAATTCTGGATTAACAATATCATTTATTGATATTCGTATTTTTTTTCGAAAAGGTTTTATTATGAAAATAATTAATTTGATTTCTTTATTGTTAGAATCCTCAAAATTAGATTTGATAATGGAAAATAACAATATTGATTTTAAAAATCTTTTTTTTTTAGAGAGAATTTAAGGATTAATAAATAAAGTTTTATCAAATGTAATAACTTTTTTCTTAAAAACAATCTTGTTGTTCAAAATAGTTTTTTTGATAAAACAAAAAGATAGGAAAAAGATAAAAGAAATTGAAATATGAATAAAAAGTTTAATATATTCGATTTCAAAATAGTTTGAATTAATCGAAAAAGATAAAAAAGGTAATAAGAAGAATGTTTCAAAAGAGTTTAATCCTTCAAATCTATAAAAGGTCTGATTATCGATCCCAAATAATATTATAAATGATTCTAATCTAAAATAATAATTATCTTTTACAAAGTTAACAAAGTATAATTAAATATTTTCTTTGAAAACTATCTAATATAAATAAATTTGTTTTCAAATCTCTTTAGATTTGTTTTTGTAATCTTTAATGAAATATTCGAACTTTTTATATTTGATATAGTATTTCCTTATATTTTGATTATACTTTATAGAATTATTAATAAAGGGATATATAGAATCAATAGGGAAAAAAAGATTGTTTAAATTAGAGGAACTATTGTAATTGAATCTATTGTCAGCCCTAAAGTATAATGATCTCTTATCATTTCCTGATTGATTTTTCCAATTGTAATTATTATTATAGCCTTCACCTTCAAAGTAATTACAAAAAGGGAAAGGATTCGATTATATAATTAGTATAGATAACAATACAATTGAATATTGTATAATTAGATTATCATACTTTTCGAAAAATAAAGGATATATATTAGATGAATTGTATTTATTGATAAACTTTACAAAAACTATTTCAACTGTTTTTCCGAAACATTATTCGATGAATTTCTCAAGATTGTATAAACGATACTTTTTGTTAAATCAAGTTTCAGTTTATATAATAAAGTCGATAATATAATATAACTTTTGTATTATATTATAAACCTTTTATAGAATATTATAAATATTTGTATCCTTAATTATGATAATATAATGTAGAAATTCATTATATAGATCTTTGACAAATATAAAGATAATAATATTCAAGATGAATTCTTTAAGGAAATTGAAAATTTTGATTTTAAATATAGTATTTGTATCAACTTTAGGTTTATCTTGTTTTGATATACAATAAAAGAAATATAGAATATATTGATAATATATTGATAATAATTTGTTATTATATTATTCAAAGATTTCTATTTCGGATTATATATTGGTATCGAATAGATCTGAGATTTCGGTAAAGAATTTTTCGGATAATCGTGATTTGATATCTTCGATTTGGTTGATAATAATAGTATTACAGTTTTTCAGGATATCGTAGATATAAAGGATAAAGTCGATTCATTTTGTTGTATTATTATTATAAAGTATATATATAATCTTAAAATAAGTATTATTAGAAGAAAGAATAAATTCAATTAAATCGAAGTTATAATTTAATCGAGAAAACTATTTGAAAACAAAAATATTATTATCGAATCAATTGATAAAAATAAACTTCAGTTTCTTATAAACAAATTCAAAAGATATATCAGAATCGAAAACAAGAATAATAGGAGTATTGATAAATTATATAAACAAAGAATAATAACGATCTTTAATAAAATCGTAAATGAGATTATTCTTGAATTTTTCAAGTATTTTCGAAAGTACACTTAAAATTACAATTTTCTTGTAAAGATTCTCAAGATCAAGATTAAATTCAAGAAAGAACAATGATAACATCGAAGAATATATCAACTTGAAGGATTAACAAAAGGAATCAAAAATATCAATATTTAAAAGATAATATAAATAAAAATTGATATTATTAATAAAAGGGAATAAAATAGAATCGAAAGAATTTATTATAGATTCGAATTAGAAAACTATATTATATAGAATTTCTTGAAAATGTAAGATCGAAAATTAATCACCTAATCGCATTTAAATAGATTCGATAAAAGTTGTTACTTTTAATTAATCGATAAACTAAAGTAATATATAGTTACTTGAAATCGAAAAGAAATAAGAAAATCGACGATTACTTTTGAAATCAAGAAAATGAAATTGTAAGAAACGAAAAAATAAGATTATTCGTAACTTTTCGATTGATTAATTGAAAAAGTATATATAAAAATAATAAACAACAATCTAAAAGTTTGAAAAGGATTTGAAAACAAATTGATAATTTTCGATAATAATATATAAATAATTATTTCAAAGAACAAATAAATACTTTATATATATAAATAATCGAATAAATACAAATCTCAAAATAAAATTGAGAAATCCTATAAGTATTGTTAGAAAAACGAATAGTTTTAAAAGGTAAAAATATAAATTGAAGAATAGAATTGACAAAATATTTATACCCGGATCAGCATTAAATCTAAACTAAACTAGTATATATATAACCTGATAAAATTACTCTTGTTATACTCCGCGTACAGAGCAAAAATGTCGTCAGATGTCGAAATATGACCCAGCCAATTATTTACCCATATTGAGCACTTTCCCAACAATATAGATTTGTTGTATATCTCCGGAAAATTGTTGAATTGTACTGTCATGCATTTCCTAGTTACAAAGTATACTCTGATCGAGGGTCTTCGTCACTATATTCAAATTTTTAAACATTAACTTGTCAATAAACAAGTTCCAAGCACCCCACATGGTTAACCTTTATACGCCACCCGTCCAAGTACCGCACACTAATGTTGTACTCTAATTATGATTATCACTTTGAGCAGAAAATCATGAAAAGGTGATGTACTAGTCAAGTCTATAGGTTCTAGATCAATTGATAGGCATCTTTAACGTCCTCAATTTAACACTAATCCAAAGGAACCTATAATCCATTTAATGGAAACTACCAAGCTTTGATAATCCACGCTAGTCTTCGCTAGTTCTCGCTAGGCTCCTTAGCGAAACTTAAAGGAGGAATCGCCCGTATTAGTAATCGTTAAACATCACTTCCGTCACTTCCGTCACCGAAAATTGAATTATTATAATGATTAAGCTATCCACTGTACTAAACCATACCCCTAAGGGTATGAAAACCCTTTCATTTATAAGCTATATACCATTCTCATACCAGCCTCTGCTTCCGTCACTCATCACTTACTCATGCGCCCAGAAAGTATAAATCTCTCCATTGTTAAGCACATACCGCACGATAGTAAACTACAAGATGGAATTAGTAGGCATATAGAAAAGAGATGTGTTCTAGACGATAGGGGTGTAGATTGAAGAATAGAACTGACAGGGTATTTATACCCGGATCAGCACTAGATCTAAACTAAACTAGCGTACATGTGACCTGATAAAATTACTCTTGTTACACATATATAAACGAAGAGTCTTATACTTCCCGGCCGCACGGCCAAGTCAATCTTAGAACAAGTAGAGTTTCTTCTAGTGCTCAATAGTAAGTACTAAAATCAACAACAGCCAGTCATACATCCTTCAGTCCACTTTCAATCTATAGTTTTCACCCGGGTGATCATTATTATCATAAAAATCTTGTAAATATCAACCAAATATTCATCTCCATCCCAATACAGCCCCTAACAGCAAATATCATTACGAATTACTCTTATTAAAAGAAGTATCAAAATATAATCTAGCTCAAAAAACAAACTAATAAAAATTTCGATAATTATATTATTAATATCCAATAGAAATAAATCAATAAATAAATTACTAATTATAAATAAAATGGATTTCCAAATTCATATTATATATTATACAATAAAATTCTCAATTTAAAATCTATAATCAAAGTTCAAAATCAAAATATAATTATATTTATTTTAAAATCAAGTGAAAACTATCAATTTTAAATCTAAAAAATATAATATAATTTATAATATTTTTCTTTTTATCTAAACTTGAAATAAATTTTTTTAAATTAACATATAAAATCTTAAATTTATTTTAAATAATTAAACAATTATAATGAATCTTTATTTATAAAATATATTTAATTTCTATAATTCTTTTAAAACTTTTTCAATTTTAAATAATTAAATACTTTTATCAAAAAAAATAAAGTTAAAAATTAAATTCAAAATATCAATTATAAATATAATCTTACAAGATTAATATACTTAAAATCCTATTTATAATTCTATACACCTACTCACTAGTGATTAATATATTATATTATAAATCTTAATATCCAAAATCAAAATCAACATCACCTACTTTACTCACTTTACCCCTTATACCCCCATACCCCAAACTCCATACCTCATAAGCCCAACAACTTTAATTAATAAAAATAAACTCGCAATCCGATTATAATCTTATATACAAACTTACTTTCCTATTTTTCCAAGCTTCACTTTTTAACCTCCCTTTCCCTCTTCTTTCCAAACCACCTCAACCACCTTCCCCACCATCTGCACCTCTTCTCATTATCCAACTTCAGCCCCTCCTTCGAAAAACAAATCTCCATTCAAACTACTCAAACTACTTACACCACCACATCACCACATCACCACACCACTCACTCCTCACCCCTCTCCCCAACCCAACCCAACACACTATCCACACACTAAAAACACACATAAAAATATCACAATTCCAAAAAGGCAGTAAAGTAAATTCCATCAGTCAAGGTATCATAGAATGAAACGACAAAATAAAAACAATAAACGATCAAAAACCTATAAATCCATCTATATAATTCTGTATCCTCTCTCTTATACCCGATTTCCAAACTCTCAATTCCTATTCCATTTCTCTTTCTATTCCAAATCCATTTCCAATTCCTAGTAAAACTGTATCACCATCCTCTAATCTCATCCCCACAACGAAGGAGGATTCTATAAACATGTAATTAACCTAACCCATTTGTCCAACCAGCGAGTGACAATTACGCCAATGCCCCCAAGCCATACTATACATGATATATATACCCTCAAGACAGGAAACAAACACCAAACAAAAAAAAACAATATATATCTCAATACCACCTTCCAAGTATGAAATATCCCAATCCGATCCAACCTTGCATTCCTTATCCTGTTCAATCCCATTGTACTACCTCTATAGTAGCATCATAATCCAACAATAAACCAACGCTGCGATTCATTTATGACGTGTAATTTCCATATCTATATCATAAACATGAAGATATCTTTATGTAGTCCTCCGACGCCGTAGCCAATAATTGGCATGTGAATCAACCATAATGCAAGTTTCCTCCATAATTTATAAACAATTTGAAGCATACCCTTACCGCTCCATGCTCTTATCCAAACCTTGTTTTTACATAATAATACAAACCCTGTCTGTGTGATTTGACTCTTTTTCCTTGTCTTTGGCCTCAAATTCCAAAGCTCTGCTTCGCCTTTTGCCCTTCTTACTCCCTTTGCGAGACATCGTAACATTTGTCTCGGTTGCTTTTGTGGCTTCCGCATTGGAGTTGAGGTCGACGGAGCTATCTAATCCGGGTGTCACGGGTATAGCAGGTGTTGATTCCTTGTTCAGATCTGGCTTTTGTAAAGACTCTTTACTTGTCCTTGATATCAAACCTTTGAAGTATCCCAATGACTTGCGGTTTTCATTCGAGGAACTTTGTGGCCGACTTCGTGATGTCTTGCTCCTTCGAAATGTTCGTGACGTTCTGGGGGTCGCTGGTTCTTCACCGGGCGTAACAGAAGCTGAATCGTAATCTAACTTGTCAACGCTAACATTACTTGCATCTGTGGCGGCAACGCTTCCGCGTCTATCATCATCAAGAAGATTGAGACTTGAACGTGGCCGATCGATTTCGGATGAAAATCTGACGCTTGGGGTCTGTCCATCATTCGGCCGAGGGCTAAAATATCCTTCATCGTTGCAGTTGCCATTATTCACATCAGGGCTTGCTTGGGAAATCTGGACATCTATACTCGGAACGGATGAATTCGTGTACGACGGAGGTGTCGAATTTCCGAGGAGATTCTGCAGCTCCTCGGGCGAAAAGTTCGCATAAATAGGAACAAATTCATACCACAAGGTAACAGGCGTGCCGTATTTGTCTGTTGCAAGCGCTTCATCGATATCGACGCGGGCTACTCTATTCCCATCCCTTGCGATATCATCGTGGATTACCCAGCGCTCCTCGACATAATCTGGTGGTTGCTGACTATCGTTGGATCCTGCAAAATCCAATTCACCATCCGTCTCGCCATCCAAGCGAACAAGCGAGATGTAGTGTCCACGTTTGATAGATTCTCCCCTGTGGCAGATCATGGATCGAAGGACCAGCTCGTAACGATTGGAAATTATTATATCGTTTTCGTTTCCTTCATCTTCCTTTCCCTCAACAATATGAGGTAGTTTCATTTTCTTTGGGATGTCAATATGAGTTTTATTCTTTTGTAGCATCTCTTTGCCGTCCATTCCCATGACCATACAATATCTCTTCAGATCAAACCCGAGCATTGGTTTATGTTCTTGGATCCGATGAGCGAATTCTTGATTGTTTGCAGGAGCTGGTTTGGAAGACCAAACTATGTTACCAATTAGTACAGGAACAGTCTTAGGTGGAATATTATTTGAGTTTAAATGGCAAAAAATGGGGGACCAACGATTGGACGGACGAATCAGTCTAGATAATATAAATGCGTCCACTTCGACCTCTCCATCAGCTCCTTTGCGAGTAGAATTGCGACTCATACTGCGGTATAATGAGCTTCGGTCTTGTGTAACCTCTCTGACGAGCTGGTTATGGAAAGATGACTGGCCTATCATCTCTAAAGGAGTCGTAGGCGGAGTAGCAGATTCGGCTTCTATGTCCTCCACATGCTCTGGGATGGGTTTCTCGTGATGATTTTCAGCCGTTTCTGGTAGCCGTGGTTCGATACGTCTATTGATCTTGACAAAAGAAGCCAAGGAGTATTCTATACATTTTTCGAGCTTCAGAGGACCTTGACAGTCTTGATCAGTTGGAATTGAAACTGGAATCGTTCGCTCTTGTGAAGTTCTATGATCATCCTGTTCGACTATACCACCATGTTCATAATCAACTCTCAAGTTAAGCATGGGCCAATTGAGGATATCACCAATCTTCATGTGGGCTTCTGTCGGATCTTGCTCTTCATCCTTCTTGAAGTCATTCCAACCACATTCATGCAAACAATCCAATATGCGTTCGGTCTGTTCGAAATTAGTAAGTCAGTCAAGCATAGAAAGGAATGACTAACAATGGCAACTTCAATCAAAATGCCTTTCCTCATGAGATTTACCCATAGACGAATCAATTGAATTAATTTTTGTTTGGAAGGATCTTCGTAAAAGTTGCTGAGTAACTCTTGAAATTGGGTAGGAACTGTGAATAAGGAAGCTAGGAATGAATCTAGCCAACAGCTTTTTCCGCGAGAATTTTCGGCTCCTAGCATGGTTATGCTTGGATCATATGGATAAATGACTCCGGAAAGCGATTTTTGGATTACTACCAAGATTTGATGTGCTTTATCTGGATCTCCTTTGGCATAATTCGAATTCAAACAGAACAAAATTTGATCATCCTTCACATCGTTTCGTCCTTCTGATTCCAACAGGGATTTGATCCGTGCAATCTATATTCCTATCAGCGGAGCTTCCCAAGTAATTATGCAGTAACTGAACCTTTTCCTTCTCTTCATCTTCTTCATTTTCCGACTTTGTTTTGTTGATATATCCAAATAGCGAGGTGAAGATCTCGGACACGGAGCGGATCTAACAAAGGACGCGGAGTTAGTACTTATGGTAGCAGAATTTGGTATTGTTGCGACGGAGCTATGACAGAGTTGCGCCTTGAAATTTGGAACGAATAAGAGACGGAAATGTCCTGAATATGTCCCAAATGGCAAAAAGACGATGGTGTGAGACGTGGACTTTGCGGGCGCATTACCTTCTTCTCTGCGGACTTTTCGAAAGATTTTAATTCCCGTGATTTGTCTCGTTTGTGCGAATTCCCCTTCTCTTTCTCCTTCTTGGTAGAAAATCTTTTCACCTTGCCATTCATGATGAAGGATGTCTTCGCAACTCTCTAGCAAATCCCGTATGTAGATATTGTTGTTGCGGAGGAATCGTTGGAATAATTGGACCCTGAATTTGAGGTGGTGGGGTTCGATATGGTGGTGTACAACAGGGTACGACTAACGCTGGGATGGTATGTTAAACTCCATATCATATCCTAAAGACGAAATGAATCGAGTGGTTGATTGAATTTGCTCGTTGAAGCTTCGCAGATGGATTGCAGGTGTTGGAGCTATGAGTACTTGAGTTGGTTGGTTGAGCGGGTGTATGTTGATGTATGTATTGAGTGTACGTGAGTGTACGTGAGTGTACGTGAGTGTACGTGGGCAGGTATTTGAGAGTACCTATGCTATGTGTGGTAACTTTGACGGAAAAGCACAAACTGTTGGTGTTGTTTTTATTCTTGTTGTGGTGGGCTATCGTTCTTCTTTAATGAAGAGGATCGGTGGATGAGAACTTACGAAGGATAAGAGGTAAGAGGGAGGATAAGAACAAGAACTCCAACTCCACCATCTGTTCGGTGCAGGGTGTGAGATTTCTCCGAATGGTTCTATTACTACCCAGGTAGGTAGGAGGTAAGAGGTTAAGAGATACACTTTACTGTACTCGTAATGGGTAAATGCTGATCCTTGCCGCATGAGCGTTTACATACTAATTAAAGCTTCCTTGAGTTGAGCCAATCAATTGAAAATCCACCACTGCTGCTTGGTAAATCAATCTGATGCTCAAGTGGGTGCGTGCGTGCTCACTGCAATCAAGTATCGTGTCTTAGGTAAGCAATATTATGCTTGGTTGCCTCATATCGAAATTAAGGCAAATCTGGAGATATTTTTTGATATTGTCCTTGGGGGAGAGAGTTGAACCAATCTCTCTCGACACACACAACAACATGGCTTTACGGGATATATCATCGACGTTATGTCGATTTTCTAGAAGAGAAATAAGGTCAACGCCAGGAGCGATAGGAAGGAATTGTCGCAGATATGCATCTGGAGAGACTGTTGCAGCAAAGGAAATCCCAGAAGACTTTCAAGATCTCGAATCGCAATCATCATTTACTTCAACATCTGTGCCAAATGAAGTCATTGAAAGTTATGACCCTTTAAAGAGTGCCCAGGGAAGAAAAAGGGAACTTCCTGCTAGTCGGTATGATTGCGACAATACTCACAGGAGAAAAGAGAAGACAATGCTTATTATATCTTCTATAGATACCAATTTCGATCACCAAGATACTACCGAGGACCCCTCCATCCTCATCAACCTCCACCGAGATCCGATCCAGCATCTCGAGAATTCGTTCCTGGCCCATTTGGTTCCAATCGTCTCGAACAAACCTATACATCCACCATCTCCCACGATATCATGACCATGGCATATGTTCACAAACCTCCCGGAACCGTCACAATTCCCAAAGACGATCGTTTACGAACGTGGGATGACTCCTCACCGTATCATAAGGGTAGACCAAAGAGAGGCCCTCGTGGTGGAGATGTTTTACGTCTTATTGAACAAGATATCAATTGGCGCAATATTCCTAAAATCGAAGAAATTACAGTACATTCGATGATTAAGGGTGCACTTGGGGATTCCGCATATCTACATGTTGCTGGTATTGTACTACAATCAATTACAGGTGTTAGGCCAGAGGTTCACAAGGCATCACATAGTGTTGCACAATTTGGTATTCGAAAGGGCATGCCAGTTTCATTAACTTGTACTATGAGGAATAATGATGCACTGGAGTTTCTTGATAAGTGTATCAATGTGGTATTTCCAAAAATTAAGGATTGGCAAGGTGTAAAAGGTAAGTTACATTTGTGCATGTCGAAAGAAAGAAGAAGGCTAATTAAGATAGGTTCAACTGGAGATGGTAGTGGAAATCTATCATTTGGTTTCAACAGAGAGGGTACTATACTATTCCCTGAAGTTCAGGTCAACTATGATGTAAGAATTTTATCCATGATCTTAAGGTCTTTCATTTTGTTCCGCAACTAACACAATTCCCAAGATGTATCCACCTAGGTTGATTCCTGGATTTCACGTCACAGTCAAAACAACAGCGACATCTGATCGTCATGCTAGACTTTTATTGAGTGCTATGGGTATTCCATTCTATGGAAAGCTGGTTGATTAATTTCAATATTTTGACAATGAAGTAGATGAGATGATGTAGATCATGTGTAGATACAGCATGTAACACAATACCATCATATACAGCGCATCTAACTTCAACCTTCATTTTCTGACTTGCAGTGCAATTCTCTTCATGTCCAATATACGCTTTGGCGTTTGAAGACGGGATCATCGAGAACGAGTCCGAAGTTCTGAGCTTAGTCTCGTAAGCCAGCGGAATATTGGCTAACATCAAACATCCTCCCACCCGCCACCACCAACATACATCCTGCGTACCCAGCCTACGTATGTCCAACACCCGCTCGCTCAATTCGTTATATTTCCACAACTTCCATACTAGGTACTCAACGTCCCTTCTCACCACATATCATCTACCTATCTATCCTACCTTCTACCTTTTACTTTTTACCTTCTACCCAGCACACACACTCAGCTCTTCCTTCCCACTCATATTCACTCCTACTCCCCACTCCCACTCCCTGCCCCGTTCCCAATCCTCATCTCAAATTTCTATCACCCCTTGAATTCTATCCAAAATTCCCTTATTTAGATATATGATAGATAGTACAAACTTTAGGTTTTTATCTTTTCTCCTTAGCAAAACTGTATAGTGAGTATAGTGTATGAGAGGTTGTTTTCATTCCTGGGAGAATTGGTTTTTTGTAGAAGTTTCTAATCTTTTGTTGTGTGTTTTGCTTGTAGTTTTATATTGGTTTAATTTATAATTAAAGTTTAGATTTGTTTTTGTTGTATTTTGTTTTTACTCTTTTTGTTGATTTGCTTGAAGAGAAAGTCTTTTTTAATTATAAGGTTTTATAGATTTAATAATTATCATAGCTAGGGTATTATTTAATATATTTTATAATTATAAGATAAAACAATAACGATAACAATATCTTTTATTATCCTCTTCTTAAAACATAGACAAGACAATATACTACAAGCACATATCTTCAAAATCCACGAATGAAGAAGTAGTATTCATTGTAATGTCAACATTACGCAATTCTTCACATTTGTCTCGATTTTGAGAGTAATCTATCCTACTGTCTAGCAAAGCATGGAAGGCGAGTAAGGAAGGTATATACAAAAGATTGAGATACATATATAGATGTATTCCCTTGATTCGTTTATTGATCTATAAAACATCATTGTGGATTCCTGTGGTGTTTCTCGCAGCTTCGAATTCATGGTAATTCGCTCTCCCTACAATCTCACTGGGTACTGAGTGGTGTGTTAAAGTTCTTAATCCTTCAGATGCCTCTTATATAAACATCCCCTTTCCCCCCAAAGGCGATTAATCAAAATAAGATCAGGAAACTAGCACATCTCAAAATATCCAAATTTTCATCAATATTATGAACTTGCTTCTACGAATTATTCAAGGTTATGGAGATACAGCCATTCTGAGGGGAATATATCGGGAGTAATGATATTGTGTACTTACCAACAGTGGTATCGATAGCATGTAATGCCAGTGGCAATAATATAAGTATGCATAAGAGTAGGATGAGGTCAACGATACTCACCTGATGAGCCTTCTACAAGACATGCAGTGTCAGTCTCATTCTCTACCATTTCTTCCGTCTCTTCCATGCACAGAGGAAGGTTGCAGTACAATCATCTTTTCTCACCGCTAGGTCGAGCACATTATCACAGAATTCATAACGGTTTGTACACAAGTGTAGAAGACAAACTCGCAGTTCAAGATTCTTTATATATATGCTTACAATACACAAAAATAAAGATAGGAAAAGTAGACTGTAATTCTCATGCACACATTAGACTTTAGACTCCAGAAACTCACCACAAGCAAGAATTGCCGTGTTTTGAATTTCTCAACACTCCATAATATGTCATAGATCACACTCGACCTATGCACTAATTTACCAATTCGCCGACTTGACATTTTCCGAGACGGCATCCCCGGCCCTTACTTAACCTACTTCGCAAACTTGATTCATGTAATCTTAATATATAAACTACCACCGTAGCATCATCGACAAGTAATTGTTTAAGTCAAACATCACTTTTAGAACTTTGAGGTTGAGTTAGGAATGCTTTTATGCTAGGAGGATATAGAGTTTTAATACTCATAAACAGATAACTTATGTAAAAAATGAATTGGAATGGCTAGTTATGATGTGAAGAATGGGCAGTGCTGTTAAGATTTGATATTGGTGTCGGTAGAATTCTAATTATATTTATATATTAACAACAACAACATCACAAATCCCAGCGCAAAAAGAAAAATGATCAAGAAGAATGAAAATATTGAATGATAGTAAAAAACATATTCTTATCACCCTCCAGCAATTATACCAGACTCAGATTTCGAATGCTATTACAATTCGCCAAGTTCACAAAGTTATCGTTATACGGCAACGTACCAGCGTTTATATATTAGACCCTTCCTCTCCCATTGTTGACCATTGAGCGTGGTTTTTATTTTATTGGATATGTATGGAACTCTTGTGGGTGGGTTAGAGGTTTATATAGTTAGTTTCTAATACGGAAAATGAGGCTGGAGGTGTGGATTATTAGGTGGTATAGAGGGTTAATCAACCTTGGCTACCTATTGATATTCAATATCTTCACTGAACTCCTCTCAGTTTGCCTTGTGCAACCACCTCCCTGTCTCCGGCTTAGCTAACTGGCTGGCTTATCTCATACACAGTTTGAAGCGTGCTCCTTTTTAAGTCCTCGATTAGTATATAAACCACCACTTTCCCATATCCAATCCCCAACGATAGCTTTAGGAGATGTAAGACAATTAAATGGTCGATGTTGCAACCTGCAAAGCAGGGGTCACTGGGGTGGACTTGGCTTTATTCGTGGCGTATTTCATCTTTCACTATATTCCCTCATTTTACTGAATTTGAGCTCGAATCGGTAGCTAGTCATCAAATCGAGAAACAACTAATTATGTCTTCTGATAATTCTCACCATTGATAATAAGGCAAATAATTGATAATTAGAGGACTTGTAATTATAAAATTACAAGACAATACTTAGAATACTCGGTTGAATATGATCGGGCATGTGTATAAACAAGAAGATTTCCTGTCTGAAACCTATCAAGAGCAAGCAAATACTCGATCCTATTAGTTGGTGTTTTGTGATACTTTACTCTGACGATGTTAGACTGTACGAGCAGAAGAGGCCCCTTATATATCATTACAAACTTTGGACATCGTAGGGGCCGGGAGTGATTGTAGACAGAACGTGCTGATTCAGTGGGTCATATAGGTGTTGTTCAATTGAGGATAAATTGAGCTCCTATCTCCTTGCGTCGAACCACCTTTCATACAATTGATTATGCATCCATTTTAATCACCTCAAAAAAGCATTTAATGAGCGCTTTCTCCCATGAAGTAGATACCGAAAAGAACGTTAGGGCAGCAGATATAAAATACTCACAACGAAGAACAGGCTAGGTGAGCAAACTCAGTCTAGAAGTTTACCCAAAAGAGGTGCTGATGATATACTTGAGATCTATCAACCTATGAATGCTTTCACTTACGGCAAGTTTTCCTACTGTAATTGACCGGGCTTAAAAGCTGGGATTGTGGGTATGACACGAGAGAGGTAGTACATTATTGCGGACAGTGATAATAAACGCCGGTATAAAATTTCAGACGGCAGAGATGGCCGAGTAAGGAATCAAGTGCAACCGGACTTGATATCAAATCCCGATGTTGACGACGATGAACAAGGCAGTGAAAAAAAAAACAATTGAGAAGGTCTAGCCATAGAGGAATACTATAATCAAGAAACTACTTGAAGGGATGAAATCTCAACAGCCTGATCACCAGACCTGTTTCTTCATACTGGAATTGTGAATTGATAGGACTCGGGATGTGATAGTAATGCATGATTTGACTTGATGTATATAAGATGGAGAATACAAGAGGGCGACGATATGAAAGGTGAAATATAATCTAAACAAAATATTGATAACACATCAACTCGCTTGTATGATACTGAGACTGGTATAATTGTGATTGGTGATACTCTTGTGAGCTAGACACTATCCGTCAAAACTACCAGTCTGTTTGTGTCTCGTGATCCCATAAACAGGGCTAATGAGTGGTTTGGGGAATCGCGTCGATCATTTGCCCCTTATCTAAGTAATCCAAAAGAACGAAAGGCTCGTAGATTGTTCTATGAGGATTCTTCGTCGTGTAGTTTTTGAGAAAAAGAAAGATCATTCCTTGCTGTACGAAATCGCGATCTTGTCGAGTAATCAAACCTCACCGGGCTTAAATAATATCCCTGCGCCGCACCATACATGAATTCATCGACTGATCTTTTTCCTAAAACTGCTTAGGACCCGCATTTAGTGTATAACCTCATTGAATCATCATCAAGCGTATTTCCTCATGACTGCATATTACAAGAGGCCGACCAGTCAAAAAGAGACGAGGTCGGGTCCTTTCAGCCTATTGTTGATTGTGAGAAATGTGAAAATGAACCGAAATAAGTATTTGTGTACCTCCAAGGTTGCTATCACTCGTTTCCTTTTGTTCTGTGAGCGTGCTCCTCATCAACCTCAACCAACATACGCGATGAATGAGGGAGCGGGAGGACAGAGAGAAGTAGTATATGTGCAGCAACAACAGGTTGAAAGGGAACATGATAAGGATGATGTTGCTTTGGGATGTGCAGCAGGATGTGCAGATGTGCAGCAGCTTGTTGTTGTTGTGTCTGTAGCGTTATGTGAAGTTTGTGTGGGGGGCTGTTGGCGGGGTGGTTGGCGGGGATGTGGGAATCCGATATAATTTATTTCGGGGTAATGGATTTTTGGTTATGTTATTGGGTTCGACTGGATTTTGGGAAGCTTGCGGAATAAATCTACATACGAACATCTGCCCTTTGGAAATAATGGGAGATGATCCGATACCCCGTGGAGATGTGATTTATTAGGTTTTACGAGTATCGGCGTTAGGTTCTTGGAGATGGGGTTCTACCAACACCACTTGGTCGAGAGCTTTTCTATTTGCCATTATTGAGACTCCAAGTCGGCTTGATGTATCATTTTTTGGCATTGATACAAATCGAACTGTGTCTTTTGGTTCTGGAACCGTGATGAGGTGGAATACAATTGTGGAATCAATGGCTATTTTACAACATACCAGTAGTACTGAAAGTCCTATATTCGAGTAGAAGAAATCTATGGGACGTATCGTTAAACCAATTCGTTCTATTTTTCAATGTGGTATCTAGAAGTCATTACTCTTGCTGAATTTCAATCTTGTATTACTGTTCCTGAAATATTTACATCTAGCTAAGATTTTTAATCAAATGGAAGGTCATTGGTGAAATTAGCCTGCTCCTGATTGTTCTTTCCTTCGTGATTTTTTACCTTATAATTATCTGCAACTTTTTACAATTGTTCGTTTTCAGCAAGATTCCTAAAATCCATCCGATTCTTTATGCTCCGCTTTTGGTTATGCTTATGTTTGTTTTACTCCTATCATCTCTTGTTGTATCGAGTTCAAGTTTCATTGTTTGTGCTTCGATTTTGACAAATGCCTGCCCGCACGAACGCACAACAGTCCCCAAACCCAACATCACTAGAATTGCCCAAAAACGAAGAAACACTCGCGGCTACCGACCTTAGTCTTGACTTTGGTCTAGGTCTAGATCTTCCTTCCGAGATCAAAGCAAATATATTCGATTATCTCAGTGTCAAAGATGCAGGATCCTTACGGTTAACATCTAGAGCTTGGGCTATAACTGGGACTGTCAGATTGTTTCGAGATGGCTTTAAACTTCATCCTCATTGTCAACCAACGGATATGGATAGACTTGCCAAAGTATCAGAATGCCCACATCTAGCTCAAACAATCAAGTCGATGGTCATATTTCTGGACTCGAGCGATGCGAGGAAATGGACATTTTACTTCTCAGATGCGAGAGAAATTCTTCGACGGAGAATCGAGAACGAACCTGGCTTTTGTGATCCCGTCCACTTGGCAAAGGCATTTAGTAATCTTCCTAATTTCAAAAACCTCGTCATCACTTCACTTAGCTATCCACTTTCGGAGGATATGTTTCAATCGACGTCGACGTGGATCCCTAATTGGAACTCGACAATTGAAGAAGAGAGAACACAATTCATGGCAGATGATTTATCCCAATGGTACTACACTTCAATAGTAGCAGCTATCAATGCAGCAAATGTATCACTTACATCAGTTGAATTTGACTGCCTGCCAATGGATTGTTTATCATCCCAAGAACTTGGATCTCCGCCTTTCATACCTTTACAACCTTCGTTAAATCGACTTTGTCTCATATCCGAGTTTCCTGGTCATCCATACAAGTCCCTCACCGGTCTTATTTCTCCTCTAGAGCAACTATCAATTGGATTTTGGGATTATGGATTTACTTCCTGGCAGGATCCACTCGTTTCTCAAAGAATCACCGATCTTTTACTTTCAGCACAGCGACTTCGCAGACTAGATCTAATGTTTGTAATGAATCTCGCCACGAACATGACACCAGAATTCCAAATTGCATGGAAAAATTCATTTTATAACATCACCATGCCTCATCTAGAAAGTCTTCGTCTCCACCAAACCGATGTCCCAGAACCGCTTCTTGTCTCCTTCCTTGAGCGACATCGCTCTACCCTCAGGAACTTACATCTCAGCGGAGGATATAGATGCGGACCTGAAAGCGGCTGGAATCATCTCACACGATTCCAATGGAAAGATATCCTCACCTCTTTAAGAGATAATCTTTCGCTCCGGAAATTCGAACTCTTAACCTATGACGATAGGAGAAATATATATGATTGGAATTGGAATATAGTTCCGGGAACAGAAATTACCTTTGCGAAATTACTTGAGAATTATGTGATGGGGAAAAGTCCGTGGCCTTTTTTGATGCCGCTGAAAGGGTCGAAACATGATTATTGGGGTTGGAGAGTTGATGCGCAGGTTTGGAGAATGGGTTGATTGTTTGCTTGGTGTTTGTTATGATCGGATGGATGGGTCGATGGGTAAGTGGGTAGAGGCAAGATTTTAGGATACTGGTACTTGGAAATTGTATAATTGAATTGAAGTTGTGTTGCTTGTGAGATGATGTGTTTTGTTGCTGTATCCTTTACATGTATTCTGATTTAACCTTTTATTCCACTTAAACAGTGCCAGTTCTATATGCTATCTATCTCCTGGTTCTGGTTTTATAGCCAGCTATCCTCTATACCGAATTCAAATACGATATGTCCGCAGCCTTAAACCGTGAATCATATACACAAGGAAAAGCTTTCACAATTGCTCGCAATCCTCCAATTAGGATCATCAAGAGAAATTTGAGAGCTCAGTCATGATAGTTAGTGATTCTGTATTCACCCACATACAGCGGAGACATTTCATGATTTAAGCGTCTTCCGAGTGTAACCAATGAGAATACTCACTGGAATGAAAAGAACGAAGATTCAAGAGTTTGATCTGATTCGGAATTCAGCTCTCTACTCGACATACTCTACTATTGCCACTTACAATAATATCGTTCTTGTTGTTATTTCCTGGTCAAATTGAGTACCTATCAAGATGTTTGGCGCGAGAAATGAGTTTCGTTGCCGTAGTGAGAAAGAAGACTTTCTTATTGTTGCTGGTTGGTTTGGCAATATAAACTTAGTACATAAGGTGCGAGGAGGAGGGCTTCTGTGGGTATTCCCCGCCTTATAAGGTTAACACACTTCTTAAGTTTATTTACAGACCTTAAAAGAGCTATCTTCCTCACGTCACTTGGAGCCCTGCGTTTTTAAGGGCATTTGAAATTGTTTTGAAGATTTCTTCGAAGATTTTTCAGATAATAAATGATTTAGCTGTTAATTATTAATTATTAATAGAAAATGATTATAAAAATAAAATAAAATAAAATAAAATCGAAATTGATTATCGAGTGATTCAAAAAAGAAAATTGTAAATTTTTATTTTTTCTTTATAAATTTCCCTAAATAAAGATTATGTGTAGATTGACTAGCAAATATTTAATTATATCAGCCAATCGGCGAGTAAGATTTGATTTTAAAGCTTGCTGATGACCGACAGGCAACTCCGCACAAAAGTTTATCCGAACATTTGTGTTTTTGCCATCGACGATACAACTGGATTGTCTATCTTGGACTTCTCCCAATGATAATTCTCTGCAAACTATCTTGCCTCATTTGGTGTGCAATAAGTGACATTTATCTGGCCTTTTTTCCGGGGCCGGGCTTATCACGATGAGTTGAGTCTCGATGATAAAGCTGAGATGCTTATGTTTCAAGTTTTGATTTGGAATTGTTAGAGCATATGCACGCACATATGCACAAAAATTGAAACTGCATATGCAACTAAAGTGCCGAGCAATCCTATTGGTTGGTAAACGCTGGAACATCAAAACGATGATTTTGAAAGGATGCCGGCCCCATAGGTATCCATAATGCGAGCATTAGAACCTAATCCTTTGAACTTGGCTGTCTTCTCTTTTAGGTGTTCTTTAGCTAAATCCACTCAACAATACCATATGTGGAGCCTTGAAAGTCGATTTAAGCCATGAATGGTCAAAAGAAATAACAAGATGGACGAGGTGAAGGCATGTGCAAGAAGGATCATTAGTTCCGCGCTTGGCAAATGATAGCGGTAAAATGTCCTCGAATTTGTAGACCACGGATGATTGTAGAAGTGGGTCGCACTCGCAACCAAATGACCTTCAGTCGGAGCTGAGCTCCAGCGAGAGCGAAAATGTATCAATTTGCATCCTAGATGCTGCTTTCATGTGGTGTTTCTCATGCTAGCATGAAATCCCAGCTAAACAACTTTGAAGCCATAAAAGTGTCCTCAATGGTCACACGTGTCCTTCATACTTCAAAGTCGAGCAGTCACCCAAAACTCCCCGGAAATCGCTTCTGTAGATATAAAAGCTCTTCGATATTCCCCTTTGGTGGAATTTCGAAACACAGTAAGATTCCGTGAAAGGTTTGTGGATACCGGTCGCCAGGTATGCTTAAATTTGGAGTACTTACGTACGTGTATATGTGGAACTCCATTAATCCTGTCCATCGTCAGCTTTCCTTCGGAAGGTACATATCTTTTATAAGAGAAGACATACCCGAGACTTCATAATCACAACATTCTTTAGGAGAAAAGAAAAAAGTCAATGCCAATGAGATATCAGATGACATCACGTGTCGATGCCATTCCCTGATCGCCACCCCTCAGACTCGGGTCCTCTTGCAACTAACATCAGAATATTTTTGGAGCCATGACCTCGATGACATCACGGTTTAGACGTCATAGTATGATCACGATCTCCTCAGTTGAACCAAAAAATCTCCCAGAAGCAAGAACCAACCACAACGTGCAACTCCGCAAACTCGCCTCGTCCGCCTTCAATGACATGAAATTGAAGTCCCTCAACTTTCTACACGAAATACCAGCCCCCTAATTGAACATGCGGGTTTTCAAATGAATCATCCCTTCTCTCAGCATGGATCTCGCGCTTGCAGTACCACAGATTCACATTTCCTCAAGCAAAGATAAGTCTTTGGGCAGCGGCGAACTCAATACCAACATGCAAGCCTGTAAGGAGTCTCGAGCTGAGGGAATGAGGCTGAAGCTCACTACTATTAAGTCTTTAAAATCAAAGATAGCGAAAATCGGTGAACAAGGGCTCATCTATTATATGTCTCGAGATGATATTGTTTGGTTAAATGCATCCCACACGCAGCGACATCATACCCAGTTCTGCTTCCCGGAATGGAATGGTTATGCCCAGACGGTCGTCTGCACCAAAAGAATCCCAGGCCTTCTCCTATATGAGCTCATGGAACAAGGACCTTTGTCTCAACACATTCAGAATAGATGCCGCGCAAGGGACTTCATGCTAAATTGAGAACGTTCCTTGGTTCATTGGAAATGGTCCTGGACTCAGACCGGCCAGCGAAGCTACATTTTGTCGCCAGGGATGAGGTCTGCAGCCATGGTAGATAGTTGTATCTCTGGAAATATTGGAAAGGATAAGATCTACTCACTGACCGAAATGTGACTTTTAAAGATCAGAAACTGTTCAAGTTCAATCCATGACAGTCCATTCCTGGTGGTCGAATCGGCCACAAGTCCTGGGAGATATTGATGGTAGCGGACGTTATGACGATACGAGATTTTCAGGATGAACCGACAAAATCATCGACTCTTCTGAGAGATGTTACCTTTGATATAAAGGCATCAGTGTAGGTTTAGTCGGCTCTTAAATTACACCCCTCTACGATCGGCTCTGTTGAAAAATAGACTTTCTTCTACATTTGCTTTCGTTCCTTGCACGAATTTTTCCGTCAATTTTCTCCACAAGGCTTTGTAAGTTTGCAACTCCTTCTCGTTGTTCCACTCTCTTTAATGGGCGATTACTGATTCCAGGTGGTATTGCGTTTGTCTTGGCGCAAGCCTGAAGTTAAATATGTGGAATCTATTGGAAGCGGGGAATAGATTCAGATATAGCCCACGGTAACTCCGGATTTCCGATTATCATATCTCATGTCACATTTCTATGTTGCATTTATTCCAATTGTGGAAATGAATTTGTCATGATGGTAGCACATTGTGATTCCTATTGCGCCTCCTCCAACGTCGCGCCTAACGTCGCTCGAATCTGACGATGCATCGCTCTCTTACCGACGACTACAAAAACCAAAACGCCCGCCATACCATGCGTACTCCAATTGACGAACAACTCCATCCAAATATCCCCGAAAATCATTTCAGTTCATTACGCGTTTCTATCGCCCAGTAACAATTCTTATCTTCAGCCTACTTTCAACTCTGCAAACCATTTTTCTCAATCCCAACAAAGCCTAGACCCTCCTCTTTACCGACGCACCAATTCAATGATACCACCATGTCCGCTTGTCCGACCATGAATCTGAGTCGCTTTCCAACTGCGACCTTCTATTTCTTTTCTCTGCTCGAATCGCAAACTGCTGTCTGTCTCCTGCCATTTTGACCTGAAGACAGATGTATAAACTGAAATTCCTTTCCATCTTGTTCGGCCCTTTTTTTCAAAGCCTCGATATCCAAACCATCCGGAATGGTGTCGCCGTGTATCGTGATACTGAATTTGTAGCGCTCTTTACAATTCGGTTCATGAATTGGCCAATTAGCCTTTTGGCAATCACGAGAACAATACGGAGTTTTGCATCGTTCGCAGCTGGGAAAGCTTCCCATAGAAGTTTCTGTCTTGTGGCAGTTGGCGCATGAGCGGGTCGACTGTGGAGAAGAGGGTGTCGGCGGCTCTGATGTGGAAGATCTTGAAGACATAGTGATGTTTCGGCAAGCGCGAACTTCGAGACTTCGCAATGTGAATAGATGATGCTATACAGAGCTACCGCTGGAAGTCTGGCAATATGATGTGATGCGTACACGAGTGTTGAGAGGTTTTGAGAACCCACTTTTGGTAACGGGCACTAGCGGGAATTTTGTGGAGTGTAGAATGCAAGGTGTCAAAGATTAAAATTTTGCAGCTGCCGAGGAGAAGGGATTATATCAACATTTGTATGACAAAGTTGCCCCTATCAATGGCCGTTATACGAAATCCGATGTATATGGGGTCATGCCTTGACTCCGGAAGGGGCACGAGTCAAAGGTACGAAAATCTACGACAAACCGTTACCGTCTACGAATTTGCATTCATGGATATTAAGTTCCTTTATCTTTCATTATATTACCAACATTTACACAAGGCTTCTTTACTGAACAGTTCGAATTATTTAGGTGTAGCAATATTCGTATGATCATTCTTTTGAATTTTATTTAATATCAAATGCATATGTTCATCAACGAATTCGGTAAGAAATGTGACCATTGGTAATCGGATCTCTTACCCCATCTTTGTGTAACTAGGAAAATGACCCGCTGGGAAGATTGATTACCTTTTGGAGAAGATTACCAGATCTCGCACTTTGATGAATCTCAATCTTTACCGTCCGTCCACTATCCTAACTCCGGAGTTGATCTGCAGCTCCAGGACAAGGTGATTGCCGGCCAATAATAATGATCCAAGACAAACAAACTTGTGGACTCCGGAACCTGATTCAGTCGAAAAGGAGCTTCGGAGTAGGGGTGCGGACCGTAGTGGGGTGCATTAGTTTTTGTTGATGTGACCCATCAATCTGGCTCGCTTAACGGATTTTTCGATGATAAAGTGCACTTACATTATTGGTAAGCACTTGAGAGTCCTTAGATTTTATGTGTCACCATAAAGATTTGGCTGAGTTGTGCTTATGTATGCATGCATATCACGTATCTTGTATGTTTCCTATCACCCTCTCATAAAAAGCCCCTGGTAGCTGAGCAAAAAGGTACTGCCATATTTTGTGGAAGACAGGTACCGAATACCGGTACTACCTGATGTGAGTAGTATTCTACCTCCACAAAGAAAAAGCCAAGGGCTATTTTACCATGGCAATAAACAGGATCCCAGCAGGGCTATTCTTTTGTGGGAGTTGGCATTGATGACCATTGCATAAAAATCCGAGGTAAACGTTCTCCAATGATTTACTTATCAAGGTTACACATGCAAGATTGGCTACCTCTTATCGTATGCAGGATTTCTTTGCGTTTGGAGCTTGCGCAAGATCAGATTACGTCGCACAGAGTGGTCACTGGTCAGGTACATTATTGCATTGCATCAAAAAGGCTTCGATGGCGTATAAGTAATCGCAATATACCAATACAAATGTCCTAGATACGTTTGGCCCAGTTAAGATACATTAAACCTGTAACTGAATTAGGATTCACTGAATCCATCGTTTTCCTGCGAATCTCCATGTCAATTGGGCTGAGGGTATGAAATCAAAGTCACAAGGACAGGCAAACGTAGTTACGCAAGATTCTGGATGCCACACTATGCATGGCATTGCCCCCGATTTCCAGACGGCTTGATAAGACTATGATCTCCTTACCTGGTGTCACGTCTTGGAGTGACATCAATCTCACTCAGAATAGTGCAACAGTTACAGGTTAAGTTGTTAGTATCACGCAACAGTTACGTTTTTCATTCTTGCCACAGATATCACTCTGTACCGGGCCGACTTATAGGAAATTTCACCGTAATTCAGAAATTATTTGATATTGGATCAGTATGACCCGATAATTTGCCACGCTGCAACTTTCGGCTTCGCCGCCCGGATGGGAACGAGTTCGCCTTCGATAGTTTCAATATTAGACGTTGCCCTAGCGGGAACAATCATGCAGTCATTTTCTACATGTGGCAGGATCTCCAAAATGAATCTTTTCTTCCATCTAGATTCTGTCATTCGGCTGTGGAACTGTTGCAGGAATTTTAACAAGATTATGCTCCGAGGCGTACCATCGTATCTGACGATGCCTACGCAGATGCATAAATTGAAGTATTGCTCAAAGGAGCTATCACCATATCTTGGTGCAATCCTATATACGCCAAGTTTCCTGCAATGCAAATACCAAATCTTACCAATCAATGGCTTTGAATAGGTATTGGTATGCATGAAGGTGTGAGATTTAAATGTTCCGTGGATTTACAGAATGCCGCAAGTCCTTGTATTCTTGCTGGCGTGGAATTTCTTACTCATATAAGTCAATGATGTGATGAATTAAAATAATCATGTACTTCGGTTGTCTTCGGCCATCCGATCTACAATCTGCCTGGATGGTAATATTTTGATGCTCGCGCGGCTCAAGACTGCAAGCCATATGATTCGGCAGTGCTATCCAAGGATTTATCTCTCTCTTTCTCGCCACACGATCCAAGGTGCATGACACATGCCTCACTTAATCTACACGAGCAAGCCTATGATATGACCAAGTTACGGTCGGATAGACAGATCCCCGCAAGGCGTACCGGGAACTATTAGAAAGGGGTTATTTCCAAATGAACAGCGAATCATATGGCGCAGGAAGGAAATCCGTTCAGCCTTGAAGAACATCCAAACTAGAAAAAGAAGTGATTGCAGTACCTTTAACTCACCATGTGCAGGGGCCCTCTTATTTCTAGCTTGGCAAGTCCATGAGATTTTGTTGTAGCCCGGGCTTTAATCCCGCTGCTGCCGTCAGTAAAAACAACACCACCACGCGATTATGACGAAAGATGGGGTTGATCGAAGATACCACGCCTCTGACATGTGTTTTCAAAATGTTGCACCGGCCGAAGTGGACGGCAGTGGTAATGTATTTCGCGCACTAGTCATCACGGGTTCTTTTGTTCTCCAATGGTAAATGCTAATCCACGTGAAAATCCGACAGGTTCTAATTAGATTCACGTTTGTACTTGGAGACTTATGCTCTGCATCTCGGACCTTGCAACATAAGATTTGAGGCGGGGAATTGTTAATTTCAGGTTTTCATGTTGCTTTCAAATACGCGAATGGACACCCAGATGCACTTTCAACTCTAAAACTCATCATCAATGCTACCCCGCCATTTCATTTTTACGAAGAACTCAGCCTCCAGTACTTTCTCCGAGTTCCGGCCCACTATACACTTGCTAACTCCTTCCTCAACATCAAGCGTCACTAAAGTAGTAGCACTGCAAAGTCATTGACCAAAATTAGACGTATACTTCTCAGTCATGGAACAACGTTCCCGACCGACTCCTTTCGGAAGAGGCTTAAGCATCAACACCACTTTAAATTCCTACCGAATTTTTCGGATGATCCGAACAACCGATGCACAAGTCCGTTTATGTTCGAAGACCCCCTTCAGTTTTTAATATCCGGAGGCTGGTTAAAATCTTAAAATTATACTACGTCGCGAGACCAACTGTTGGATTCCGCAAATGGGTAAACTCGGGAGATTCGGAAGTCACATGACCCTTTGAGATCCGGACGGATCAAAAGGTAGAAAGAACACTTGTGTCAAAATATCTTACGAAAAAGTACTCTGCGCATTGTGCCCGTTAAGCAACTTCCAAGTCGACAGAAGGCTATGTTATATTTCTGAGGAAGACCTTCCCTATTCATTAATACAACATATCAAGAACTACAGAGACGGAGAGATTTCTACTCAATGGTACGTATAATCTATATCATGCGTTAGGCTTGCGGAAAGTGTCAGGATCTTGTATAAATGGACTCTTGCTCTACTTTGAGGCTTCATGGCGGCTCTCACAACAATCTGCTGATAAATAAAGATGCGACCTGGCTTTGAATCTAGCCTTGGTCATTTATTCTAGATTTGGCTCAATTTTCCTTTTCTACCCCGCGAGACAACCTTTTTGGATTATATTCGGCCTATGTTCACTGCAAACATAACATGTTCATCGCTTTGCCTTTCGGAGATGCCATCAACAAGGAAAATGAGATTCCGATACATCCAACCGCGGAGCCAATTACATTAGTACCCTGATTTCTCGGAAGCATACAGGCAGGTTTCAAAAAATAAGAGAAATGAAATAACAGCACATATTCTAATTCGAATGCTATTGCGCACTTGACAGATCATTTACGGCGCATATAAATGCTATGCATTCCCCACACCACCTTCCCCAAACTTCAATTTATTAAGGACCTCTCCTGGAGCACGCATGAGTTCAAACTGGTCACCATGAGATGCCAGACGCGGCAATTATGAGAATATTTATATTCAACTTGGTCATCATTTTACGATCGAAGGAGTCAATCCAGACTGCCTTTGTTGGGTTGACTAAAGGCACATCATCTGAACTTAGGCTTCACCTAGAACTTGTGAAGTATTGGAGAATTTCCTTCGGTCTCTGCCTAGTGGACGAGCCTCCTCACGAAACATGACTAGCTAGAGGATTAGGTGCATACAGACTGTAATCATTGGAAATAAGGTAGGTGTTCTTAAACTCATCGCCTTATTTCCATACATCAGCGAATAACGAACCTAGACCGACGAGTTAAGAGCTGCAAGATCTTACCTATGCGGTAACTACCGGCATTATATGAAATATTAAATGGAAACTCCAAGCAAGTGGATTTCTGAGTATGATTCTGATTTTGGCAACTCGAATCGGTGTTTACGACCCTAAATGGATATACAGGACGCCCTGAAGGCACTTGCAAGCGAAGAATAAATTGCCTTGGAGTCTGCAACATGCTGTTGTTATCAACGATATTTAATCTCGTTACATCAAATTTATTTAATGTGAACTTTGAACAAACATATCTGAATATTAGAGGGACTGAGTAGTCTCCTGTTTGTACGATAATGGGGGGAGAAGTCTGGATGCCAAGCCCCACAACGCGCGTTTTGCCCCACTTTCCACATCACTTAGAGGGGGTTTCGCGTCAATTGTTCTATGCGGCATGGTAGACGTTATTGTATGGCTTAGTTACTCTCTCACCCTGTCTTCTTCCGTCCAATGAGGTTTTTTAAGTTACGAATATATCTTCAGAAGTCAGTACCCTCGATATAAGTCACTGTGATTTCCAGCTATTTATTGAGATGCCAAGAACGATGGGACGAGGTACTTGCATGAAACCATGCTTGAAAGACGTTTTTCAGCATGTATTCCCACCGTCCATTTCATGATGAAGGCGACGGTGACATCTGTGTGGATCTTTTGGAGCATCATTTCGTCCTCTCTACCACTTGCAAGAAGGAAGTGGCCTTTGAAATTGGCAACGGGTACGTAGAACTTAATTTAATCCATCTGGAATCCTTGATTTAAAATGACTGCCGGCTCAAGGTTTTTCGTAAGCTTCTTTCACAGTTGTCCAGGAGTCTGTGAAGGGGTTGCATGGATAACAGGAGGTACGAGGAGAATGAAGATATATAAATATGGTGATTTTTACTTGAAAATGCTCTTTTCTCCTCATCATCACCAGTATCATCATTCTACCTTACCTCAACGACTTTTCCAATCTTTCCAACAAGCAAACACTCTTCATTTGCAATAATGCAATTTTCAGCAGCTGCTATTTCAGCCATCTTGGCTATTTCTGTTACGGCTCATCCTGGTCATGATGTTAAACAAGACATCGCTGAGAGAGCGTCTTTCATATCTCAACTTAAGACGCGTGATCTTAGCCACTGCTCTGCAGAGTTGAAAGCTAGAGGTCTTGAGCAGGCAGCTGTCGCAAGACGCTCCGCTATTGCCAAGAATGAGAGGAATAAAAGAGGCATTAGTTCTGGTAGGCTCTAACTTTCGTGCCATCGCTTCTACATTTTGGTAGAGGACTTGACTGATCTTATAAACAGGACAGCCTTACTTGAAAGTAAGAGATGAGGCCACAGTTCTAAACACTACACATTTGTCCACTGAGGATTATAATGCTTCAACCGATGAGTCTATCGTCTTCGCAGGAAACAATTCCTGTATTCTCAGTCCAGAAGTTACGCAGGGTCCTTATTGTAAGTTTAGATTTGCTCCCCATCCATCAAAATCAAGGCAGGGTCTAATATGTCAATTCAGATGTCTCTGGTGAATATGTCCGAACAGAAATTGTCGAAGATCAACAGGGAATTGATCTCATCCTCGACACCCAAGTAATTGACATGTCTACTTGCGATCCTGTCACCAACGCAGTTGTCGAGATCTGGCACTGTAACTCTACTGGTGTATACAGTGGTATTGTCGCATCAACAAACGGCAACTCAGCCGATACCGCCAACATAAACTCTACCTTCCTCCGCGGTCTTCAAGCAACCGACGCTGAAGGCGTTGCTCAATTCAAAACTCTCTTTCCAGGCCACTACACCTCTCGCTCAAATCACATTCACGTCCTCGTCCACTTCAATGGAACTACCTATGCTAATGGTACCTATGGTGGCGGTGTCATCTCCCATGTTGGACAAATGTTCTTTGATCAAGATCTCATCACTCAAGTCGAGGCTATTTCCCCATACAACACCAATAGGCAACCAGTAACTTTGAACTCTGCCGATGGCGTTTTGGCCGATGAGGCTGCGTCTTCTGATCCTATGATTGAATACTCTCTCTTGGGTGAGACTGTTGCTGATGGTATTTTTGGATGGTTGGCTTTCGGTGTTGATGTTTCTAAGTCTTATAATGTCAAGCCTGCTGCTAGTTTATATTCCAGTGGTGGTGTAGAGAACTAGAAGAACGGCACTACTTTTGACACCTGGTAAAATTGAGAAAAGAGAAAAGTGGCTTTTAGCGATGAGTTATTCTTATCTTAGTGGTTTCGTCAGTATAAAAACTGGCGATTTTTCCACAATTATTTAGAAAATGAACGGAAATTACATTCGTGCCAAACGTCCTATTCCCACCAAACGATTTTAATAGGTCCTTGCTTCGATTTATGATTATATTATCTATTTCAAACTTGTTGATAGAGGGATTCGGACCAAATTAATCCAACTATGATACAATCTCTAACTATCCAACATCTACAATCACATATACATAACCATTATCCATAAAATATCGACAAGGGAGTGTCAAGTCTCCCAAATATTTTTATCCGATCTCAATGGTGAATAGTCCCCACGAGTTTCCACACCTGTTATCAAAAATGAACCTTTGTTACTATATTTCCCCGGAAAAAGGTGGAATCTACGCCATATGTTACCTCGTCCTCGTATTTTTTATGAATGTAAATCTAAATCACAAAATGACATCGTATCTACAAAGCTTGGATGTTAAAAAAACCCATGGGCATGGTACGGGCTCTTTAGATGTATAACATTTTTTCAGACCTCTTTTCTTAATGATGTAGGCATAATAAAATTGAGGCTTTGAAAGGTTAATACAGTTCTAGGTTTTCTATGCTTGTTTAGTGTTTGGAGTGGGCATACCATGGAGCCCATTTTACCAAATTTTATATGGTAGCTAAGAGTTGCAGGGTAGAAGTAGCTAGTCTCGTGCAAATGTATTACAGAATAAAATAGATTATAGATAAATAATATTGAATGAATATTTAGCCATTGAGATGTTGTTGTTTGAAGCCGTGGTGTTTGGCCTTACTCAGCCGTGCTAAGATAAGGTTATCCATCACACCGAGGGATAGATTTTAGTGGGCTTTTGATAACCTTCACCTTAACCGAGGAGGGACGAAAATTCCCTCACAAATGTTGTTTGTGTGTTCCTTAACCACAAGTTCGAAAACAAGCTGAGGCAATCTATACATCACTATCCAATACGGAGTATCGACGCAGCTGCTTCTCCCATAGCTTTCAACCATTCGGAATCACATGTGATGTGCAATGCATTTGTCTTCTGAGGGACCACAATTCTGGGCGGCTAAGGCGCCTTCTCAATGCAATTACACATTTAACTTAACTTTATTTTAAGCAAGCAAGACCTTGTATTGCTACTTTTTGATGAACCTTGCGATTTTTGTTTAATGAAGTCTAGATCTCAAGTTCCTCCTATCGCGGTAAATGTTGGCGGCTAAGCCCATCTAAATGCGGTTCTCAGTGCTACAACATGAAACTATCCTCCTCACGTTACACCCAATGAATTTTTGAAAATAGCTCTGAACCATTCTGTCGGATTTATTATGTGCGGTCTCACAGCAAATCTGACAGAATGAATGGCTACACTCTACTTCAGAGCCACACGCGCGCAGACTACTGCAAGTGAAGCTGCACTGTGCCCGCGCATATACACAGAGCTCAGCGTGCTGTCTTAAAGTGCAGGCCCCAATGTTGATTTGTGTTCAAAATATAAAGCCGTTGGCTCTCGGTCGATTGTGTAGTCCATATCGACTATTATTTTGCACTTTCTCACCTCCCACCATCTTTGATAAACTATGTTCTCTTCATATGACCTTGAGTCTTCCCCGCAGGCGGGATTTTCTGCAACTGACCTCAAAAACACGGAGAAGTTACTCCCAGGCCAAAAAATCCAGGTACGACCACGAAGCCGCATTGTTACGTTGGGCAATCGGTATATTTCCTTCCTGGGCCTTATTGCCCCCACAATTGTCAGCAGTCTCCTTCTAGCTGCAGACCAACACCACGTCTCTATCTCTGGCGGCGCCTTCTACGATTCAATCATTCAAAATCGGGCTTCAGCCCAAATTGGAGTTCACATCCTTGCTGGTGGACTTGGCTTGATACAAGTGGCAGCAATTTGGCGCCTTTGCAATTATGCCACTCGATTACGCCTGATCAAAAGGTCAATTCCTCGTGATTTATTGAACTTCTGGAATGAATTCAGCCTGTCTTCAATGCGTTGGGAGTTATGCTGCGCTCACTTCCTTCTCATATTGCTTTTTGCGTTTGCATGCGCTGTTCCATGCCCCTTGTGGGCTGGTGCAATTACTCCAGTGGACACCCATTCTTCTCGGCCGGCATCTATCCTGATTCCTCAGTACTCGAACATGAACTCGGTCCGTGAATGGCCGTCAGAGATCAATTCATCGGGTCCTACTCTACGGAGTGATAAAGGGTTCTTTACTTACTCCCCTGCTATGGCATATCAAGGCCTTCTTTCACAATCTATTTCTACCGCCACAACCATGGATGGCTCAGCACGTCAACATGGGAAGTATGACAATTCGAAGTTTGTATATATCGGGCGCTCATTTGGTGTTGGGGCATCAGTAGGCCTCGCAGATGATCGCATCTTTGGTAAATCCATTTCCACTGGTTACACATTCCAAGAAGTTGGCTACACAGCTGAGACAAGTTGTATGTACAACCAAAGTGCCGACTTTAAACTGGTGAACGATGGGGTACAACTTTTCGCTGCTCGAGGTTTCCTACCTGACAGCGCATCCGCGGAATTTTCTGTTTACTTGGGCCATACGTCAAATTCTATCGTTGCTTTTGGGGTTTCTGCAGATAACACTGGTTATAATCCAAGGTATCTTGGAATTGCAGCGGGCAGCGACTATGGAAATCTCAACATGGCTCAATGCAGAACTCAGTTCAAGCCAACACTCTTCGATGTCTCCGTTGCTCTTGGAGATAAGACCATCACTGTTACGGCAAATAATGCCCCTGCGGTCGATATTGAACCTTCAGGAACTCTGACACATGTTCTTGAAAGACAATTTGAGCTTTCTTCTAATGATATGTCAAACATCTATCAAGTAAGATTTCCTCCCGTTCTCCAATAACACTACATCAATGTACTGACAGTCTTTCCTCAGAGCGTTATAGGAAACGCACTCAACTTCAGCATCGCCGACTATCGTGCGTACGTCAGTAGCTCACATTATACTGGCAGTCCACTACATGAGCTAGATATCAATCTTGGGGGAATCCAAAACTCCGTGACGGCAATGATAGATGATCTTCTCGTCTCATATGCCAGTGCACAATTAATGATTGCTAACGATACCAAGACGGTCGATGTTGCCGTCACCGTCGCCGCTGTTCGATTTGGTCAGCCCGTATATATTTATTTGGTATTCGGTTTCAATCTTTTCCTTGTGCTTAGTGCTGCTACCTATCAACCAGAAGAAAGGGAAGAAGAAGATGATGGTTATTCACGACTCATTTTTGATTCCACAAGCATGGGAGTGGAGGGAATGGAGAGTTGAACCTTTGCCTGCACATGTTAAAAGACAATTTTTGTATGTTATTTCTGCTAGTTAATACTGGGTATTTGTAATGTAGGATGAATGTATATTATGGTTTTCCGTTCGTCACAAGTTTAACCATGTCGTTTACCAATATGCAGAGAGTAGCATTATCATCTGACCTTATCATTAAAAACCTCGAGACGGTTCCAATCACCAACTTTGACGGAGCTTGAGCAAAATTACTGATTTATCCTTGAATTCTCATTTAAATTTATAAGATGCATTCAAATTCTGATTGGCTAGTGCTTCTGTCCAGTCTTGAGCAGCCATTGAAGAAAATCTCTTCTAACCTGGGCTCTCCTCTGTAGCACGCTTACTGTGCTATTCGATACCGCTGTTTTCAAGAGGAAATCCACCAGATGCGCGCTCTGGTAGAACCTTTTACCCGTAACACCGAAGGGTAGGTATCTTGTGACAGTTTCATCTGAAGAGAACAAAGCCATGAGAGGCCACATCCCTTTATGATTATAATTGATTGGCACAAAAATGCTGAACATATTGACTCACACGGCGACATACTTCGTTTAGACAAGTCTTAGTCCTTTTAATTTGTGTAATATATGAAAACAAACTACCAAATTATTGATAAATATGGAATATCAAACGCTCCACCATAAACACCGTCATCTTACTGTAAATAATAACCCTATATTGGACCCAAGAAAGAAAGAAAAGGAATCATTAATTTACATCATAATTTCGTAAGCCTTTGTTATATACGCTCCGTGTAGCAACCTCCATCAGATCTAAGAAGCGCTCTCGGTCTAGCGCCACATCATCCAAATGCCATTCGGCACGCTTTTGTCCGCGTGAAGGTTCCGGCAGTTTCGAGGCATGCACGCTCAAATATGTATGTGATCGAAGGCCAGCGAGATTTCGAAAGCCGTTATGGTTCAAACCTTCTGGCAGTATCTCAACCATGACTGATCCCTCAGGGAGGAAGATACCATGAGTCAGGCCGGCGCCGTGGACTCCAACCAGAATATCAGTTTCTCGGATCATTTTGATTTGTTCGGCGAAGGAAATGGACTCAAAGTCTATCAGTTGGATTTTAACGTGGGGATCTTGCAATTGGAGCTGTTCCAGGTAGGACTCTTGGCCAACAAGTCGTCGACGGCGACGGTCGATGTAGGTTATCACGATTTCATCGTTGTGAGGTTTCCAAGGCTCCACATTGTAGAAGCTGAGGACTCGATCAGAAAACGTGCGTAATAGTTCCGACTGCCCGCAGTCGTGAATGGACCAGTCTCCTTGCCAGATAGGATTGCTTCCACCAGCTAAGGGAATTACGAGATTCTCGAACTCGGTTGTTTCGCGAAGCTCGTTCAATCTAGTGACTGGCCTTTGGGCAACAGCTTTCCAGAGATCTATGTAAAACCCATCGACATGATCGTCTAGGATTACTATCTGAGTGTTCTGGACATCCTCGGAGATATAGAAAGGAGCGTTCGTGGCAGGATTCAGAGACATTCGTAGGACGTCTATAGTCATCATTGTCGACCAGATTTCCATAAGGCAGTGCCACGGGTTCAAGGCACCTTCACGTTTGATAAGAATGGTGTAATTCGTCGTGGTAGGGTATTGGCGTAGATGCCGAGCTTCGGAAACATACTCGTCGAAGATAAGTCTAGGTCCGGTACCGTACCAGTAAGACCGAAAATCATTGAACTCGGGGTACCCTTTAGCTTTTTCCTCGGCATTCAATGTTCGAATGTCACAACCGAGCTGAAACTTCTTCTCAAAAGCGTTCCATGTTGCTCCTTGTCCAAGGCACATAGTATCTCTATCCGAACCAGGCCATTGGCTAGTATGGAAACAGGTCAGCTTGGCGTAGGAACTAGGCATGCTGTATTCAGTTGCGGAGTCACGCAAGTTCTCGAGATATGTTCGACTGTAACGCTCGGCACAAAAAGAAGAATGGTAGGGCTCGACATCGTACTCAGGAGGCACATCTGTTGTCCAACTCGAAAGCTCAGTTTGGGCTTGAACTCCGTCGCTGTGGGACGGCCATTGTTGAATGTAATCCCGAATTTGAGATTCTCTCGGCAAGTAATATAACGAAAAGATAACAAAGAGGAGAAATAAAGTTGCTGGTAAAAGTGCCATTGACTTTTGTCTCTGGAAAGGAAGAGAAGCCATAGTCTTCATGTCTGATTCAAAGAGGATTGACGATATTTTTGAGAATTATAATGTAGAAAACGGTATCTGAAAGCACAATATATTACTTGGGGGATAAGCATCACCTCATACATAGAGGGCTCTCTGCCTCAGATTACATCCGCCGTCTTTTTCAGCCGATTCCTGCACTACTGGTCGATCCATTCTGGTAGGGTCCACAGTCATGTCGATGGGGCTTGCACGAGCCTATAGGAGGAGCTTTACCCCTGTCTCCGCCCCCCTCATCCCGTTCCCTGCTGGCCCCCAAATTTGACAGCCATTGTTATTCAAGTATTATGCACCGATATGCAAGAGACGAAACGCACCGTCATTGCCCTGATTGCCGCGCGCGAGCGTAGCACAGATAGGATGATGTCGTGTTCGACGTGTAAGTAAGCGGAAACTTGGCTCGTGATTAAATGTGTTTGGGACTTTACACGGCAGTAAGTGAGTCCCTTTTGCCGCGAAATATCGATTTTCACTTCCGATTCTTCACAGTACTCGAAATTTGTGTTTGTTCAAGATTGGGTGAGGAACCGGACTTTCTGTGATTCGTCGACATCTCCAAGGGCCCTTGAGGGTAAAAACCCTTGATCTTGCTATCATTCCCAGCTTCTCAACCAATCAAGATCATAAATTTCTCGCGCTTATGCGGGACACTCATTTACCAAACTGTCGGGTCGGTAAAATGACCGTTTTTAGTTAATGGCCCCATCACATGCATAAGTAAGCAAAACTTGAAGGAAATGCACCACTCAGCATGCGGCTCGAGCCTCATCCGAGATATTTATAAAATTGGGCAAACTATGAAAGTTTCCATTGAGTTAGATGCATTATCAGCGTTGCAAATACTCTATCCCGCCCACAGAAAACGCACTCCCATCGAGGCTTAGATTTTGCGGATAGGGCTAGTTGAGGTATTAAAGGGGTATAGGTCTTGTAAATCTACATCGGATACAGTAAGGCTTTTCTAGTACATTAGATCAAATGTAAGCGAATACTTCACTTGTTTTTCCATACGAATCCCCCCCAATTATTAAAGTGGGATGATGAGGAACAATTAATTCCCGAGGTCCTGATTGTGTTAAATGTTTTCGCGTCAAACCTACTCCGCGAGCCTGTATAGGAAGGTGCTGCATATTTTTTGGACAGCCCGGCTAATGACAGGTCGTTGCATGGGGTGTTGTGTAACCTAAGCACCTGGTAGCTTTTTGATGTGTGTGGGGTCCCACATTATCATTATCTGATAATTCAGAAATAAAGCACAAGAAAAGTTTTCTTTATTTAGACGCCCACACGATGTTTCCAACTGGTCATGGAATGATCAACCATATCTTTGGAAGTTTAGATATGAGAAGCTTGGAATTTCCTCTTGCTGTTCATCCTTACTGGTTACCGGTGCTGTGGGTGAGCGCTGAACTTCAGTATGAACCAAATGATGGGCATCTTGGTCCAATAGATTTATAGCTGTTCTGGTCCAGCGCGACGGTCGAGTAGAATCTTTCGAGCAATGATGGTGGAGCAGGATTGCCTCCTGCTTTTGTAATTTGTCATGCAGGAGTAGCTAGTGTGCATCCCGTCGACTACACAGGTGACACCATACATTGCACGCCTCGGAACCATGTCAACGTAGGGGCTGAAAGCCTCGGAATCCAAACCAGGTTTATCTTGCAGACTCTGCCCAAATGTTGGTAACTACTTACACTGCACATTTCTTCCACCGGCGTTACATTGATTGAAAATAAATAATCCGAGCCGTCACCAACACTACTAGCTCCGAGTAACCGACATATGTATCCCAGGTCACGCAAAAGGCATACATCGTAGGGCTTTCCTTCTTTCCTTCCAAAACACACGTTTGCTACATCCTCTTGCCCATATCTGCTTACCATCGCTATGGCTTTCGCTGGTCGATTGCAGTTGATGTTAACATTTTGGCTTCTTATTTTTCTTGCCAGACTTGTATCAGCTACCTGCACTGTCCCCCCAATACCTGTACGCATTGGAAATGTGACGTTGTCCACTGGAGAGACAGCCCGGGGTTTAGATTTATCCGTTGGAAACCCAGAACAACATTTCGCTTTCTTACCCCAATGGTGAGCTTGTATTTCCTCAGACCATGGACTTTCACTTACTGTATCTAGGCCGCTAAATAATTCCTTCATTTACGGATCCGATGGATTCTGTGGTTCTAGCTGGTCCAGCGCGGCCTGTACGACATTTCGTGGTGGTTCATATGATGAATTTGCATCCAAAAGCCGTGGAGTACCAGCTGATAATTCATACCCCTCCGATGCATCCCTCTATCCAGCGCTTACTATGGTATCTGACAACATTACACTGAGTTCAAATGTGAGCATTTTGAATTTCCCAATCGGCATTCCGAAAGCGGATTGGGGAGAACAAGGCTATTACCCGCAGATGGCCATTGGACTAGGCGCAAATTCTACAATTTTGAACACGCTCTACTCATCAGGCCAGATCGCATCTCGGACGTGGTCCATGTTTTGGGGTCGTACAGGAGCGACGGCAGCGACTCAGCTAGATGGAGGTTTCGTCTTTGGGGGTTATGATCGTGCCAAGGTTGTTGGGGCGAATTACACTCGCAGTCTCACATACTCAAGGCCATCTTGTTTCTCTGGAATGCTGGTCACAATCACGAACATGGTACTCAACTTTCCAAACGGAACGGATGCCAGTATATTTGGTGGAATTGAATCCGACGCCATCCAAGCATGCATTGAGCCAAGCTACCCGGTCTTATTAACGGTTCCAACCGATCCTTATTTCAATAACTTCGAGGAACTCACCCAACAATCGATAAACAACAGATCGTTTGGGACATACTACTATGGCATGATATATGGCGGGGGACCTCACGACTCAACACCGTGCGTATATCATAAGAAACAGACTTCTTGCAAATGCTAACAATTTTTCAGATATGCCGGTGATTTGACCATTGAATTAGACTCTGGAATTTCCGTCCGCATACCGAATGATCAACTTGTGGTACCTAACCTTACAATCGATCATACATCAGGCGCTATGATTGCGAATGCATCAGAACCTGAGCTTGTCCTGAATGCAATTCAAGCTGTGAATGCCAACGATCTTCCGCAACTGGGGCGACAATTCCTTACAGCCGCATACCTGATGCTGAACCAAGATGCAGGCACATTCACACTTTGGGAAGCCAATCCTACTGAGAATGAAGATCTGGTGGCTGTTGATGACATGAATACTCCTATAGATGATTTTTGCTCTTCACCTTCTACACCAAATAATAACAGCGCCAACGGTAGTTTGGGAAACTCGAGCATTCCTTCGACCACAAAAAGTACTTCAACTCCAGCCACGACAATGATATCGACAGGGATTATTGTGGGTATTGCGGTTGGAGCTTTCGTAGTGATTGCAATTGTTGCGGGAATCATTATATGGTGTGTCACGCAGAGGAGGAGGAAAAATAACATCATTGCTGCTGCTGCCACCGCCGAGAATGTGTCGGAGAAACATCCTCCGGGATATCCAGGCTACCAGGACCAGATTCAATTTCCCCACTACATCCCACAAGAACTGCATGCAAAAGCAGTGCCCATCATCACACAGCATGAATTGCATGCTAGGACAGCTCACCCCAGCGAACTGCAGGAATTGCCATAAACTTCAAATGTGCCGGCTTCAACCTTAGACTCCATAAAATTTCATGTATATATCATTTACACTTAATTCCTAATTGCATAGTTTGTTAAGATTAGAATAGCTGTCATGGCAGGATTATAGTACCAAGGCGAGAGAGCAGGAAGGAGGTCCTTCACGACCAGTTAAGAAGACCAAACTATCATGTACTTAGTAATAAATTTAGAGCAACCTTCATGCGTGCCCAATTATAGAATCAAGAAAATTCAAGGCTACTCGAACAGATCATTACCTGCCACTCCGACAGGAAGATGCAAACGAAAAGCTTTCAAACGAACCAACAGATGGTTACGGGGACTGTAAGATACGAGTATTTGAAACTCTAGGTTCGTATCCCAGCGTACATGCAGGCACCTACATTACGGATTCGATGCTGCGCATGCAGCTAACTCCCGTTAAGGACTCCGTACACTACAGCTTGCAAAGGGAAATGTGGTTGTGTGAACATAATAACCGCGCCGCTCTTGCACTTAAACAATTATCCTATTTTTGATGAGACAAGATAATGTGCGTACTCCATCATCCTTCAGTCCACTTGATGCAATACACCTGGTCCATAAATTGATTATCCTCCCTGTTACATCCTGGTCAAAATAATGGTAAGGCAGACTCACTGGAGTCCGTCGAATGTATTGGCTAGCATGTGAATGAGCGCGACACGGATAGCGGCAACTGTTTCTGAAGTGCAAAATCTGGTATTGTGGTGCATTTTGCTATTAACTACCTGACGAATAGCGGTTTTGATTGGTCCAGCTTTCGGCGCACTTCGTTCTTTTGCGGATTTTTATCCCCAACGCTGATTGGGTGGTCAGGTACGAGGACGAGCCTTAAATAAGAAATTGAAGGAACGAACTTTTCGGTGAATAGGTGTCCCAGAATGTTGCATCATCCCGGTCATGCGAAACTATGGATCAAACAAGTTGGAATTTTACAGAAGTTTCCTTGAAAGAATTAGTGATGCACTGCTGTATCCCAAGGACCCACTTACCGGAAGTTTATTAATCCAAAACGGACTCGATAGAACATAGAATCTAAGTTTTAGATGGTGCGATGTTATCTTGATACCAGTTCAGCAAGGCTCACACAGAAGATGATATTACCAAGCAGCGTCGCGAAGTTGCCCGTGAAGCTTTTATAAGATCATAGGAAAGCTACAAAAATCATGCTTGGCTTCACGATGAGTTATTACTGGTGAGCGGCGGCTTCAAAGAACCATTTGGAGGTTGGACAGTGAATCCCGTTGATTGCCCGATACACTCTGGATCATGGACCTAAAAGAGAAATTTCACGAAGCTGCTGCAGCGTCCGTGCAACTGGATTGAAGTGTTACCATGAAGTCTTGGAATCAAGCTTTTTGACTACCATCTGGTGGTCTTCCTGTTGCATATGAATTGAGTAACGACCCAAGCATGGTAGAAAAAGCAGTGGAACTAAGCAAAATGTTATACATGGCATTTGACACGCCGAATCGTACCTCTGGGTTCTGGCTTTCCTTTGAAGACGCGAAGGCTGGAAGAAAACTCGCTGGGTACGTAGTGCGTTGAATACATGGGCAACCTCGAGTAGCTGACATGAAAGCAGAACGCATGACCCCAGTTCAGCGCCAACACCTCTATCACTTGAATGTACTAGACTGTCTCAAACCACGGGCGATGATAACTTATGAATTACGATGCAATGGATTGTATTAGACCACCTCTTGAGCGCAGGCAAGAGCAGTCGCTTTTGCTAGGAATGTGGCCGACAATGGTCAATTCCCGGGAGGGAACTGTCATGGGAGATAATTATTTCTCGCTCGGTGCTCTTGCTGACTCGCTTTATGAGTATCTGCCAAAAATAGCCGTACTCCTTGGTGGACGCGAAGGTTCTGCATCTTGCGAGAAGATGTATCGCAGGGCATGGATGTCGTGATTCAGCGCGTGCATTTAGACTCATCTCCCGGGGAAGAACGACTTCTTGTTTGCAGGCACTACTTTTGTTCATCAAGATGGGATTCATCCTGTTCCTGAAATGCAACATCTCACCTACTTCATTGGAGGAATGTTTGCCCTTGGTGGTAAAAATTTTGGGATCGATGAACACATCGACATTGGGGATCCTGTAGCTCGTGAATGTGGTTGGGTGTATCAATCATTCCCTACTGGAATTCATGCCAGAAATATATGTTCTCGTGAAATACCCCCTGCCGGCGGTTCAACCGTGTAATTGGGACAAGGAGAAGTGGCAAGTGAAGGTGATCAGTCCTTAACTCATGGCTTTCGGCATGCTCGATCGAGACCCGCGCTAATAATTCGACCCGAAGCTATCGAGAGTATTTTCATTATGCATCGAATGCAAGACAAAGAAGACCTGCGGGAAACGATGTGGACTATGTTTGAGAGCATCATGAAGTCAACTCAGACGCCTTTAGCAAACTTAGCTATCAGCAATGTAACCGTCAGTGGTGAGACAGAGAAGGAGAACTCTATGGAGGTAAGCAACATAATTCATTTCAATGGGTTGATGCTAATGCATTTGAGCAGAGTTTTTGGATGGCGGAGACACTCAAGTACTTCTACCTAATACTCTCCTCGCCCCTCGCCAAATACCATCCGTCTAGATGAGTACCTCTTTAATATCGAAGCACATCTCTTTAGGCGATTCAATTGAGTTTGGTCTAGTAGAGATAAATGACATCATAAGATCGTGCCATAGTTGATATCTCGAGATTTGTGAATCTTAGATAGGAGCAGTCACAAAATTGGATATACGAATGCAGTAGTGGCGCTAAAATGCTTCTAGAGGGCAAGAGCCAGGGAAGACCCGTGGGAATGCCGCGGAGGTATCGAGCAAGAATGAAATGTCTCGACAGATCGATACTCATATTCTTATGGGCTAGCTGGCCAAGGTGTATTTACAGCAAGATTAGGCCGTGCAAAAAGTGACAAAATGACATCTCTGCATTGCATGGCTAATATCACGGCGTTTATGATTCTCGTTTCAAGTGTCCCTATGGTTGGTGGCGAAGCGTGAATCCTGATTCCTGAAAGCCCCATTAAGCCGGGCATTGCATGAAGGAGCCGGTACCAGAATTCTCTAATCGTCATGCCTGCTGCAAAGGATCGAAATATCTAGACGTATCGCAACTGCATAGTGTAACATCAGGCTAGTTGATCAGAAAGGGTGTTCGATGGAAAACATTTCTATGGACACTCCTTTTTCTACTAGACCTCACCGATAAAGTTCTTATCTTCTTATCATAAGCGAGACAGCTCTCACCTCTTAGCTCCGAATCGCGTCAAGCGCGAACCATCAATAACCTTATGGAAAATATCAAAATGCGATATACAACTCACAACTTTGTACGTCCTCATTTCCTGATGTGTGTCTCTGTAGACGTTTTATAGCTTTTGACTCATGATGTTGCGGTTCAAAGATTGAGCGATCTACTAAACCGCCCCCGCTTTGCCAACGTATAAATCCATCACAATGTCTCTTTGGACAAAACCAGCCGTGCCAGATGCCCCTCCCCCAAAGGGTGTAGCTGATGTGGCAGATACTGGTCTTGCAGACGTAGATCTACCTGCACCTCCGCCAGTCTCTCAAGCTTCTACCGGTGCTTCTACGGCACGTCAGCAACTTGCGCGGAACCAACCTCAACCTCCTCCACCCCATCAACCCCCACCACCACCTGCACCACAGCAGATGGTTGGGAATCCGAACGATTCGCTTTCCTTAATGCAACTGAAAAAACTTGTCACTGAATTTCCGAAGGTCGATCCTACGTCATACACTTTTACATATACCGATACAGCAACATATGAAGAAGAGGTGGATGAGTGGTTTTCATACAACGACGCAGAGTTCAAGAGATTACACAGAGCAAAGGATACTTTTCAGAGAAGATGGAAGAAATCTTGTGCGAAGACTTGGGTCGAAGCTGATAGAGAGGAACATTTGAAGTTTGTGAAGAAGGAAGTTCAGGGTCTACATGCTAGCGACTTACGAAGGAGATGCAAAAGCCTTCAAACTTTGTTACATGTGATACTGGGAATCTGGGATGAGAATGCCGGAAAGAAGGAGGAACTGGAGCTTATGAATTCGAGTGAAACAAAGGGAAGAACAAAAGCAGCCCCTTCCCAAGTCGAAAGTATGAAGACGAGCGTCTCTCTTCTTGCAGAGAGTGGTGGAATCGAGATGATTTACGGTGTGATGCAGACCGCTTTCAAGCATCTATGGTGAGGATGGCGTAATCATGACCGTTAAACATGGCTGACCACATGACAGGGATGACGAATTTCGAGAAACAAAGATAACGGAAGATGATATACCATTTGTGCAGGATGAACTGGACAATGTCATGACTATCTTTTATTTGACGATAGAGGGTGTCCGTTGTCATCCAGAATCTTTAGATGTTGCAAAAAAGACTCTACGTAAGTTTATTCACACCGTGTGAGCTTGAAATACTAATGTTTGGGATCATAGTGGACTTGCAGCCAAAAATGGTACATTATCTATTGACGATTTCTGGAAAGTTACGATGGGACGAGGCCAACGAATTACCACAAACACGAGTTAGTATTCCGACTATCAGAAGGTCCATTAGCTTATTTCCATATTCACAGATCTTCCTCCTCTTCTGGAAATCCATATTGTTTGTTTTTGGAGGCACCGAGGAAATCGAGAAAGTCAAAAGAGCAACCGATGAACTGGCCAACACCGGTGGTGAGAAGATAATTACCGCGTCACCACTTGACTATCACATCTTTCGTCAAGAGATTACTTCGAAGTATCCCGCATACATCCCTCCAGAACCTTTAATACCCCTTGAGCCCGATAATAACTCAATACTCCCGCCATTACCCAATCGACCAAGCAGAGCCAGCACAACTGGTATCCTGAATCCTCCAACGAATGTCAATAGCGGTGGAGCTTCGATTCTTCATCAGCCAGTTCACATAGCTACGCCTGCTCCATCTCCACCTCCTTCTCCACCAGTCGGAGGGAAAGCAGGTAAGAAACAAAACTACCAAACAAATCAAAACTTCCCATTTATGTATCCACCACTTGACAGTACTAGCAATAGTGCAGGTGGAAAAGGCACAGCAGGGCTACAGGATCTTCTTGTAGGTCGTAAATGGGAAGGAAGTGACATTCCGAAGTCGATATTGGAAGCCGGTGAACTATTTGCTGGTAGAATGCGAATGACTAGAGCAATGCGTCAATTATGGGATGAACGAGAACGTTTCTTGAGATTTGAACGTGGATGGGATGACAGAGATGATGAGGATATTGAAGAGCTTGATCTCGACCACATTTTGGCTGATGGGCTCAAACATCAAAAGCCAAAGTCACCAAAAGTAGAAGTTGACTACGGACCACGAAAGGATATTAGTGATGAAGTCAAGAAGAAACTGGACTTGATAGAGTCTTTCTATGTAAGTTTTCAATTCTATAGCTCTACAATCTTCTCTCCAAACTCATATCTCGATAGCAATATTCTATACCACACCTCCAGTCCCTTGTCATAGTCCTTATCAAGGCTCTGTTGGCAAATGTTACGAATTTGATGAATCAGCCAGTGAATGTGCAGCCACAGAGCAGCATTCCTATAAGTGCACGAACAAATGGCGCGCGAGGGCCAGGTCAAGCCCAAGATCCCGCCAATATACCTCTACCCAACCCAATCGATCTTGCAGACCTCACGGTAGATGAAATAGAGGCAATGAGATTCAGAGAAATCACCTCAAAAGCTGTATCAGGCATTCTTCTTATCCTTTTGAAATGGCTAAAAGTTTCACGTAAGTCTTGACAATTCATTACATGTCGTCTCACATGCTAATCTGGTAGATATTCTCAAATTTGAATATTTCACGCAGCTACTACTGGACTCTAATTATCTTCCTTTGATACTTAAGATGTTCGCCCATCAAGAGATAGATAGGATCGTGGACAGCAGAATAGATCGCGAAGACTTGAGGTTGGTATCGTTCCGAAGGATTCGTTCATGGCTAATGACTCTCAGCTTCTTCGCATTCTGTAACGGTAATAGTAAACATGCATCAGTGGCCACTGAAGAAGAAAGTGAAGATGACGCCGCTCCACCTCCAATCAAACTACAGCGGGACAATACCGCAAGCAATATCGATGGTCAACTTCCCGCTCTATCCTTTCAAGAAGGTCAGCATGCAGCTCGTCGAGATACAGAAGTCGATGAACTTGGCATTCCGACGACTGAGGTTATTTCACAGCCTATCACTGAATTCTCCTGGCGCAACTTTTTCTCATCTATAAACTTTCTCCGCATCATGCAAAAAATCTGTAAGAACAAAGCCCATCGGAATTTACTTCTCGTTCAATATAAATCATCCAATATCCTCAAAAAGTCTTTCAAAATACCCCAGCCCGAGCTGCGCCTTTATACTCTCAAATTGTTCAAAAATCAAGTTCCGTACTGTGGTCGTAAATGGAGACAAGGAAATATGAGAGTTATTACGGCTGTTTACTTACATTGTAGACCTGAATTGAGGGATGACTGGTTGGCAGGTAGTGATGTGGATGCTGAAGTTGAGGAAGCATTACCATTGGAACAGGCATTGAGAGCATTGACACATTGGTTTAACCTGAGGAGATATCCTGAAAGAATGGGTGCGGATACCAAGTTATTGCAAGAAGAACACGATTTTTTCACTAGGGAGCTGGAGGGGATGGAGATTGGATTAGAGGAAATGGGTATAGGAAATGGAGAGGAAAGTATGGATGGTAGCATGTGGGGAGATGGGAGTAGCGGTTGGTGAGGTTGAGGTAGGGTAGAGTGAAGCAGTCATTGCTGATTTATATGGCATGGCATTGAGATGAGGTATATGTATACGAAATGAATGATGAATGATGCAGGACGATGATTCTTCCCAGCCACCTATTCACAATCAATCGCCATGAAGTGGATGGATGATACCAATATTTGCATATTGCAATATATATCCAAAACAAAGCCAAACGACTGTGCCTCTCATGTTTCAGTGGAAACAGGAACCACTTTCCAAAACTACTTTGTTACAAATTATTAATATACACCGTAGGCAACTTAATTATTTCTATCGCGAGTATTACTTTTTTCTTAGTTTTGTTGCATGTCGGCAATATACATTAATCAAAATAGGTTGGCAGCTTACTATTTTCATTAAATTTTTATGTTCTTCGTTTGGTTGAGAATCGTTTAACTTTATATTGAGGGGTAAGATTGATTATATTATATTGAACATACCCCGCTTTTTATCTGCACAGGGATTAACACGAGATTTAGGGTTCGAGGATCTCATGCTGCACCATTCATGAGTCGCTTGTGGAGTATAGCTGAGATTTTATCGTGCGTTGGTAATATATATATATATTTTAGTTCTTATGGGTGTATATAAATGTTTGCTAGGTAAAAAGGTCATGTGCTACATGCTATGACTTATTTCCTTTTTCGAGCAAGGTTTATAGTGTACTTTGTTCGCTTTTGTTTGGCCTTGAGAGATGGACGGGGGGAAGGGACGTTTGGTTGCATGCCGGTAATATATTCTCCCACTGTGTATATTATCATAGCACACTGTGCATAGTATACACTATGGACTTATTTCCTCTCTGGAACAAATTTGTCAGTCTGGTTTGATCAGGCGCTAGGATAGCAGGATTTGTTGCATATCGAAGTTTGTTTTCCGGCGTGGTAAGATTTGTCATTGGGTGAGGAGCTACTTCATTGCTGGTGGGAGTTCCGTTTGCTGATTGGAAGGCATGGAGATATTTCCTCTTCTATTTGTGTTGTTGTTTCGGTTTTGCAATGGCAGAGATAGGATGGGTATGAGATAGTTGATGAAGGGCTTGTTGCATGTCATGGATATTCTCCGACGTTAGCTAGTAGGTCACTAGGCATGGCTTGGGTTGATATGACTTCTTGTTGCATGTCAGCAATATATAGCCATATATCATCAGACGAAGATGGATATTTGCCCGAATTTGTTGCATATCAGCAATTTATGTATCTTACTGAATGTTATGGAACTATGTCTTTTACAGTATAGTCTTTATTCATGTTTTGTTCCATGTCGAGTATTATTCTCTGGAGTATTGTGACCAATTGCTGGTCATTCCGTAAGCGTACATAGTTTTGTTGCCTGTCTTCAATATATGTTCATTTAAGGCTGTCTTATGTTCTATGCCGATTTTTATATGTACATAAAAGTCTACGGTTTTGTTGCATGTCGCATTATATACCTTATGCATCTTATGCACCTTATTCAAAACGACATATAACTTTTCATTCGCGTCACAAACATCTATCTATGTGCTTCAAACAAGAGACGAAAACCATCGATTACTGAACATAAATCTGGAGAATAAAACTACGACATGCAACAGATGCATGTCAAGTTTTTTACTCGGCACCTTGTGACGAGATCAGATCACATATTGACCATGACTAGCGATCTAATGGCTTGATCCTTCATAGAAGACTTTTGTTGCATATCGATGGTTATTCTCCGAGGTCTGGCAGAAGTAGCGATTGGCATAATAACACCCCTTTACCCCAGCAAGATGAAATTTGTTACGCACCAATTTTCATTATTCGATGTCTCAGATCGTCATACTTACCCCATTGTTCGTCTCGCACGGCAAATGGAGCCGGCATCACCTTTCTTACTCGGATGAAGGGTGTTTATTTTTGAGCTTTGAAGGAAGATTAAAATATCTAGGTAGAATTAACGGCTGGCCCACACAGACGCATTTACTATGTCTCACTAAATCTACAAACATGGTGAACTGGTGCACCTATCCATGTCTCAAAAGCAAGTTTCACTTTATACCCACGTAGTGGAAAAATGATCGACTCATGAGTGTTTTTGTTGCATGTCTTTCAAACTTCCAAAGAGGGAGAAATCTAGGTGTATGAGACGACTTATCCACCATGCTCATCACATGAAATTGGACTCCAAAATAACATGCATTTTACAGACCATGCTAACGAGATTTTTTGATTATGTTTTCTTCACTTAACATGAGACGGGGAAGACTTCGAGGCTCCTACGATTCTATATCTTCTGAACAAATAGGAAGCACTTGATGACCCACCATTAGCAACTCCACACCTCATAACATCGGTTCCACGTCGGATGGTAAGGATATATATGTTTTTGATTTGATGCTGGAGCTACAAGCAACCTCAAGACTTCATCTGAACATGCTTTTGTTGCATGTCTAATTCTCCGATTCCAACATTGACACAAGTGACGGTTCATATTGTGACTTTGTTCTTGCAAACTTGAGAACTTTGCGTCGCCTCTTTTTAATACCTGATACTTCACCAATGACATTAGAGGCACGGGTGTAAGATTACAATTGTGTGAAACGGACAGCTTTGACTTGACAGGTCCGTCAGAACCTGAGCTGCCTTTGTCAAGGTCGATGTCAAAGCCTCGGATTGTCCCGATGACCGGAATCTGCACTTGTTCCTTCCTCCTGAAATAGCTTTTGAGATCCTGGCGATACATATACATCTACCGTATTGTATTATATTAGTAGAACCTCTGCATGGATTCCAGGCTCTGTCACATCCGTATCCAAATCTACTATCGCCATGGCTCCCTAATTTCGAGATCTCGATTCCTTTGTGCTCGCCTGGATTGCTATCTTGCGGCAAAATATTTAGTCGCTTTAGTTTCAACCATGCCTTGATGACTAGGGTTCTTTAGTCGTCGTTCTATATCAAAACCTCACGTAGTTAAGAATTTAAAGAAAGTTCCTCACAAGTTGAAACTTTAGGTGGAAAGATAACGGTTATGCGTGGTCTGTGTAGATGAACGTTCTAGACCATGCACCTAGCGATCCACACTTTATGTGAGGAACCCAGCCTCAGTCGACAAAACATCAATATAAACAAAACAACGTGGGCCAAAAAAAGTTGGGATGGTTTGGGATAGATATTTTCGTAAAGGACTGAAGAATTGAATTTTGACACCACTCTGTCTATTGGTCATTCGAAACAGCCCAAAACACTGCAATAGGTTCAGTTATTCAATCTGGAATTTCGGTCAGACGTGATTCGAGATCAGAGCCCCGGCTGGTAATTAATGGCATAGTGATTCCGGCTTGAGAATCAATTTAGATTGATATCATATAAGATATCATCAGTGCAGCCCCATAATGCATATAGTATGTCTCCAATCGTTCGGGGCAAAGATGGCTGATCTTAGGTTGGAGATCTCCTCTTATATATGGTTTCATCTAAAGTGCCGCCTGGTCGAGCCATTCTCAGCCATTTTCCCATAGGAATGTAGGTATCCAGAAAACCAAAAAAAACTTTCGACAGCCTGCCAGATTGTATAAACCTAAGTTATATAACAAATTAATGGTCCGGAGCTTCTCATGATGTTGTTGGTGGCCGCTTCATGGTTCTTGCTTCCCGGTGTAATGTTGAGTTTATCACGTGAGCATCGCGGAAACTCGAAAGTAACCCCGCGTCAATGCGATTGCAACATCAACTCATGGTAACATAAGAGAAATACACCGGTATCTATCTATTATCATTATTGCTTCTCCAAAATATCTTCAGGCAATACGATTAGGAACGTTTATGTTCCAGTTCTGTTATTCAATCACACAATGGCCCAACCTGCACCATATGACATGACTTTAGATTTGCTGAAGGATTTGTGTCCATGTTCTGTTTCGTTTGCCAGAGCTGTAAAGAGAAAACTGTACAGTGAGTTGTGTATATCATCAACCACGATCGAGTGAAACCTAGCAAAATACCTGTCCAGAATCACACCGCTATTCTACAGCCCTGAAAAGCAGTCGCGCACTGTTGTTTTACTGTTGTTTTGAGAACTCGGTCCTCGTTAGATGGCAGGAATCCTGACAGATAAGTGAATGCCGGTTCAAATGGTGACCTGCAAAACGAAACAATTAGCGAGGTTCTGGGAGAAAAAGGGCGTTGGCCAATATTCAGCGATCGAGCTGTTGATTTAAAATGGGACTGGAGCTTAACCACTGGTATCGAGAAGGCCATATCATGTATTAACCGGAAACCGAACACTTTGGCTGGAAAGCCTTACAATATATACCACGGGAAGAACATTCCGGATCCTAATTGACCTCAGAAAGCAAATCCTATTATGGTACGACAATTTCACTATCTTCGCTCTGCAATGGTTTTCAACAGGAGGCAATTTATTCTAGAAGAGAATGATATACGCAAGCGGGCATTTCTTTCAAACCATACTGGTACACCGTGTTTATTAAATGCCAATGAGACAGATGAAGATGATTGACCTCCCTGGCCAAATGTCTCTCGGATGAGAATATTAGCCGAGACAGATTCATATGCCTCTACTGTCCTAGTGTACCACCTATGCCCACTGGGCAGCTTTGACAAAGCCAGAAGATCCGTTACGAGTTCCATAAGGAATAGGATTTCATCACAAATCCAGCATTCAGTTACGAAAAGCATGTCAATATTTATGCGGGTGATGGCAGTATCTCAAGAGGTAGTGGCGAAGTGACGATCGGAGACTGTGCTAATAGTCACAACGATATTCGCCTTGCGAAAGATGATCAGAAATTATGCATAGACCCTGGTGAGGCTCCAATGGTTTCGAGAATGGCTTTACTGTATAGCAAAGGAGCTTGCACGGGAAGAATGACCCTTTACGTTGGCAGCGAGATTCGCGGCACCAATTGTGCAAGCAAACCCTCCGAAGTCGGCAAATCATTCATTATAGAGTCTCCATGAATGCACTTCGAATCCAAAGATTTGGAGCAAAAATTACTGAACCAAGCAGCTCAGTGAAGTTTTTGAAACTGTTTATGGTGTAAGTCACACGATTGCCCAGCACTTGGAAATTTTCGTCCATCATCCGGACATGAATGTCTGCGCTGATCCGGCCGACTGTAATTTTCCTTCTGACCTTGGTCTTCCATCCAAATTTCCGTACCTATACGGATGTCAGTATCAAGTGGTCAATGTGTGCTTCTGACCGTGACATTGAACAGACAGACGAAGCTTGTCGCAGAGAAACATTCAGAACGGCTAGCACTGCACTTCTAGTAGCTCGATTATGATAGCTAAGTGTTTTGAAACTTCCCGTTGGCCTTACGACGATTCAGCTGGATATAGGAACTGCCAGGAGCGAAACAAGGTCTTTGTAGAAGCTGGTCTAGAATCTGAGTGGCAACAGTGGAAGGAGCATGATAATCGTACTTTGCTCGAGGAAAATCCCAATTTTTCCTAGGTCTTAATCCATTCCTATTCAATTTCTCGGATAACTTTTTTTTACTTTCCCCGATGGTCATTTGGCCGGATCCTTCTTCTGCCTGGAATCAGCCTACTCTGTGTTTGGTCATTAGATTCCATGTCAGAATTCCTCAAGTGGTTATGGGCAATGTTTTACCACAGTGTCATTGGATAGAAAGAAATAATAAATCTCTATATGATTTTGTTAGTTTGTCTATGCAGATGCCTTGGTAGAGAGAAGGAACCACCTTTGCATATGGATACGTTCCAAAATGGAAAACAACTCCGAACTGTAATAGTAGCTAATTCCAGATGTAATATATGCGCATTTTGGTGACCAGAGGTAGAAACTAGCGAGGCTTTCATTCAAATGGCATTTTTGTCGTCACAAATGAAGTGATGTCACCGTATTTGCTAAATGTCTTCAGAAAAACGCCCATGGAGAAATTAAGTTTTCCACGATTACCTACATTGAAATCTGGATACTCGCCAAACGAACTATTTTCTGACCTCGTTTCTACGTTCTATTGTAACTTTGAGGATTTTTCATATAGTGCAATGGAACCAATTAACTCGGGCATTTTTGGCGACTAAAACGGGACATCTCCGGGTAAGTGTGATTTACTTTCACCGATTTTAGTATAGATAGATATTGAGGCTCAATGGCCTAGAAAATCATGATCGGCAATCTTGTCCTAGGTTTTAGACCTTGGGATATTTCACGATCCGAAATTCATCAACGAGCATTACGTACTTGCTCTTTCCGGAAGTAATTGAATGATTAGGTGCTTTTGCTATGCATTGATGAAGGAATAATGATTAAATCTTATACCACCATTAATAATTTAGCAGTTTCTATTCCAAATGAAGTTTCCAACGTTTTGGAATGTGTCGATGGATCACGATGCTTTTGGTCAATTAGGCTTAGTTTTAAAAGACCACCCAATATATGAGAGTGTAGCGCCCTTTCATCTTCGACGTTGCCACCGTTTTCACCCGGAAATGTCATCACTACCTCGGCAATCAAGAAGTTCTTTGGTACTTCTACCTGAGTTCCCACTTGCCTCAACATATTCTGCTAAGGTTTTGAGTCACATCTTAGTCCTTTTCCTCGAGAATTTAAGATTCCCGCGGTTACTTTTTCATCTATAACGTCTTCTCAGGAGCATGCTTTTACTTTTAGCCTAATTGTGAGTTCCTCACGCTCAAGTCATTTTTCTATTCTATAGAGAATTTTTGATGTGATAAACTTGCCAGACGCCTAGACCAGATCTTTTTGCTTTAGACCAAAAGGGTTGAAAATTTGCAATAAAAGGGTCATGTTTTCTAGTCATAGATTTGCAATGAAGTATTATGAAAGACAAAAGTTCTGTCTTTATGCTCAGGTATTCTCTACTGAGGCTCTCATGAATTGAAATGCGATATTGTCCCATCTTCAAAAATTGACATAATAATTGTTAGTTCTGGAGCATCACACCACTGTTTCTCTGGACTTCAATGCTCACTTTAAAAATAGTATAGTTTGACATATTTCCTCAAAAGCTAAAACAAATGACAGTCGTCATTCTTGCCACCCAAGCTCTTTTTATTAGTGAGCTATTGACCTTACCAAAACAAATTTGTGTGGCGAGCAATAGAAGACAGCCATAAGTCAAAAATGTGATATATCCTCTTTTTTCGCTTGAATGATGTCTACGAAGTTTAATTAAGGTTGCGCTAGTCTAGGACTAGACTGCATGCATGAAGATTAGAGAGACCTGGGGAAATAACTAGCGTCGTATTACCTCCAGTAACGATCTAAATGTGTCAGAGATTGCCACTTGATTGATTACCGCGCCATAATTCTAACCGTTTTTTCTAAGCGAACACTTGTAAGATGCAAGCCCTGCCTAACCCGATTCCATTCACATTTCAAACGCCGAACGTACTATACTTATCTCAAAGAGCTTCACGACTGTAACTACTAACTTGGTAGTTGGCAGTTTAGAATTTCATTTACTGAGATGCTTCATTTCTCATCCAACATTTATCGGTGGCCTTATTATAGTTCCAATCGTTCAGATCGTGATGCAGGGTCCTTGAAATCCGTGTCTCTGTTCAATCCTTTTGAGTCGCATAGTAATAGGGTCATTTTGGGTTATTCTCAGTCTATTACTTTAGTTGACACGCTTTTAGAATGGCACGTATGACAGGCAAAGAGCTAGTATGGCACTAGTCCGGATTAGAAAAATTTGGCCACAAGATAAAAACATAATCAAACTATAATCACGAATGGCACTTGTCGACATTAGCAACAGAAGTACTTTCCTTTCTATGACACCCCTAGCTGGTATTTTACTTCTAGTTGTTGATATGTTTTTCGTCTTTCCCGATCCATTTGCCGAAATTGGCAGACGGAAAGAAGAAATAGTCAATAAAAAGCAATAGTCTCAAGGAGGGCAAAGTCCAATTCTACACTCTTACCGGCTTGTGCTTCTATTTTCAAGCTTGCGGGCCCTCAACTATAGAGTAGCAAAAGTGCCCTTTACGAAGGTATTATGGGCCCCATTGCTGTTTTATTTTATTAGACAAGCAATAATAATCGGATTTGTTCCTTCTCCAAGTATGAATTGCACTCTTGTCCAACACGGCTAACAATTGTCAACTTACACATCTAGGTGTGCTTAGCCGAGATAAGTATATCATGAAAAAATGACGAGCTAATGAATCCTACAGTGCTCTGGCTCACGACTGACGATTGGGATAACCCTATAATATTTTTAAGGTATGATACTTGCATCAACCTGCGTTCGCATGTCAGGGTGATTTTTGCGGCCTCGGTTATTTGGTGGAAAACAAAGTCCTGGTATCCCAATCATAGTCTTGCTTTGAAATAGCATTCGTATTTGGGGCATTTTGATTTGTGTGGCTTTAGTTCGAGAAACTCTATTAAAACTGCTATATAGGGTGTGGAATTAATTTTTAGATATGTTGATTTGGATGGTTTATCAATCTCCGCAGCACTCAAGGTTCAAAAACTCCATTCCATCCACGTCAGTATCAAATACGATGGCCGAGCCACGTCCGAGAAATGACGAGTCAGTATCTGGAATATGGGTATCACCGATCTCGTCCCAGGAGCTGTTCCAATGTACCACTGTTCCAGTTTCTGGAGGTGCATTCCATCCCGACATCGTATTGTTGGTAGGCGAAAACTCTAGCTGCTGCTGCCCGACAACTTTTTTCCTATACTCTCCCATAGTCACACCTGCCTCCCTCTTAAATATTCTACAGAAATGACTTTCCGTTAGACCAACTTCCTTTGCCATTTTCCTTAGTGTCCATTTCTCGCCACCATTTTCGACTTCGTTCTCAATTAACTTCATGACTCTGTCGACGATCCTCTTTCCCCTTCCAGTCTCGCCCAAATCATCAACTTCAAGTACCTTATCCACATGGCCGGCAGAGTTCTTCACACGATTACTGTGTGTACCGCCACCCCCTCCGCTCCTCAGTCTCTCCTTATCGATATCAGGCCGACATCTCTTGCAAGCACGAAATCCATCGTCCTCTGCTTCTTTCCAAGTCTCATGAAAAACGATGTTCGCACGACGTGCAAGTCGCGAGGGACAAGTGGGTCGACAGTATATCTTGGTCGTAATGACGCAGTAGATGAAGGAAGAATGCGCCAGAGGATCACGAGACAGGAGTGCTTGGTGCCGTTGACTTGAGGTGAGGAAGTGGTGTTTGTTTGACATCTGAATTAAATCCTTTAATGGACTTATGTTTTGGTGCAGGTATGCTTTGAATAGATTCGAATGTGGTTGAGGATATACCAATAATGAGAGGATAGCGGGGTGGTCGTTGATGCGAAGATGACTCAGCATTCACTGTGATAGAAGTGACCAATGGGAAGCTTACATTCCCTGTCACTAGATGATCTAACTTCGTTTTCTCTAAGCCTACTATTTTGACTTGTTAAGATACGAGCTTCGAATTCAGTTTTATGTTGAATGTCTTTTTGCTATTAAAATATCATCGTACGAGATCAGTCTGGCACAGCATCAGGATATCTGCAAGACAAGCTCGATTCCTCCAGGCTCAAGGCTAGTGGTTGCACCCAATATTCCAAAGACTTACCAGCTTACACTTTAATTAGGAAGATCGAAACTTCAAAGTCCAGGAAACGAATACCAAAGATCAACCAACCTTCGCATAAAAAGTTCAAGAATAGAAATGTCTGAAGTAAAATCTCCATCTGCCTTGAGTGGCTTCACCATGATCGGCATTACAGTCTTCCAACGTGTATGTCCGCTCCACTCTTTACAATTCTCTCATTAATCCCTACACAGAAAGTCTACAATCTCCTTCTTCAGATTCCTTCCGGAAAAGTCTCTTCTTATGCATCTCTTGCTAAAGCTCTCTCAACTGCGCCTCGTGCAGTCGGCGGAGCTTTGAAGCGAAATCCTTACGCGCCACAGGTGCCATGTCATCGGATCATCTGTGCTGATGGTGTATGTTTTTTTCATCATTCTACCAAAATTGACATGTAATCACTTGTAGTGCTAATCAGGTTGTTGATGGTAGGCAATTGGAGGGTTCAAGGGGGAAGCGCAAGATGCACCGTCGGGCATAAACCAAAAAGAGAAATTGAGCTTGCTCAAGAGTGAAGGGGTTGAGTTTGACGAGAATGGCCAATTAGTGGATGAAGAAAGATGGTGGGATGAGTTTCGTGTCTGAGCACCTCTGCACGCATGATTGATATTTGAGGCAATGGAGTGCGATAAAAGAGCATTTGGGAAATTGAATGGACATCAGATTCATTATAATCAGACTTAGATGGCTTAGATGGCTTAGCCAGTGAGTGAAATTTAGTAGCAACTCATGTTGTTTCATCCGCTGATTCGCGACCAAAGCTTGTCTAATGTCAGTCTTAATTTCAAGCCTAAAATAGCTATATCCGGCAATCCCAGAAAATTGTTTGGGCCCAGAGCAAAGGCGAGAGCAAAGGCGAGAGCAGATATTATATTGTAAAAGTGGTAGGTCGAGATACGTGCGTCCCGATAGCACGCTGTGAGGAGGGAATTGAAAGAGAAAGCTGAATTAGATTATATTGTAATACGTCACTTATGGGTAAAACGGGGTTCACAATGGTTTTGAGATTGATGCTATATGGGTTCAAATGTATATATATAGAAGGTTGATTATTGTGAAAAGAAAAGGCAAAAGGCTCTTCTTTTATATCTAACTACAAAAGGTCATGTGATTGACTAGTTAAAACCTTTATGTATTTGGCCTATAATTCCAACTTTCTCACAATATATTGAGTATGTCGATTGACTACAAGTCATGGGACAACTCTTCCTAGTATAGATCCAACCCGTGCTCTTTCTACGTAACTCAAATTTTGATGCTTGCGGTAGAGTTATACCCACCGCGAATTGCTATAGACTACCTTGAATTTGTGTGTAGAGCCCTAAATGTCCTATCCACACTTGGCAGCGTCTCAATATCATGATACTAATGGCGACTAAGAGGCAGAAGGCAGCGTGGACGAGCAGAAGTGGCATAGCTTGTTTACGATCAGATTGGGGAAGAAATGCGGAACTTTTTGGCAGCACCACAACGGCAGCGGTAACAAAACTCCAAGCGGATGAATCCCGCCCCGCATCAAACTATGCCCAAATTTAAATACCGACTCGGAAACCAATATAGGTACTGGCAATTCAGCTGGTAGATTTGCGTTTAACCATGCTAATGCTCTAACCAAGTGGCAGCTCTAATTGTATCCTAAGTGAGAGTCGAGATTTTGCTGCTTAGCCCAAGCTAATAAGATAAATGCAGCCTCAACTGCTACCCAGCGACGAAGTCTGCCTATCTTTCCTTGTCATTGCAATCACAATATTGTACATCAGATAGCGCGAAGGAAGATTGAACTGCCAATGAAGGCATGTGCCCACCTGAGGAAAAGGACCGGATGGAATGAGATTGCCGAGCATTCAAACAGACGTGCTAATCATAAAATTATATTCAAGGTCTAATTCACGACACCAGTGTTGACATTGAGCAATAGAATAGTATTACTGGTCCCCAGATCAGTAATTAATCACTTGCAGGGTTCACGGGTTGGAAAAGAATGTCATTGACGTAACTTCTTGACATCATGAAATTTCAATCATATCAAGGTACGATAATGATTGAAGGATTAACTCGAAACCTCTTCCTTCAACCCGGAAAGGATTTGCTCAAAGATACCTACGCCCTCTCTACCCAATGCCGTTCCCACACCCACTATCGACGCACCAACAGTACGCATTCTGGTAAAACTTGGACTGTCCTTCACTCCTCCAACACCAATTATCTCCATGTTCCTTACACCCTCAATTGGCGACGCATCCAACATTTTTCGTATTGTCTTGACATTTCCTAATGCGATTGGATGTAATGCGTCACCAGCCATTCCACCGATACCTTCACCATTTGAAGAACCTAGTGCAGGGTTTCCGAATTCATCAATAACCAAACATGAGCCAAGAGTATTGGTTGCTGTGATAAATGATATGGGAATTCCTCCATCAAGTGATGCTCCAGATTCCAGTGCAGAAATTAAGTTCCTAAATTGCTCGGAATATGTGTAAGGTGGGGTTTTGATGCCTACGTGAATGCTGTTGGGCGCCTCGGCTTTTACACTTCTGATGACCTTTATGTATGAGGCCAGAGCTTTTTCGTTATAGGCAGGAGGTGGCTTCCCCACGATATTTGGACATGAAAGGTTGATTTCCATCATAAGGTTGAGATTGGCTTTTCCATGTTGTCGTAAAACATGCCTATAGCATTCAGCAACTTCTTCAGCTGATCCAGTAACGGAAATTATCCACGGTTTGGGAGTAAGAAGCTGAAAACTTTCCTCCTTTGCAAGTTCAAGAAGGATGTCCAAATATGAGTCCAAAGATATGGGTGAGTAACCGAGTGTGTTTAGGCTATTTGTCTCGCCCGGGATGACATTACTTCGGCCTTCTGAGATTTCAGCGCAGGTTGAGTTAGATTTAGGATCGAAAAATGTATATTGATGTAGTTGTGAATCATGTTGAAATGGATTGAGGAGCGACGTTCTGACGGTGACAGCACCTGTATGAAGACAACGGTAAAGGGCAAGGAGGTCGCCTTTACTTGTTGCCCACTAGTGATGACAATCAGCTCTCAACTTTCACGATACACTCAAATATTTGGCTATCCCCGTTAGGGAGATACAATCAGTTGATTTTTAAGAAGTGTAAAAAGGGGCTTCGGTAAGACTGTAGGTATAGCGCCGTGGAATATGTAGAGAAATTTGAGCTCGGTGGTCGGATGAAGAGATAGACTTACAGGGTTAGCTGAATTTATCAGTGGAGGTGAAATCCCTAAGACATTTGTAGCTTGTTTTTTGGCCATGATTCTCTTAGGTACGTAATTATTCTCGCGCTCTACACCATGACAGTAATCCTGTAACGATAAACAGAGGAAATGTTTAGTTATCGCTTAGTAATCATTGCCGAAATCTCACCGGGAACAAGGTCAATGTGGGAGGAGATACTACTACTCCATGTAGCTTTCATACTTTTCAGTCGGTACTTGGATACCACTTTTACTCTCGGTACGTATTCAACGGTAGGCAGTCATATTCTTCTCAGTCCTTTGTTTTTCATAAATTAATACGTCTTTCCGCACGTTTATTTCTGGAAGCCACGATAATGACAGCGCTCTATGCGACCTCTGATCAACAGCAGCGCTGAACTCCTTTTCCAAATCTTACTCGCGAAGGACAACTTCTCATCGGAGTTTCAATACACGATGCTCTCTGGCTAGGGCGCGATCATCTTCTCCACCTTTGCTCGGAACATTCTCTGCCAATTCGTCGGCTCGATTTGCTCAGATGGTGGAATAACACTTGGGCGCAGGGCAGCCGGAAGGTATCATACCTACTGCGAGATTCAACGTTCAATTTGCGTAGGAGATGCACTAAGATTCTTCGTGGAAAGTGATCGGCCGTTTAAAGAAATCTGGTAGGCACGCCCTGGTTTTACTATTTGTCATAATGCGTATTCCTGCCGTGGGACATTACCTTTGATTACCTGTAACATAAATTGACATTTAAGTGCAGGCATTTCTACGAAGTACGACCACTTCTTTCCATTCCGGAACTACAAACGAGATCAAGCAAAATCCTGACGTGGTCGGGAGATCTGGCGCAAAATTATGGCGTTAAGTAAGGGGGAACTGATGGATTCCAGAGTTTGTGAAAGGTCGAAGACTGCTCAGAGGTTGAATTGCGACGCAGCCGGAGAAGCCTTCGTGGAGCATACACTTCGAATCGTCAGACGGGCACTTGACCGAAATGTAGGATTCTGTGTCTGGCCCTCCCGAAGAAGACAAACTGGTTGTTTGGTTCCCATCATAAGTTGCTGAACACACCAGCACTCCCCATTGGGTATCATCGAATTCAAAGCCTATAGAATGAAAATGCGCGTCGGATTCGCTAGGAGAGCAGCGAGATCAATGTCACTCAGCAACATCGGACGAAAATGTCTCATGTTGCAACTCATAACTAGGTTGAGATCTCGGAATTTTAAAGCATCTTTGCTCTCAAATATCTAAATAGATGCTATCACTGAGCTTTCTGACTATGTTTAGAAGAAGCGGAGGCCATGACATCACAACGTTCGCATAGTATGGTGGAGTTTCGCTACTTCCTATCCATAAGTAATGGAGGAGGGTTGTTACGCCATCTTAGGGTTTCAAAGTTTCCCAGGCCAACTTGGAATTCAATCAATTATCCAACGTACCACTCAACCTGGTCCCATGCCCTATATCAAGCGATAGAGAGTTCTAGCCTAAAGAGAATTTAGCAGTGAGTTGAGAATTACCCTTTCTTCTCTATTGGCTCTTTTCCGAGAAAGCTTTTTCATATCATCTGCAAAATTACGGAGTATTACCAAACCAACATTTATTATGTTTGCTACCTTTTAAATTTATCCCGTCTCAATAGAGCATTGACACGTACCATGATCGCCACACACTCATGCAGAATTGCACTCATGCAGAATTGCGGGTCACAACGAGAACTCGAGTTTGCAGTTTCTAAGAGTGGACCCTAGCCAGAGTGGGAGTCAAATACCGATACCCCAAAAGTAATCTTTTCCCCAGGTTTAGAGAATGGATCAATCGTTACCGGACCATTACGAAACCCTCGGGATTTCTTACAATGCTGTTGCACAGGATATCAAGAAGGCCTTCTTCGCATTGGCCAAAACCCACCATCCCGATAAAAATAATGGAGGACCAACAAAGGAATTTGTGAAGGTCGGTTTTGTTTTGTCTGGTCAAGCAGGAGTTTTGAGGAGAAGTGGTTCGCGGGAATCTCGAAGAGCTAATCTGTTAAAAGGTCAGAACGGCCTACGAAGTCTTATCCGACAGAGATCAACGAAATATTTACGATCGCCAGTTTCAAAATGTGAGGCCTAGTGTGGAATATCAAACATGGAAAGCACCGGACAACTATACGTACGAGAGAAAACGAGAACGACGGTATTCCTATAGGATAGGATCGAGTGCAAGCGAAGCTCCAAAATGCTCTGACGCACAAGAGGCGGAAGAGAGGAGGAAAACAGAGGAGGAGAATATCAGAAAAGCTCGCGAATCATTAGATGCTCTTATGAAAGAGTTGGAGGCAATTTCGGAGCGTTTAGAAAGACGACAATATTGAGCTGGAAAATAAAAAAGGGACGCCTACTGGATGGGAAGGTGGGAGACAGAAGATTCGGAGTAGACTGCTATGAATGAAGATCAACATTTCTAAATTCCGTGGATGGGATACGTGGACTACAGAAGAGGCGCCAGACTCAAAGTATTTGTCCATTGTCCAGGTACGAAGCGTTGCCCTATTTGGAACAAGCCTCAGAACGACTTGGGACATTTAATTCGGCTTCCATTGCGTGGCTCGCACCGCACCTCTCTGAGCATATGACGTTAGATCTCGAGTGTCGAAAGTGAGACATGGTATTTCTAGCGAAGCCCATGGAATAGATTAACGACATTGTGTTGGATAGGATAGCTGGTCATGGATTAGCAGTGAGAATGAATGTACAATAATATTGCGAGGAAAAAAGAGAACTAAATCCGGATGGCTATTTGCATGAAAATTGGCGGATTAGACTATACTTGTGCACATTCGAGTGAGGCATTATGACATTGGATCGACCACTATACCTTCTTGCGGTCAATGCTCATGGTCATGCTCTGTTGTTTCGTTGGCCTTGACCGTCCAGTCTCACCTTACCTTGCAGTTGTGTCTTTTATTGGAAGTATCCCTAGAGTATCCCTAGACTTTCAAGTTTTATGTTTATCTTTCCACCCTTTTTCGCAGGAACTTTGCATCCCTCTCTTTACCGGGCCCATGTATGCGTCGAATGACTTGATATTCTTCGCAGGTAAACTGGATATAGATAGGATTTGCTTGATCATGTTTCGTATTCCAATTGGAAAATTTCTGGCATCCTCAATGTAGCTCCTGGTTCACTCAACAGACCGCTTTAACGCCTTCATCTCTTTCAGCCTTAAGCATTCCATGTTTTCATTCATTGTGTCAAATAATTTGCCTCATCACAGACTTAAATCCAGCAGATTGGACACATCGGATCACTTTTCACACCAAAGGGCTTTGTTAACTCGGACTTCCCCAATACAAAACTCCGATATATCAGCTTCGCTTCCACAGCCTACCTCAAACTCTACGTTACACAAACCTTTAACACCGCCTCGCGTCCCAGCCTTATATCCCATACTTCCTTGATGAATGCATGGGACGCGCAATCGATATTTTTTTATCCATTCACATCGTCATGATCATGCACACAAAACAAAAGTAAGCTCAATAAAAACTGAGATCGCTTGGCTGTATCGACATGTCTCGCACTCAAAACTTCCAGTAGACTTTGCACAAAAGCATTGACCGTCCCTATATGATATTTTTTGAGCTCGGATGAGCAATTTGACGTAAAGAAAGCGGCGCACGTCCTGTAGATCCATCGGTTTTCCATAGGATATTTGATGTCGGGTCTTGATAAATACACCAACTACTCAATCGCAGAACCAAGATGATGATATATATAAATTCGTGGATATACTACTACTAAGAAGCGGGGAAGTAAGCTCAGTTGCGTGTCTGTTTCAAATGCATTTCTTTATCTCTATAGATTTTGGTTGGTTGAATCTCGGCGTGATACCAAGCCGCGGGCGTCATGTATATCAGCTTGTGTAACTTATACTTGCAGCTATATTTGCCCAACCTTTTCCTTGTGATTTTAACTTCTTTGACATCCTGTACTATCTGGAATATTAATAGCCAACAATCCCTTTTCCAAAAACACCTTTCCATTACTCTGATGTTGATATTTTCTTGTGAATAGAGTATATTTAAATGTTACAACATGAAGTTACTTAGCCCTCTGCCGTTTCTAGCCTCGATAATAGGCATCAGTATGTACCTTTCCACGCCAAGTTTGGGCAAATCCCTCTAATTCAAATTATAGTTCCCGCAACTTCTTCTCTCGCAACATATTCTACTAGCTCTGGTGGCCCGTCTTACTCGGTCGGAATATCCGCAAGTAATTCAAACAATGTCTACTTTCAACTCGCAGCCCCTACTTCATATCAATGGGTCGCTCTTGGCATCGGTTCCCAAATGTCCGGAAGTACCATCTTCCTGATGTATGCTGATGGCAGCGGAAACGTGACACTCTCTCCTCGCAAAGGCACGGGACATGTCGAACCAAAGTACGATAGTAGTATGACCGTTAAATTGCTTGCTGGAAGTGGTATAGTAGACGGAAATATGGTCGCCAATGTTCTCTGCACAAGCTGCAGTTCTAAATTAGCATCTACAACATCGACATCTTCAAACTGGATAGCTGCTTGGAATTCTGGCTCGGCACTAGATACTACCGATACCTCGAAATCTATATCTCAACATTCGGGATCTAATCATCGCTCCTTTACGTTTGATCTTTCCCAAGCGCAGCTAGAATCTGACTCGAATCCCTTTACCTCGGCTTCTTCTGCTACAACTTCTTCACCTAGTGGCGCATCTTCAAGCTCCTCAAGCTCATCTACGTCTAGCGGAACTTCACGGGTCCAATCATACGACATGGCGCATGGAATAATCATGGGAGTAACCGTAGTACTACTCTTCCCCCTCGGAGCACTCTCCATGCGAATCTTCGGTAGACCCTGGCTTCACGCCAGTTTACAAATAATCTCATTTATCTTCCTGATCGCAGGTCTAGGACTCGGAATCAAACTTGCAGGATTGAGATATGGATCCTTCGGACCCAATCTTGCTCGTCGTACTGTTATTGATGAAATTGCAAAGAGACAGTTTGGTGCGTTTGGAAGTAGTACGTTCACGGGTACACCTCCTTGGGCTACTGCCACGGGTACGAATACAGGGGGTTTTAATAATCCCACTTCGACTTCTGATTCTGGGTCTGGCTCTAATTCTGGTTCCGGTTCCGGGGCTGCATCACAAGGTTCTGGAAACGCAGCTATTACAGGTGCTTCCGTCACTCCGAATTTAGGCACGATTGTGAGTTCTTTTCCCCAATGATCCCTTATATCTTCCCAACCAAGTCATAACTCACAAAATAGATCACGAATACAACACATATGATCTTCGGCATCATTCTAGTAGTTTTATTCTTCATCCAGCCCTTCCTAGGCCTCATACATCACTGGAGATACATGCGAGCTCAACGCCGAGGAATGTTTGGATATATCCATCTATGGTATGGTAGGATATTGATTGTTCTCGCGGTGATCAACGGTGGGTTGGGTTTGCAATTGGCTTCTAATACGAAGAATGGGGAGATAGCTTATGGAGTTATTGCAGCATTTATAGGATTGTTTTATATTGGCGTTGTGGTTTTTACTGCTGTGAGGAAAAGGAGGAGAAATAGAGAATGGTCGAAAACTTTCTAAGTATGGAATTAACTTGTTGGAGTAAGGGGCGCTCGGTGAGGTATGGATAAATGAGAATGGTGCAAGTTACAAAGGAATGAATTCGCAGGACATGAATTGGGGTTATAATCTTTTTATTTTTCCAATTTTCCTTTTTTTCAATAATTACAATGATGATACCAAGGAGAAAGTGCCGTCTCCCATGGCCTATTGTTCCGTGTCGGCGTCTCTGGGCAGAAACTTCCTCAAGTTGTCTAATGATGGCTTGTTCAATTAATAGCTCCCCTTCTTCGTCCTATGTACCTATATAGCCACTCCAAATGATTACACATCCCAGTCTCCTCATATCACTACGTAGTCTCATCGATAACGTCAGGGTGAGCTTCTAGCCATCCTATTAGCGCAAGAACTAATCGCGCTTTCGTTTGAAAAATCTAAAGGCATCGCCGAGTTGCAGAAAAGATCACCTTCTCATGTCCAAGCCGCAAGCAAATTCTCATCGAAATTCCAATCCAACGAATTCAATAAATCGAAATCCGCAATCATAGGCGGAAAGTTCATCGCTTCTTCTAATGAGCCCGGCTGAAAATATGTTGCGGTAGCACCCTGTTCTTGTTGGGATAAATCTCCATTAATAGCGTTGTACGAAGTCTCGGAATTATTCATAGGGTGGTTGCGATTGTTTTCAGAGGCTACCCGGAAGTCAGTATACTTCAAGGATTTATGACTACGGAGCAGAAACTAGGGATCGAAAGAGAGAAAACTTACCATTTTTAATAGTGGCAGGAGGATTAATAGTCTTTCTCCAACGTAAGAAGCAATCATGGACATGACTGATAGACAATCTCGATTGAATTTTAATATCTATAGGGGAAAAGTCCTCGCGTCGTCGATTCAAATCTCCTGACCCAGCACTTCTCCACATTCTGGCTAGCCCCTCAGCAATACGATCCGAAAAATCATTTGTAGCTAAACTTGTTGACCTTGCTGCTAGAATTGCGGCGTTGAAGAGAGATCTCCCTTGTGTACTATCGAACTGCATTGCATATGTACTATTTAATATCTTTAGTAGGACACATGATGCGCAAATTAAGTTTTTAAGAATATAATATGAGCAGTAAGGAAGAATTGCTTCGGAATGAAGATCGTAGTCAAGTAGAGCTTGAATGAATTTTATGGCGGAGTTGTAGGCTGAAGACAGGGCAGCTAAATGACTTCGTGAGAACTCTGGGATATAAAATGCGAACGTGTGAAGATGAAGTCGAGCTGCAAGTAGGTATAGTTTATTCAGTGCTAAAATTGTGAGTGACATGGACAAGAAAAAGTACGGCTAAAGGAGGTACTTACATGAGAACGTAACGCTCTCGGCTTCCAGTTGTTGATATTGACGTTCAAGCATACTAGTAACCGATATTTGTTCATCTATATCGGACAAAACTCCCGTCACCTCAGAACTGTTCCCATATAATTTTTTCGAAACCTTTTGACAAAATTTCTCAATCTTTAATCGATGTTTGATACCGGGAGGAAGTATTTCGGAATTTTGTTCAAGGCCATCCCCAAGTCCCCAGTCATAAATGGTTATTGTGGGTTGGCCATTTGCAGTCGATACGCTGGTTCGAATATTAGTCGGTCAAGCCCGTGGCAAGAAATGTTGAGGAAAACGCAAACCTTTGAGAAACAATGTTACATATCGCCCATGTCAACTTTCTATCCCTCAGCTCAGCTTCGGATACATCTCTCGTCTGTTTAAGGAAATCCTGTGCATGACGAGGACGATGCATCCCCATTTGCAGAGAAATTTGCATCATGATTCCACTCAACATGGACGTTGGATCCAATTCACTTAATCCCATGGTAGCTGAAGCTTTATCATTCCTAATTTTTGTGAAACCTCGAATTAAAGGTACAGGCCAAGTACATAGCAATGCGAGGGCTTTGATAGATGATGCTCTTTGAGGCATATCAGATATAGAGTTCCATAAAAATTTCATATATGCCTTTGATAGGTTTAATACCAAAGTGGGATCATGTGGGTAACGTCTAGCTGATACAAGAACCATTCCCCACCCAAGTACCGGGTCTTGAGCGAATATTTGATCGCATGTTTGATTAGGATCAAGAATTGGACATATATGATGATATCGAGAGAAATACCTATATGGGAAGAATGAGTTCGAGTCGGGCAAACTAATACACGAAGAGACTCAACTGATCGAATAAGAAAGAAAGTTGTTCACCAGAAACTAAAATGTCATCAATCTTTTGATCTTTTGGTTTCGATTCTGTAGAAGATGAGGCAATGTTTTCCTTTTCCGAATTATCAGGAGAATTTGCTGCAGCAAGTTGTGCTGATTGTTTTGCGACCAATTCCCTCAATTCCTCTATTTCTTTTTGCATCTCGGCATGTTTACTGAAGATTTATTAGTATGTGCCAAACAAATCAATTGCAGAATCATCATACTGCCTCTTTGCAACCCTTTTGAAATCCGAGTCTAATTTGCATTGAATACCAAGACGAGTGCATCTACAACAAGCCTTGAATGGTTCCTTTTCAACATTACAACCAAGCTAAAGGTATAGGTCAGTCAAATAGCTTCTTCATAGAAAGTGTGGATACATACTTTCTGCTGTCTACATTCATTACATGACTTTATTGAAGCTGGTATCTTTTGGGGTCGTTCCATTTGATCACGAGACCTTTTTCCTATGCTCGTGTGAGAGGTTGTATCATCAGAATGAGGATGATCTCCATCATCTTTAATACTATTAGGTGTCATATTTCAATGAGTCTCAATCCCTCCTATGATATGAAGTGTTCGAGGTCGTGCAAAGGTTTGAGTAAAGTGCATTCTGATGTTGAACACTGGGAAACGTCGAATGGAAAAGTCGAGGTTAACCTTAATTGAACGGGTTGAGGCGCAAATATTTACATTAGTCATAGATTTTAGTGTGTGGCTGGGAATTCCCGGGGATTCTTTGTCGGAATTACAGGGCTGATGGGCTTTTTTGAATCTCAGACAAGCGCTGCGCTCCACTATCAACCCTGTTGTGGGGGCAGGTACGGCATGGGCAGGGGGGAATATTGTATATTGCGTAGAACGGTGGAACAAAACATGGAACAGAGAACAGAGAACAGAGAACAGAGAACAGAGAACAGAGAACAGAGAACAGAGACTATACAATAGGGAACACAGAACATGGATTTAATTGTTCATCAAACGGGTAAAATCATAGAGTAAGATCTTACAATGTCATCATCCAGCATTGTCTAGACAGCAAAAATATTCTCCAAGAACATTTGTCATCTGCGTGTCATTTATAAAAAGAGAAGACAGGATGACCGGATACAAAGTGATATAAAAGGGAGAGGTCAAACGAATGGCAGTAGATAAGTAGGAGGAAGGACTCGGAGCTATCTCCGCGTTAGGAAGGCTAGACCATCATAAATGCAAGACATAGGTAGTACCTCGCAGGATGATCCCCCGCATTTAAAAAGAGGTTCTCTTCTGTTTATCTACATTGCCTCGAACCCTGAGCCCACATTCCTTCTAGACACGACTGATTTGAAATATGGAGATTCGGAAAGCTCTAGTCACTGGTGGTCTTGGGTTCGTGGGATCAGCAATTGTCAATGCCCTTCACGAAAAATATCCTTCTTGTTTGGTCACAATTCTGGACATTTCCGACGATACCTATGGTCCCGGCAAGGGGTGGAAAATACCATCCAATGTCGATTATATGGCATGCGATATTCTCAACTCCGAGGATTTAGCAAGAAGCCTTTTGCATGTCAAACCGGACGTCGTTATTCATACGGCGGGAATAGTTCCTCATTTGAGTGAAAGATACCATCGTAGGATAGAGAAGAAAGTACAACAAATCAATGTTGAGGGGACTCGTAATGTATTGAATGCCACGAGAGATGCTGGAATAGGCGCATTTGTGTATACAAGTAGCTGTTGTTGTGTGATTGATGATTGGTCACATCCCTATCCAAACATCGATGAAAGATGGCCCACGGCGAAAAAATCATCAATATATGGCGAATCAAAGGTAATCATTTCTAGATATGTGGAGCTACTTGGCTAACTCGAATAAAAGGCAGAGGCTGAGGCAATTGTCCTAGCAGCAAATTCACCTACCTTCTCAGCATGCATCCTCCGGCCATCAGTCCTTATGGGTCCGGGTGATCACCAGCTTATCCCACCTATTCATGCCTGTATAGCAAAACGAGAAACTCCCTTCATTATTGGATCTGCCGATAATCTCTGGGATATAACCTATGTTTCAAATGTTGCTGATGCTCATATTCTTGCAGCCGAGAATCTCCTTTCAAACACGCCCACTGCTGCCGGAGAGATCTTCTTCATACAAAACAATACGCCCATCACATTCCGAGATTTTAGCATAGCTGTATGGAAGGAATTCGGACACATTCCCTCTTATGAAGTGACAATACCAGAAAATTTAGCTTGGGTGGCGGGTTTATTGGCAGAAGTTGCGACATGGTTAACTGGGTCAAAGGAACCGACTCTGAGTAGAGGTAGCGTGAATGATGCTTGTGCCGTAAGATATGCGAGTGGTGAGAAGGCGAAAAGAATCCTGGGATATGAAGCAAAAGTAGATTTGGAGGAGGGGATTCGATTGAGTTGTGAGGAGTATAAGACGAGACTCGCGAGTCGAGAGAAGGGCGAAATGATGTGAGGGTAATTGTGCAGTTGTGGTTCAGTAGAAATTTTAGAAAAAAAACAGACGAAGAGTGATGGCAGAAGATGGTTGAGCCTAATAATAAAGAGTAGTAGCCATTAAATCCAGTAATGTACCCAGAGCGATATATCGTATCCGACAGGACAATACCTTGGACTTGGGGAAGCGGCATCAAAGTGTTCCGCTCTTCTGCGCATGCAAACAGTGTCTTGTGCAGCTATCAACATTGGTCCAAAGCCTCCGCAAATCTATGCGATGCCAATACTTTCTTTCATTCCACCCGCATATCTCGTATATTTCCATGTGTATCGGGTGCATCGCACAGATCTCGTTGGGGCTTTCGTGTTACTGGCTCGAAATGAATTTTCTCTGGCATATCCTACCACGAATTGGGCAAAGGAGCTTCTAGGCTTAACCTCCGCCATTCATAGAGTCTTTTCCTTGGCTATCGTGAAGTCTCCTGCGCCGTGGATTGTTGCAGCCAGAAAACGTCTAGACTGAGTTTTGTGTGGCCGCTGACTGTCGCTCCGGATTGGGACCAGACATCCTGTCGACTAAGCATTACGAACAATCCCAAGGATGTGTTCGCAGATCCAAAAATTGACTGCTGATTAATTTGGCATGCATTACTATTCGATGGATTTTCATGAAGTTTCGATTCTTTTAGGAAGAGGGTGAATATTTTGCGTGCAGACACTGTGGGATAACGCTGTGGACTTAGGGTTGTTAAGCTTGCATAATTAAGCTTATGAAGACTTGAAATGAGCTCCACAAAATAAGCTCAGATGTCAAACCTTCTCTCAACGTCGTGACATCGAATATGTCTAGCTTGAGGATCCAAATGATCGATGTAAAAAGTTTATTTTATACACCATCTTCACAAAATGAGCCGATCGGGAGCCATGGTTAAGGTTGAAGTTGAAGGAATCCCACAGTCCTCGATATTCTCTCAACAGCGCCAATTATATCGAGCATGAGCTGGTAATCTTCCTGTTCTGCAAGACTATCTAGTGATCGGTCCAGCTTATATAAATGCCTGAAACATAAGCAGTGGGCTGTACGGAAACTCAGAGAATCTGGGGTGAGAATTATACCCTGGGCGTGGTCATCCCCTCTTGACCGTCCTCAAAGAATTAAAGATTCAAGCGTGGGTATGACAACCCGGCGACAGGTAAATCCTTCTCTATAGGAAAGAGGCTGATCAAATTGAGGTCAACATGGAGAAGGGATTTTGGAGAGAGGTATATCTGGGAGTGTCACGGTCATGAGTTCACTGGAAGTGGTCAGTTCACCATCTTACGAGTATTAATATGATTCACCACTTTCAAATCGTCGCAGGTCTCATCAGGAAAGAAAGTCTTCTGCGCCATGTATGGCTGAAGGAACAAAATTTGTATTCATAAGATTGAATACTCTGCCCTTCCTCTACGTACTCGGCAAGTGTGTTACACGGTATTTATAGAAAGCTATGTACAGAACTACCCAAATTTCTCGCATCCTCAAAAACGACTGCCAATCCCTTATCCATTTATTGCCAGACCTGAACATAATTGACCAACCAGTAAGCATTACTGAAGGCACTGGGATTCTCCGCAACATAAGCATCGCAAGTGGATGCCGCACTAGCACAAGATCCTGAAGACCAGACACTTCCCGCCCAAGTCCCACAGAATGTTGTGTCAAATACTATGTTTTGATTCGCGAAGGACGTATCAAAATCACAACCACTACCAGTGAAAGTTGCTAGAGGGGTTCCCCAGGAACTGACATCGATATCATTGGCAGTGATATCAGCTGGGATGGAACCTCGAGGCCAGAACCAGACGTAAATGCCAGTGCTAGCCCACTGCATCGCATATACACCACCGCCAATTGAATTAAAGCCTGTGCCATAATTCAGGTTGCTCTAAAGTCGTTGGTTAGATTTTATAATCAGAGTTGGTGTCATTTGACTCTCGACATACCGATGTACTAACACTACATCCTGTGCCCGCATTGTCTTGATTACAGTTCGTCGTCAAAGTGGTCGTTCCACTCTGCGAATTTACGTTGCTAACTGTACAACCAGCGGCGGTGTGAAGTGTTATTGTATCAGTTGTTCCGAGATTGACTCCCTCAATGATATCGATCTCTCTAGAGATTTGTCAACCCTTATGGCTTACTTGGGAACACTGGAAACATACCCGTTATTTGGCCAATTTGCACCAAACATCCAGAATGCCGGCCAGATCCCACAAATTCCGGCAGGCATATGTTCAATATCTGCGATGAAAACGCCTTGACTGATGAGCGTTCTCTCTGTCTATATTTGTGAGATTCCCATACCTTTACTCCATGCCTGGTTACTGCTTAATCGGACGCTCTCGCGTCCTCCGCTCGGATTAAGTGTTGTATGATCCACTCCTAAATATACCTGATTATTTGCTGTCGATACCAGACCGGCTTCTTCAGCAGCGGCGAGTGGTTCATATATAACATATCCTTCTGTTGGATCAGCTGCAGTGAAGAATGTAAAGTCATCAAAGAAATTAGCCGCGTTGTACGTGGCTGCAAGAAAATATTGGGCGTTAATAGCAGGAATAGCCAAAAGGAGGGAAATTCCGAGTGGTAAGAAATGGTTTGAGTACATCATGATTGCTTTGAACAGAATTAAAAGTATGCACAGGAAGTAGTAAAGATCGAGATGAAGAATGTGCTCTTCAGTTCTGCATTGATGCTTTATAGACATTTCTTTACCTGCCTTCACCCTTCCTGTATCAAAAACCATCCTGCGACACCATCAAAGGATGCTCCTGATACACTCACTCATTTGCCTCAATCCAAAAGTCCATGAGATGAGTATACAAGGGACTATCAATGCTGGTCCCAAGTATTCGGTCCTTTTTCCGAGGTTCTTCAAAACACCTTCATTGGAATTCACATGACAATTACATTAGCCATCGAAAATGAAACCCAAATCATTTTTGCCATAAGGGCATTCGAAAGCCACGCGTTCCTGCCATCAAATGCTACGATTTGGTTCTTCTTGGAGACACCTGCTCTTTTGAAATGCATAATTCAGGGAAATTGTACGTTTGTGCGAATGGCACTTGAGATTCCTCGTTCCACCTGGGGTAAGGATGAATATTGAGTATTGATTTAATCAGAAAGTGGGATTACAGCCTTCGAACCTCGAGATGTTGTCATTATCTCTGTGTTACACGATAACACATGAGCTACAGGCACACAGTTACAAGGCTCCATGACTGGAAAAGTTCTACCCAAAGAATTTAGCCGAAAAGGAAAGCTTGTCAAATCGTGATAACAATGCAAGGTACAACTGTGACTCCTTTTTAACATCCAAGTCTGATCACGGAGATTACTCGTCACACATCAGACACCTTAAAAACTGGTACAACCTCTGGTTGACGGATTCATAGGAGCGGAATCTCGAACCTGGTGTAAGAACCTTACCAAATTTTAGTTTGCCACGTGATTCCGCGGTTAAATACCTTCAATGGTGAAAATGTTCTAGCCGCCTGACATATCCGGGGTATCCCACACCGAGCTTTAACTGGGTACAAGTTCCAATAATTGGATTCATATTTATCTGGAGAAGGGTAGACGAGTTGGTCTTTCTGAAGATTTAGTCGTAACGTTACACATTCTTCATCTGGGGCTTGTGGGGCTTGTGGGGCTTGTATCCGCATCGGCCTTCATGACACAGCCAAAAAAGAGAAACTCACACCTGATATTTGGCCATATCTTTCAACGGACGTAATAAGTCTCCCTGGAGTTTTCTTTCTACAACTCAGGCATCAAGGCAGAAAAAGGTATATGCTCGTGCAATATCAAATAAGGATATCGGAATCAACCAGACACGTACGACTGGACGCGGCGCTAGATTACATACAGGCCGTTCTAGATATTATAGGTCCGGAAGTTAAAAATGGCATCCTTCACATCTGACGTCGACTTTGGAAGTCTAATCTCACAGGTACTACACCCAACACATATTCCCTCGTGAGATTACCATCGGAAATTCTGATGACTGGAGTAGAGCAGTTACTGTCCAGTACAATATGCTAATGTTTAGGCCCCCTTCAAAATCTGCCGTTACTCAAAGAAGAATCAAGTTGTGTGAAATGCTTCGTGTAGCAAACCACCATGGTGATTACATGCTAGCAATGATCCTCTCTGATCCCCTTTAAGATATTGAGCCTCTGTGCAGCTCGTGCGCGATGTCTTGTTTTTGGGAATCTTCCAGAGACACCAAGAGATAGATTTCCAACAAATTCTTGTTACCTTGCGGAACGAATGGAGAAAGGATTAAAGATTTGAGGTGGCCAAAGGTTCTAACAAAAAGACAAAAAAGTGACGAGAAAGCTATACCAACTGATCGCTGGTGCTGTGTCGCTTGGGTTTAGATATCCAAGCGCTCCACCAAGGTAGGCAATATAAACAAGCACTAAATCCTTTACTAGAAGGTTTTAATCACGAAATACATGAAGATCAATCATGATTGACAGATAATATTCTTTGTTTATTTGAAATTCATTTTCATCAAAGGTACAGATTTAGGCTACCTAAATTTTCCACGCAAACAAATTCCCACCCAACCCGCAAATCCCGCATCATATGTACACATTTTTAAGTATCCCGCCATTTAATTCATAAATTCATAAACATTCACCACCAATCCCCGTGGTTGTGCATAGCGGTAGCAACCTTGACGAAACCGGCAATGTTTGAACCAGCAACCAAGGATGGGTATTCACCATCCTTTGACTCGACGTATTTCTTGGCAGTCTCCAATCCGTTCTCGAATGCGTTCTTCATTATATCCTTGAGCTTCTCATCAACTTCCTCTTGGGTCCAGCTGATACGAGCACTGTTTTGTGCCATCTCAAGACCGGAAACAGCAACACCACCAGCGTTGGCAGCCTTTCCTGGTGCGTACCAGATAGCTTCACCCTTCTTCTCCTTTCGCTCAGCCTCAAAGACATCAATAGCCTCTTGTGTGCATCCCATGTTGGATCCCTCAGCAATGTATCTAGCACCGCTGGCAACCAAGGCCTCAGCCTCTTCCTTGCTGACCTCGTTTTGAGTAGCACAAGGAAGTGCAACATCAACCTTGACATGTGTCCATGGTCTAGCACCCTCAACGTATTTGTACTTTCCTCCGTGTTCCAGAGCGGTGAGGGATTGTCTCTTGAGCTTCAACTCAGCGATCTTTCCAACATCTTCCGGGGTGAAGTATGAATCTCCTTCAGCGATCAAAGAACCTTGAGAATCGGAGAGAGATACAACGGTGGCACCAAGTTCGATACATTTGAGAGCAGCATATTGAGCGACATTTCCGGATCCGGAGATGGCGACACGCTTTCCTTGGAATGAACCTTGACCAGCATATTGAATCATGTGGGCGACATAGTAGACGAGACCGTAACCAGTAGCCTCAGGTCTGATCAAAGATCCACCCCAGCTTCCTCCCTTTCCAGTAAGAACTCCCTCCCACTTGTTTTGAATAGCCTTGTAGGCACCGAAGAGGTAACCAATTTCTCTTCCGCCAACGTTGATATCACCAGCTGGTACATCGGTATCAGCTCCAATATGTTTGCTCAATTCACGCATGAAAGAAACACAAAATCTGCGAATTTCGTTGTCGGATTTGCCCTTTGGATCGAAATCTGCTCCTCCTTTACCACCTCCAATGTTTACTATCAAAAAAATAATTAGTAAACTTATTCAATTCATAATTTCCGCCCCGTTGCTTTTACTTCATCTGAAACTGGACAGTAGTGAACGGTCTAAACTTACATCCAGTCAAAGCGTTCTTGAAGATTTGCTCGAAACCCAAAAACTTCAAAACACTGAGATTAACGGTAGGATGGAATCTCAATCCTCCCTTGTATGGCCCAAGAGCGCTGTTAAATTGCACACGGTATCCACGGTTGACCTGGACTTGGTTCTTGTCATCTTCCCAGACGACACGGAATTGGATAATTCTTTCAGGAATGGAAACGATTTTAAGGGCAGTGCGGTATTCTGGATTCTTTTCGAAAAGAGTGGAGTTCTCAAGAGTTGAGGCAAGCTCTGAAAGAGAAAAGGTTAGTCGATTCTGATATTAGAGTGATGCATGGAAGACCAACCATTGTAAGCTTGCTCAAACTCGGGCTCAGATGGAAGGTTAGACATGATTATTGTTGCTGGTATTGGGTATCAAATGAATAAATTTACAAAGTGAAAGTCTATTGAGGCAAAAGAAGAAAAATAAGAGGTTTACAATATAAGAGAAAGCAACTGGTGAGGTTGGAGGGAAGAGACCTTTTTGTATCAAGGTGGGGTGAACTAAAAGTATGAACTAGTAACACTTGGTGCCGGTCCATGACCCATAGTATATGGATTAAATGTGCTAGTCAATTGTCTGACAAGGTGATGGCTTGTATGTGCTCTCCATATCTCCAGTAATTTTTGTGGCTCCGATATTGGAGGTTCGCATAAACATCAGTGAGGGGTGGAGAAAGTAATCAAGATGGATGACTTGATGAATATTTTCTAGTTGGATTCTTCCTAGCAAATCAACGTAGCTCACTCATCTTCTTGCATGATCGTTCTCGTTGCAAAGCTAGTAGTATATCCTGTAGAAACCTTCAGTCTCACAGCGGAGTTGGATGTTCCATGCGGAAATTGAAGAAAATCTGATAGATGACGTGATGCGCTCAACGCCGTGATCGGTCTTGTCGTTACATTGCATACTCTACGGCTGAAGCCTTCATCCCACCTGATGTTTGGGGTATCGGGTGGCACAGTGAAGATGGTCGAAATATCAAATCTTTGTGGGCGTTTGATTTGCTCACCCGGGCGACCTAAACCAGACTGAGCATAGAGTCAGTGAATCAACTTTTCCGTTCTCTCTCCTTCTCTCGCCCTTGACGTTTACTGGATACTCATGCTCCTGACAACGGGAAATGAACAGCGGAAATAAACAAATAATTCATCTTGAACGGCCGAGATTTAAGAAGAGAGGTCAAAATGAACCAATAACAAATAAAATCGGAGTCACCGATTAATCAAATAGAAATTCTTATCGCGCTCTTCCTATTGATCAATACAATTATAGATTAACAGTCCAAGCGTCATATAGCCGAAATCTTGCATTAGTACGTATAATCAACAAAGTTTCTTAAATGCATCAAAGCATGTAACCTTATGGCGCATGTTAGCCACGCTGGGTAACGCTGGGGTAATATTTGATCAAGGATGTGAGACGAATGCACCACGCATCAAAACCAGGATAAAAATCTCAGAGTTTCTTATCCGGATATTTTTCAGACTTCCTATATGTCCCGAAGTCTTGGAACTGTACCCATGAAAATATTTGGTAATACTTCATCTTGTTCCTGCAGAAGTGTAAGAAGTTCACCATGCCACCTCACCCTCATATGGTTTTTTCTGCGGCAATTGCTTGACCTTGATCAATAATTCAAACAGATTCAACGTTTCATGAAGGTGGCTTATGGTGGGTGCCAACGTTTTCAGTATTCCTGGTGGAGATAGGAACAAATATTTGTCAAAGTTGTGATGAATACTTTCATTATTCAGGATTCAGCCGGTATCGGACGAGGGGTAATTGGTGGAATTGGGCTATGAGAGGCGCTGTAAATATTATAGGAATTCGCCGAAGATGAAACCACGACGGTCAACATCGTTTTAATCTTTGATCTCATCTCATACAATCGCGGAGACTCTTCATTCTGGTGAATGTACACTGGGCGAGGAAATGATGAAGGGGCTTTAGCGATCATGCTTCCGAGAAGAAATTAAAGCAGGATGAAAGAGACAAATGTCTCAACTGGCTCTCTTTGCGACGAAGAGAATTTATATTTTTACTTTGTTTCAGCCAATACTAGTCACCCAAACTAATCCGCATCAGTAGGATCCCAATCTGTCACCAAATATTCATCAAGGCTATCCATTTCCTTCAGATCCTCATCCTCAATTTCAAATCCATCAACATCAGCATTAGAAGTAATTCTTTCCTTCTTTATACTTTTCGGCAGTGGCACATAACCGTGTTGTAAAGACCATTTTACCAGCAATTGTGCGGGGGTACACGAATACTTCTTCGATAAGGAAACGATCTTGGGATGTGTCATTCTCAGAGCTTGAACTAAAGGTGCATAAGCTTCAACTACAATGCCATTCGATTGACAAAATGAAGTAATATTGGTTCGAGTGTTGAATGGATGGACTTCGATTTGATTTACGGCAGGGATTATTTTCGGCTTGGAGTCAAGTATTTCTTGTAACTATTTATGAGCAGAATATCAGTATTGTTTCTGCGAATAAATTGGGCGGGAAAGTATGAGAAAACGATATTGAAGGGCCTTGAGCGAGAAATATTTGAGAGGGCTCTAGGAGTCTTGAAATTAATCAAGGACTATGCTGGTGCGGGCTCAAAGTTTTCGAAGGACCACAGGAAAGGAAACTTACATGTTTGATGCCAAAATTACTCACACCACCAGCTCTCACCTCTCCATCTGCGATAGCATCCTCAACTGCTCTCCAACATTCCAATCTGCGCTGTTTGCCACCATATGGACTGTGCAACAGATATAAATCAATATAATCCAACCCACTTCTCTTCAAACTATCCTTTACAGCCTTCCTTGTCGCATCATAGCTTGTATTCGTTTTAAGTTTCGTCGTGAACCATAAATTCTCCCTATTGACGTCTTTATTGGCACTTAAATATTTCTTGATTGCCGAACCAACTTGTGCTTCATTCGCATACCATTCGGCAGAATCAAATGCGAGATATCCTGCTGAGAGAGCTGTTGATACAGCGGTTTCGGTTTCGCGACCAGAAGTCATGTAAACACCAAGATGAATACGGGGCATTTGCAGACCATTGTTGAGTGTAATGGTTTTACTTAATGATGATGGGCTAGGCATATTGAAATATTTATAGATGATATGTAAAGAAAGTGAGATTTGGCAGATAGAAATTGTGTAATTCACACAAAACATTACTCGTACCGCTGAATGCGAGATAACACAGAGGGCGGTCAAACATGGCAAAAAATTGTGCAGCTGAACAATGACGTCGACTACTTGCTACGTATCCCTTCAGCTAGTTTGCTATTTACATTTTAACCTCGACAATATCAAAAATATAAAATACAGTTCATTCCCTTTAATCATACTCGATACATTTCAGTCATAATATATATGAGAACGTCAACATGCCAGACCAAGCATCTGTAAACCGATCACTCAATACCGTTCGAACTGAGCTCGAATACTTACAACAATGTGGTGCTCTTGCCCCAGCCCAATTTCAGTCAATTATGGCACAACTACCTGTAAGCAGTCTAGGTTTTAGCCCTTCATTGATTTGATCCGGGTCTGTGATGCATTTTCACACCCATTCGCTGTATACCTCAGAGTACAGAACTTGAGGTAAAATTTCGAAGGATACACTAACGCTGAAGGCAGCAAGGAAATGGACAACCATCCCACTATATAGATCCTCGATATAATCCAAACGACGGTTTCAATCCAAGCAAAATCAGCCAGGAAGCACAGGATCCAAACCATCCTGCACATCCTCAAAACCCTAAGGTATGTCTTGGCCTCCAGTTCACGCTTCAGAGCTAACCTAAAAAGCATCATGAATGGGCAAAGAAAATGGCTTCGAAATTTGGTAATGCTGCCATGCTTGGCGCTGGAGCAACGTTTGGCGGGGATTTGGTTAATGATATCATGAGAAAGTTTTAGAGGACGTGATTAGACACTCGGGAATAGAATGAATTGAATGGCAACCTTGAATCAGACTAATATCTGAAAAACTAATTAGCCGTGCAATAATGAACCATGACAGCTCGCTCTATAAAGTTTATTTCTTGGTGAGTAGTCTATCCGCAATACTAATCTTACATTCCGGCGGCATGTGCGACAACATCTGACTCTCACTAACAAAACTCTCCCAATCACTTTCTATCGACTATCCCGTCTGTCAGCTTTTTGGTTGTCATACTAGATTTGCGTCTTCCTTTTCCTGAATGCCCCCATCAGAGGCAAAGACCTCGCCACAAAGTCACGATTTCAAGCTAGGCTGGCATCATGCGGTCGCACATAGAAAAACCGTGAATCACATGACATCTTCAAATTTGATAAATATCAAACCATATACTGGCTAAAGCTATCGGAGATTGCTATACACATCGTTCATACAGCGCCTGTGGCACACCACTTTCGGGCACACATTTTTTCTCGGGAGACGTTCAACTGGCGTCTATTGCTATTTCGCAGCGCCAATATTGCCGAGTTGTGGTGGAAAATGGAACGATCATCAGCTTAAGACCTGCAGCCGGATATTACATCTAAATAGGTCATTACAGTGTCTTCTAGCTGCCAGGGCTGATCAGAGCCAAACTATTGCTTACAATGTCTAAGGTGCGAGATGCGGCAGAAATTTAAACATTTTTATTGTTACGCTTTCGGCAAAATGCAGAGAAGGAGAAGAGATTTATGCGCAGGCGGTATTCGAGGGTCCTCCTCATCGACCTAAGGGTCTTTTTAAACTCATTACTAAATCAGTGATGGGAGCAATGCAAGGCGTAATTCCCACATTCCTATCATAATTAATAAGACATATTGCATTTCTAAATATATATTAGAATATACATCGATACTAATTAACATATGTATATTGCAATATACATATTATTATAACTTGAAAATATCAATGTATATTAAAAGCTTCAATAGCAGACATCATATTACTAATTCACACTAATCAATCGAAAGTCTAAGCCTAATTAGGCTATATACGGCAGAATTCCGCATATAGCCCTGAATGCCTCAGGGCGGCGTCTAGTTAGGTTAGGCCGTTCAGTTCTGACTTTACCTTCCCAAATGAACCAAACATCATAACTCAATAACACTTTACTTCTATCCTGTCTTGCATTTATCTGCACAATGTTTTTCTTATCTTTCACCAAATTTCGCATTCCGCAAGGTGATTCTGTGATGGCTAGGATCAACGAAAACCTTGGATTGTCACAAGTAGAACCACCTGGAGATAATTGGATATGTGCATTAAAGCCACTCATCAAAGCTTCTGGTCACGAACGGTCTCTGTGGGGACAAATTATAGAGAAGCCCGACACAGTCCTGCTTTATACTGGTAAGTTCTATTGAATGACTAGATTTTTGACAAGCATCCATGGAATTAAGACTTACCATCGATTAGAATGGGAAAGTCAAGTAAAGTACGATAAATTCCGGCAGAGTGTGGGATATACAGAATTATACTGGCCAGCCTTATCTGTCGTGGATTCACCGTCCGTCCAAACGGCCTTGTATTCCGATTACTGCGCTTTGCCCCGGATCAAGTACATGACTATCATCACATGTTACTTCCCGTCTACGTTGTCCGAGGAAAATCGTAAACGGATAAATAACCCTAAATTTCAAGGCCTTCATATGACAGGCGTTGGGCGGATCGGCGGCAATGTCAACCCCAACAATCTTCATTATTATCTACCAAAGAAAATGTGGGCTACGGATTTGGAAAAAAAGGATGGCGTGGAGATGAGAGCTTTAATATGGCTTCATTTCTGGAAAAATGCTGAAACAGAGAAACAGTTTTTGAGACGAACACGACCTGTTGGAATTGTTGGCAATGAGCAAATCCCCGTCAAGGAGGAATTCGAGCAGCGACTAAGAGATCATGATTGCCGGGAAATGATTGTGGAACATTTCAATCTTATTAGGGTCAACCTAGGAGAACTCTAAGTAGGTTTGGTAAAGGAAAATAGTTGGGCTTTTGCGTTAATCCCAGACCTCACACTGCATCGATCGACGATGTGTTAAATTGAAAGCTTGCATCAGGAAAACACCAGATGGGCTGAATTGTTCCTTTGAAAATTCTACATATGACCATTGACTCGGACATAGGTTTGTGGCTAGCATGTACGCATCTACGTTATCGCCAGATCATGCTAGACATCAATGCTGACCCACTGTGCTATGCCTGCTGGAAAGGTATACCGGAAGTCCACAGCTACGGCCTTCGGATCAGGATCCTGCAAATAATACCAGTATGAGACACAGAACCAAACGAAGGTTTCTGGGTTCATGCGAACAAGTTCAATATTACTTTTCTCGTCGTAGTTTTTAGGCGATTTCTCATTGTTGCCGTTGGGATCCGCAAAAGACGTAGTCAGTGGAATAGTATTCCGGTGTATGATCGCCAACTTGACTTCATCAAGATCATCTGAAACGTATTTTTGTTAGCATTTTATCTTTGATTGGTGCAAGGAACATGTTTAGAATGTGCATACAAGAGGCGTCAGGCGTGTCAATTTTACCGAAGACCAAATGTATTGACTCGTGCAAAAGTGTTGCACTTCGAGGGATGTATTTTGTCACCGGATTGCCGATTTCTGGCTCGGTGAACTTCAACGTTCTTTTGCCTTGTTCTGCAGTGAATGATAACGGACAGAGTGTCACGCTTGCCGGTATGGTCTCGTCATCAGTACCGGCTAGATTTTGGTCCACGTCATCGGATGTGTCAAGCCCGCAAAAGGTTGATTTTAAGGGATCATCGCCATAGACTGGTTGAAAGGTGTACTCTTCAAGATCGCGCGACCTAATTTCAGCATTCTATATTAGTTGATCGGAATCAATCAAGCATGAGATGTGCCAGCGCAAAGCGCCGTGATTTAACATTATATGGAGATCAAAATGGAATTAAGAATGTAACTGCACAACATTGGGGAATAGAGCTAGGACTTACCAGTAAGGAATGAGTTCATTCGGTCTCGGTGGGTCACCTTCGTCAAAGAGCATATCTTTATAGACATCTTGAATAGCCACTCCTGTCAATATCACTGCCTGATTATCACCATTATCCGACTTGAATGTCTCCACAATTTCCGATCCAGCCGCTTCGGACTCAGCGACAACCCGGTAAGTGAAGTCCGTTCTTTTGACGGGCTGCTCCCAATCACTGTTGCAGAATAGCCACGGCTTCGAAGTTATACCATCTGCGATTAATTGGTGGGTTCCTGCCCAGAAGTCACTTGTTTGCTGCAAATATTCTATATAAAATGATTTGGTTAGGCTAGTTGGCTTTCAGAGGGAGGAAAGTTTTGCACCCACTTTTGACGCCTGCGCGTTCGTTGTCACTGGAAGAAGGTCTCAGTCCAAAATAACCGTCTAACGTAGCCAATGCAACCGCGTCATTAATTTCAACATCAAAAGCATCATCGAAAGCTTGAATTCCTGCTTGAAGTAAATCTTGGATTTCAGAGAACCAGACCGTAAGGTTGCCAGAATAATTGTCACAGCCACCTTTATCGATCCCTTTCTTTACTGTAAATACGTCATTAATAGACGCAGAGCAGGATGAAATGAAGAGACATGTCGTTATCCATTTTAGCAGATGTGTTGCGGAAGCACAATCGAAAATCTTTGAAGATAACATAATACATCAGCGGGGAAGAGGCAATCAGAAGCTGCACCACTGGAAATCGAAAGGAAGATATCAGGAGAGTTATTGTGGTAAAGTAGAACACTTCCACAGTCAACTTATATTGAAGTCAGAATCCATTTCTATCCCATGTCAAATGTAAAATTATACGCTACGTACCTCACATACCATGACTCGGGATACCCGGGAAAAGTCATCATACGGAGTCTCCTCGATAGTAGGCGCTGTGAAACAACTACGAACTAATGACAACAGAAACCAGGAAGAATTGGGGTCACGAACATGGAATTAAGATGTATCATGTCCGACGCTTGACTGGAATGATAGATTAACTTTCAAGGGCTGCTAAGAACGTGAGTATCATGTGAACATATTACATTTGGCAGACAAGTATTAAAATCTCTCACTAGGGGAAGGACCAGCATTCCTTGGAGGTCCTGAGGGAAAACAAACCTTCTTTCTCTCGCGCATCGACAATTTAGACACAAGATGGAGCACCCGAAAACTTTAGCGGCTATCGTATTTATTTCCTATACCATGCTCATTTAAGATTGAGAATTGGTCAGTAGGCTCTTCACCAACAAGTTGGAAGTTTGGCCCACTGGTCCAATTTTTTGTTTCGACGTTGACAAGTCGCTTGTCTAATGCCAATATATGGTAGGCTAACTATCACTCAGAGTGGGGCTGTGTTGGGTCGCAATTTACCGGCAGTCTGGTTCTACCTAGCAAGCTTCAGCTCGGCCGAGGTGAGACCACAAAAATGCCTGTCACAACATGCATAAATTTAAGCTAACACTGATCACGGTGTGACTACCGAGAACAAATCTCAGGGCTTTTGAGGTAATAAAAATGTTAACGGAGCATAGGCCAGGAGCGGGATGTGATACCCATGCCCGGGGCCCCTCACCACCGACCACAGCCATCACCAACAATGAACCAACATGGTGAGTGAGCTTTCTTACAGCGGTTAATCTTCAGTGCTGCTGTCTTCTTTCTCACATAGTTTCCAAAACAGGAAATATGCAATAATCCGTTGTGGAACTTTGACTTTCACTCATGGATGTCAGTGGACTGCAAGTGAAGAGCACATTGACTAGAATTCCCTGATCTTTGGGCAAGGTACGTAAATGAGCATGATCTCATCACACATCACATATCAGAAGTCCAAAGTGAGGATCAAGATCATTGACTTTTGACAACCGTGGAGATGAGCTACATTTAATCCTCGAGGGTAAAATTTTATACAGCGTTTGATGGTGGGAGTTGCCTTGTCTTGTTGTGCAAATGCAGACATGAAAGTTTCATTGTGATCAAGCTTGATAATATAAAACCTCCAGTAAATCCTTATATATGTTCATATATCAGCTTTTACTGCCCGTTGTATTGCTTCTTCTCATACTCGTGGCAAAATGCATTTCTCCGCATGGAAGACACAGGCTCGTTACATGAGAGTAGAGGTTTTATTATTTTTCCACTTGACGATCCTCATATCCTCTCTCAGGACTACCGATTCGTATCCTGCAAGGCAACTCTCGTCCACTGCCATGAAAGGCACTATTGCCAGTATACTTTTGCCAACAGGGATCCTGAAAACCCCCGTCCCTTCCTCGTCAGGAATATCAACTTTATCAACAACAACTCGAACGAGAAGCAGTAATCATTTTATATATCCCAATACTTCCGACTCATCGCAAGCATCGCAAGTTTCAGGAATCCGGCTACAAAGCTCTGCAAATGCAAACTCCATATTGACGACAACGCAATCTTCTCAGAATTTCTCAACGCACTCAAATTTCAGTACAGATTTCAGGTCTTCAATCACATCAATACCAAGTACAAAAGCAGTTTTTGCTCATTTTATGGTATGCTTATACTCAGCTGAACGTTTCATAAATCAGATCTCTAATATTGAATAGGTTGGAAATGTCTATTCTTGGGACCAAAGCAATTGGGAAAGCGATATAGCTCTGGCGCAAGATGCCCATATTGATGCTTTCGCACTCAATATTGCTTACGGGGACTCAACCGTATCTACATCTCTGGAATATGCTTTTGCTGCAGCGAATAATCTGGGATTCAAACTATTTTTTTCATTTGATTATGCCGGTAACGGGGCATGGCCTTTACAGGATATTACAGCCCTTTTGATGGACTATTCTTCGGACTCAGCGTACTACCTGTATGATGGTAAACCTTTTGTTTCTACCTTTGAAGGACCAAGTAGTGGGTCTGATTGGTTAGCCATTAAAGAAGACACAGGCTGTTTCTTCATTCCAGATTGGTCCTCTCTTGGAGCCCAGGCTGCAACAGAGAACGCTGATGGCATAGCTGATGGGCTCCTGAGCTGGGCAGCATGGCCATGGGGAAATAGCAACATGAACACCTATGTGGACGCCTCATACTTGCAGTTCCTGAATAGCTCCGGTACTCCAAAGCCGTACGTAATGCCCGTCTCACCGTGGTTTTATACCAATCTTCCTGGTTACGACAAGAACTGGGTATGGCGAGGGGACGATTTGTGGTATGACCGCTGGGAAGAGGTTATGTATATTCAGCCTGACTTTGTGGAGATTTTGACATGGAATGACTTCGGAGAGTCACATTACATCGGCCCACTTCATGAAGAGCAATTTGATCTCTTTGAGATGGGCCCCTACAACTTTGTAACCAACATGCCGCACGATGGATGGCGGCTATTCCTTCCTTACGTGATTGACACATACAAAAAAGGGATCGCTTCTATCACGGAGGAGGGGCTTGTCACTTGGTATCGTATCAATCCAATATCGTCGGGATGTTCGACAAATGGGACCACTGGTAATACGGCCAGTCAGCTCCAATTGGAGTTCAGTCCAGAAGAAGTAGTCCAAGACAAAATTTTCTTTTCCGCTCTTCTCACTTCGATGGCTGATATTGCAGTCACGGTCGGAGGTGTATCACTGCCCGCGAGCTGGGACAAGATTCCAAGCGACAATATTGGTAAGTGAGGTATTCGATTCTTTTTAACACGAAACCCATCCTCTACGCGGCAATACGTTGTTTGATATTTCATTAACCAGATTTAGGGATTTTTCATGGGAGCATCTCTTACAATGGGGAATATGGTGCGGTAGTGGTGACTGTGTCAAGATCTGGCAGCCTAATTGCCTCCGTCAACGGTGCGTCAATTACCACAAGCTGCACAGATGGATTCATGAACTTAAACGCTTGGGTGGGAAGTGCTGTTGGTAAGTGACCAATTCATCTGTTTTTATTTTCATTGTTGCCGCCGTAGATCATGTTTCAATGATCGGCTTACCTCATGCTTTGTTGAAGGGACATAATGCTTAATTTTCCGGGTTTATAGGAGAGACTATTTCGGCTGCATCACCCAATCTCAAAATTTCCGATCAAGTATGTATAGCAGGGAATGGTACTGGCAATTTCAATGGCCTTTGTGAGTTCTCTTGTGCCCTTGGGTATTGTCCTTTTGGATCTTGCTATTGCACGGCAATGGGACCTCAAGTAAAATTGCCTACAGCCCTAGGGGTCAAAGGATACCCCATAGCAAGTGGTAACGATGATTACGATGGTCTTTGCGCTTTTGCCTGCAATTATGGTTATTGCCCTCCCACGGCTTGTGGTACTATATCGGTGCCACTAGCTACTCCTGCGGTATCACCTTTTACACCTGACACTTGTGTCGATGGTACTGGACCTGCAGATATTTTAGGACTCTGTCAATACAGCTGCAACTATGGATTTTGTCCAAATCAAGCGTGTACTTGTACACAGACTGGTGCACTGATTCCTGCACCAGCAGCAACTCACAGTGTTAGTGGATATGGGGCTCGAGGGGAATATGAGTTAGATTCATACAATGGCCTTTGTAATTTTGCTTGTAGCCGGGGTTACTGCCCCGACCCATGCAATGATCCTGTGCCTGCATATCTCTCCTCATCAGGCACCATTTTGGTTCCACCCGAGATTTGGACGACCTCAGATCCTATTGTTGGATGTGAAAATCTACCTTGCACTTTGGTATTCCCTCCACTAACGTTAAGCACCATGACAACCATATCTATTCCACCCTGGACAACTTCATTGGTAGAAAGTTATGTTACCACAAGAGTAGCTACATTCTGGGGAGGGACGACGGTGAGCCTTGGGGGATATCTCTTGGTGACTCAAACAACAGTCATTACAATGCAAGCTAGTAAGTGGCTATCCTACTACGTGCAAAATTTCCTTAACAAATAGTTCAGTCACAACAAATCAAATCCCAGTATGGGAGCAAATTATCCCAACTGACGAAGTCGGACCTTTGATACTCAATATGACAAGCAGTATTGACTTGCCCACAACGGTCTTGACAATAATTCCAACTCCTCCATCAGGTACAACCCAGCCGCCAATCACAACAACAATAACGCCACCACCATATCCATGGTCCCAAACAACTCGCGATTCTACCCTAAACACAAAGTCCACAACCTGGACTCGCGGTCCTCCTAAGTCAACTTGCACATCCGGGTGTGGGACACCGTGTTCCATTTTCTGTCATGGCCCTTGCCTTACATGCCACCCTTTCGGGCCAAATGCTCAAACCAATTATGGAGGTCCTCCAGGTTCAGGCGGCGGCGGCGGTGGTGGTGGCGGCAGCGGTAGTGATGACAGTAGTAGTGAGAATGATTCAAGCTCCAGCGAATGTTCCACCGTAACAGCGACTACCTGTTCCACAGCGTGTGTTTCTAATGATTGCAGCACCGTCTGTTACACTGGCGTGGGATGCTCAGAGACCGGTACAGAATGGTTTACGGTTGGTACTCCAGTCCCAGGATATCTTGGCGACATGGAGATATGGCCAACAACAACTACAGCAGTTGCTGATCCATCTCTCGACGCCGCCTTTGAGGCAATGTTAACTTCGGACTATCCAGCATATGCAAGTAGACTTGTTTCTGTGGTTTTGAGTACGACAACGCTTTCAGAATTACCCACCTCTACAGTCTTTATCACCACTGTGGTTACCGCCTCAAGCCCCAAGCCAACACCTAAACCGACAACAAGTCAAGGCGGCGGGTTCGTTGTTGCAGGGTACACTGTTTGTCAACTTGAAGCTTGTGAATATCAATGGGAGATATTTAGTGTCGACTCCGCTACACCGACATTTCCTGGCTGCTCAACTGATGGGGCTTTGTATAGCAGTGTGGTTACAACTCCGCCCCGACAAACAGGTCCTATTCCTAGGCTGGGGCCCTTTCCCGCCAACGGTCGTAGCGATTGCTATTTTGATAAAGGGATCGACTGTGGTGTTAACGAAGGATTTAGTTTCTCCTGTAGTGGATGTGATAAAGTAGGACTGGAAGTTAATGTTTGTGACCTCCAAGAACCAGTGAGTTGCGAAGTTGATGGGAGAGAAAGTTATCAAGCAGCAGTGTATTGCTTTTGGTAGTATTTTGAAATTTAGGATGTGTACTTTAGTAATATATAGAATAAGAAACTAAAAGTAGAATTTAAGAGGCGCCCGCAACCCCACGACTTTCCCTTCACAAGAGATGACAAATGACCTTACCATGAACAATTTTCAAGGCAACATGAATCATAAGATTAGCCAAGGAACAAGCAGTCGCACAATCTCAAAATGTATCAGAATGAAATTGTTTTTGTAGACGATGATGTCAAATGGATTTGTACTGATCTAGAGGAACCCTCTTTTGACCGCAACCAAATTATCCCGCACCGCCGCCTCCATACCACGCTGTTGGTACAGTTCCATTATTAGAAGGCATGTTTAAGTCCGGAAATGAATAATTGGGGTTCCATAAATCCTCTTCCATGCTTACTCCGATATCAAAATCAATCATTTGATTCATCTCGTCCCAAAATGATGTATCCATTTCGAAGTTACTAAAATCAACCAGGTTCGCAGTAGAGCCGTTTAGATCTATTGGCTGCGATTGCTGGGCCTCAAAAACATTTGGATTCTGTGGTGGAACAACTATATTATCCCCTCCGTTGACAGCCTTGAGACTTCCTTCCGGCTGGTCCAGTACTCGCGACTTGTTGGTCATCCCGCCGCCGTTCTTATCACGATCCAAGATCCTCTCATGGCAGATAGTAAGTATTTGTACACCCGATTTTGCAATAAAACTTCTTTCTTCCATCGACTTCAACCTTTCAATAGTTTTGTCCATCGCAGCTTGTATTCTTTCCCTCAAGCTATTCTCCATATGTGGTGATTCCAATAGCATCCCAGATAAAACTATTCCACAATCAATAGAATTGAATGAAAGTGAATAGATTCGGTAATGATGTGGTTTCATTAATTTCATGAATGAATCCTGAGTATCAAGGCAGTCTAGAGCAGCTTTTATGGTTGCAATTCGACTTGCAGCATGTATTGGTGCGTGAGGTCTGTGAAGAGCCATAAGGAATGAATATGCAAAATTTGCTAGTACTTGTCTTTGACGAGGAATCCTTGGCTCTTTTTCATCCCATGACTTATCTGGATTCTCAGGTCGTAAAATAGGTGGTAGAGAGTCAATGATGGACATGACTTCGTTGTGAAGTTTTGTGATGAACGAATAGTCTTTTATATGTGGTCTATGAGCACCAGCTGCTAATAACTCGTGAACTTTTTGGGCAAGAGTGTAATGAAATAGCTGAGCTGAGTAGGTAGATGGAGGGGTGTCAGGATCTTGTAAATGTGCGGCTGAAGGTATAGTTTTTGACGGATCATCAGGGAATGTGCAATCGATTGGTGTTTTAATTGTACAGTCACTTGCATTAATTGAACGAGGCCTTCCAAGCATGACAGACATATGACTGAAAGTAGGTAGTTAGAGACGGCCAAAATAAGGATATACAGTACTGACCTATCCCAGGTGAATAGCGTTACCCAAAGTCTTCTTTTATATTCATCATACCAAAGCTTTTCTAATCCAATCCCGACATCTTCTCCAACAACCTTTGGAATTACAGCTTGTAAATGGAGTCCCAAATCTTGACCCTGTCTGAATCTGGTTAGCATCGTGGATGAATGGGGTGTATGACGACAAACCTAATCGCACTACCCAATATATGCCATGCTTCTGTACCCCTACTATAGTTCTTTAACCAGCCGGATCTTAACAGATCATGTTCAACAGCTGTCATAGTTGAAGAATGTCTTCCTAACAAGGACATTATTTCCATACCAATTTTACTATACTCATGAGAGAGCCGATCAGAATCCGATAAAGTTTTTAACTGAAGTAACCTGGATGTTCCTGTGTTCGGTGGTAAGAATTGCAAGGAAACGGCAAGAGTTTGGAATAATAATGCGGGAAAATATTGAAGATCTCTAGAAATAGTCCCCAGGTCTGACTGTTCCGATAGAGTACTTTGAATATCTTGCCATTGTTTGAGGAGATTTCGAAAGTAATGCTCTTCTAATATTTTAAAATACCAATGTATTTCTGAGAAGAATGAATCGACAAGTTCGGAGACGATAAATTGTGAGGGCAGTTGAATAACTAAACTTAAAAATTTATGTCGTAAAACAGGATGAGATAGTGAAGTTGATGAAGATGTTCCAATGAATGTAGATAATTCATCATTAATATGAAATGACTACTCCTGTTAGATTGAATCCTAAGTAGGATGAGAAAACGGTTGTACCTTTTTTAATCCACTGAAGGAATTGCTATAAGAAGCATATCCTACTTGACCGAAAAGGTCGGATGGCGTTGAACCTGATTTTAATATGATTTCTTCATCTCTTGTCCGTTTGCTTGACTGCGCTCCATTATATGGAAGATCTCCCGAATCATCGAGCCTGTTCTTCTGATAAGAATACTTTCAGATCTATACAACAGAGTGCCACGTACGATGCTGAATTAGAATAGGAGCACTTCTCCGGTACATTTCTAGAAATACAAACATCACATGGTTGACCGCGATTACACTATTCTAATAGTCAGGAATATTCTTTGAGGATGATGGTGATGATAATGATGATGATAATGGTGGTGACGATGATAACAACGGCGATGTATTTATTACCTTTTGTTTTCTTCTATAACATTCCCAACAAGTCTTGATTATCCGTCTTCGTTTCTGTGGTTTGGTTTCCATAATTGAAGGTTGGATGAATAATGTAATATGTAATATGTAATATATCAGTAAGATATCGATAATTATTGATGAAAGGAGGTTGAGCGAAGCTAGTTGGCTGATTTGACTTTGATCACATGACCATCGGAATTAACCGTAAGTCCTCTGAGGAAGTTCCAATCACAATGACTCAATCATCAATCATCAACCATCAATCATTACACGGCGCACCGGAAAGTTTCTCTGAAGTTGAAATACTTCTAGTATCAATCAAAAGCCTCTTCTCGAAGAGCTGTCGCATATTTGGATAATCTACGCGTGTATACTGTTTGCTTCAAGCTGCACTTCGAAATCCTCATCGCAAAATGTGAACGACAACAGCGAGCGCCTTTCATTCTACGTATATCTTACTCAACAAACTTCGAACGAAGGATGGCCCACGTGTAAAGAGGCAAACTTATATCTTCCCTCCATCCGCGGGCATGGTGTGCAACTGCGAGCTGTCTGCGAGATGTCTACGAGCTGTCTATGATACTTCTACTGCTTTTGCGATTTTTCCGAGCAGTTTCATGTTGCACATACAGACCGAGTTTTCTAGGTAGGATGTTTGTGGGTTTGTCGATATCCACAATTGCGCGAATTTACAATGGGCATGTAAATCCTTATTTGAGTCGAAGGGACCATTTTGGATCTTCACGGAAGAATAATTTAATGGACCTCCCGAAAGTTACACAAGTGGTATGGTCGTGGCTCGTGGCGATGCAAAAGGGCTCGGAAAGAAGGAAACGTGGACTTTGCTTTCCTTGATACTCTCAAAGAGGACTACCAAAATCGGATGATATTATCATGTTCGTCCCAATGCGCTGGTGGCTCTGCTCTTCCTGTGCATCCGCCTGTTGAAAGGAATGCATTAGAATGATCGGGCATATTAAAAGTTTGCATTAAAGCGCCAGCAAACACACACGTCATATCTTCAAGTCACCTTCATTCTTACTCTCCCACCCACTCTTGGCACAACATCTTAACCCATGTTGTTGATCATCTCGCTCACAATTTATCCGGACCCTATGTTTATCCTTCCCCGCGACGTTACTGGACGCTCCGCTTGCATCCCAGATTCGTTTGGATGAACACCTGCATACGGTTTCATTGTTATTTAAAGGTTACCCAATTTTTTTTAGGTTTTTTCATAGTTTTTTCTTTTGCATACTCGGGTAACTTGCGGTAAGTCTTTTGGAGAGCGTATTGTCTACCGGTTGCTTCGGACGTACCAGCTCAAGTGATTTGAATTCCATTATCCTTGGTTGACAGCTCAAGATGCTGGACATATGCAAGTAAGCCCCGCAGGTAAGATAAGGGGACATTCTTCTCACATAAATTGGGGAAACTGCTGTTCGTGAAACAAGTATGATTTTGAGGATTCTTTCTTGTCAGAAGTAGTAATGAATCTCTTCTTGTGGTCATTGTCTTTTGGGACTGTCTTTTCTGCTGCAATTTGTGACAATAGTTCGGGTCAAACAGCATGTGGTACAACATGTTGTGCCAGTAACCAATATTGCGAATCTGCCGGACAATGCCAAGCTATATCTTCAACAGCGACGACGCCTACATCAACTGTGCAAAATCCAGAAGGATTTACGACAAGTATTAGTATAAATGTTCAACGTAAGGTCTTGAGATTCGTTTCCAGTGTCAAATTCCCCCGAGCAATTCTAATTGTCATAACGCCTCATCTGTTTTCGTTCCTACGCTTAATCTCCAATGCTGGTAAGCCTTAGATCGATTCAACCATACTAACTCGTCTTCTTTAGAATTATGGGATCTATTTGTCGGTCCAGTAGAAACCGCAGCAACCAGGACAACCGTCTCCGCCACTCCCGTAGCAACATCCGAACTCATTCCTCCACCGCCGCTCTACTACCCATCTTTCCTAAGCGGTGCTCAAGTACCCTTAGTCGCAAAGAATGAATCCTGGAAATTTCCTTCAGGGTTTTGGTGGGGTGTAGCATCTGCAGCATATCAAGTTGAGGGTGCTGCTGCTGATGAAGGTAGAGGTCCTAGTGTTTGGGATGTATTTACACACAATGCTGCTTCAAAGTCGACTTTGTTTAACGATACCGGAGATGTTGCAGACAATCAATATTACTTATACAAACAAGGTGTGTCCACCCCTTTTGAGAATTGCGTTGGATTGCTGCCGATGCTAACTGGAATAGATATTGCAAGAATTGCAGCTCTTGGTGTACCATATTATTCATTTTCGATTTCTTGGTCTAGAGTTTTACCATTTGGAAAGGGACCAGTCAACGAACTTGCTCTGCAGCATTATGAAGATCTAATTGATACATGCATCGAATTTGGTATTCAACCTGTCGTTACATTATTCCACGTCAGTTTAATCCCTTCCGTCTCATCTTCGCCCCTAACATCACATCTTAGTGGGATCTTCCCCTATTTCTGCAAAATAGCTATGGTGGATGGCTTTCCCCAGACGTCATCGACGATTACGTTGCCTACGCCAAGATCATATTTTCCCGCTTCGGTAACAAAGTATCTCGCTGGTTCACAATGAACGAACCTCTAACGTTCTGCGACGAATATCCCTACGCATCCCACTATTTTACCGCAGTCACTATCCCTGAACAACAACAACCATACTACTGCGGTCACCATGTTTTACTCGCTCATGCAAAAGCCTATCGTCTCTTCAAATCCATGGGACTAAATGGAACAGTAAGTTTTAAAAATAACGGCGGCTACAAAGTCCCATTGACAAATTCGTCGGAAGATGCCGTAGCCGTGCAAAGAGCTTGGGATTTCAATGAAGGATGGTGGGCAAATCCGGTTTTTATCAACGGAGACTATCCAACCTATTTAAAATCCTATCTAGATACCATCGGGCTTACTTTCAACGATACTGAAAAAGCGTTGATCAATGGAACAGCTGATCTCTTCGCTCATGATGCATATAGCGCAAGCTATTACATGGCCCCTGATTCAGGAATAGATGCATGCACATCTAACTCTTCACACCCGTTATATCCCGGGTGTTATAACACTACAAATACCGGATATAATGGGTGGTTGATTGGACCTGCATCGGATCCTTTGTCGGAATGGTTGCATGATGCTGTGGATTGGCTCCCAGCGTTCTTGAAGTATATGCAGGATACTTGGCCTAGTAAGGGTGGAATTGCTATCTCAGAATTTGGGTGGGTCATTTGATTGCCGATTTTTTTACTCTTCACATCCCCCGCGGGCTCTAAATCATTTCATCAGTTCTTCTCTATTTCCATTGTCATCCTCCGCTACCCCCTCTACAGTCAAAACAAAAGCTAACTCCAACTCCTACAAACAACAGTTTCGCGGAGCCGTTTGAATATCAAAAAACCCTCCTCGCCGATATCCGTACGGATGTCAGGAGAACTCTATATTACAAACAATATATGGAAGCTGTATTAATGGCTATCAGCGAAGGAATTAATGTGGTAGGGTGTATAGCTTGGAGTCTTATGGATAATTTGGAATGGGCTCAGGGTGAGTTGACTTGTTCTTGCCTTTGGTTGTGTATTTTTGTTTCTGCATGGGAGACATGTGGTTTCTTGATATGGTGTTCGATCAGTGAGCCAGGCAGCCTTCGAGCCCAGCGCCCTGTAATCAAAGCTGAAGATTCACACTGCAGTAGCAGGTTCCCAAATTCAGCCCAATCAATGCTAATTTTCAAATACAGGTTACCACGTCAAGTTCGGGATGCAATATGTAAACTTTACCACGGGCGAACGAGCTTACAAAGCAAGCTTCTTTGAATATATCAACGCGTTCAAATTATATGCGGAGGATCCAGTTGTTCCTGTTTATGTTAAATAGATGGTAGCATGGGACTGGAACAAGATTGCAATGAGTGACTGGCGAGACCCCGGGGAAAAGCGGTGTCCAGATTGATGATATGAGAAATGAAAATAGAAGGATGTAGTATAAAATCACACAATAAGTATCAATATAAGATATATATCACTAGTTATCGAGCCAATGTTGCTAAAAATAACTATCCATTACCAGGATATTGAATGTGCGAAGCCTCCGTCCGACATTGGCATGGATGGTCAGGTATAAAATAGTTCAAAAGAAAGTATAAGACGAGGGGGAAGGTAGTCGAATGAAATCTTGTGAAGTGGTGAATATCGATGAATAAACTTGGTAGCTCTAAATAAATAAATAATAATAAATCGATCCGGTTCACTGGAAAAGAAAAGAAAAGAAATTGTAAAATGACAAAAATGAGATGATATTTAAAGGAAATATTCTTGTCCGAGGTTAGGGCCCTGCATTTTATAATGTGCCCCTTACCTCCATTTACATGCCGAGACCAAGTTGTGTCTTCGTGTCTCCATGATTACAGCTCATGGTCCCAACTATCCCATTTCTCCTCTACGAATTAACTCCCCCATGCTCCCAACGGTCATATCTCCCGGCCCGCCTCACCCCAAAACCACACCATCCAGAATAAATCCCTAAGAAATCTGCAACACCATCGGTCCTGCAACAGTAATAGCATCCGTCAGCACTCCCGTCGCAGGCATCTGATTCGCCAAATTCAAATATGCATCACCTGCCAACCCCTGAGGAACCGTACACGCCCCATTGGCAAAAGCCGTGAAAGCTGTTCCGCCAGCTTGTCCTCCATTTGTAAAAGCACAAGCTGTTGCTCCCTGCGCCGTCGTACTTAATTGGAGAGTTGAGCCGGCGGTAATAGCTTCATTTGCCGTCGTCATAGTGAGAGCCGGGAAGGGCGTAACGGCTAGATTGGAGCCTTGGGGACAAGATTGGATGAATGGGGCAGCGAGGGAAAAGACGTTGCGAATTCCGAGCGGAGTGTCGAAAGCGGATGGAACTGCTGCGACTTTGGAGGCGGTACGGATGAAAGTTTGATGACGACTTTCTACTGTGACGATCTCGGCTGCGACGGTCAAGATGGCTTTGCTACTTATTAATGGTGCTGCGCCCAAATAAGCACTCACGCCAATATTCTCGAGGACATTGGCTGTAGCGATCATGTTTTGGGCGGTGGTGAAGTTAAATTTATAGGTGCATGGAGCGACTGGTTGGGTGCCGCTTGCAGAGATAGCGGTCGTGAGGGTTGTTACGTGGGTTGCTTCGGTCATGCCGACCATTTTGAGATTGGTTATATCTTGCGCTGTGAGACCAAGTGCTGTGAAGTCTGAATCAGGAAATTTGGCGAAGCCTTGTTGGTAGAAGGCTGTTTCGAGGTTCTCGAGGGTAAGAGCGCTATGAGGTGTTAATTAGGATTTCTAGAGAATGTATGGAAGGCAGTAAGGATGAGGGGATAGACTCTCTTCTAGGTCACTGCCGTAAAAGGAGACTCATATCATATATGAATCTTTGAGTGTAGCTAGTGAAGGGGTCTGCTTGTCCCCATGTCATTTTCGACCTTCTCCCCATTCTCAACCACCACCCTTCAACGTAACCTAGGAGGTATATTTCGCATCGCTCTGCTTCCCAAAGAAAAAGAGACAAGAGACTATGCCTTCCTCGTCCCTAAAAGAAAAGAAAGAAAAGAAAGCGTACAATTGTAAAATATCCACATCGGTCAAATTAGCCGGTAATCCTGTATCCGTCACCTGTCTCTTGAAACTAATCTCATACATTTTCAACGCCCTCTCATTAAGTCTGGGAAGTGCCGGAAGAGCTGATGATACTGTCGCTGATGCGAAGATAGCTCCAATGATTTGTTTTAGTACTAGCATTTTGCTTGGGTATTTCGGTTTTGGGGTTCGTAGTTTGGTGATTGATTGGACTGGACTGGAACGGATAAAATAGAAATGGATGATGCACACAAGACCAGCCTGAGCTATTACAACTGTGTAAATTTAAATAAGAAAGATAATATATGATGACATGGAAGAGAGAATGAAATGAAATTAATAATGAAAGCAAACCAGTGCTTAAGGAATTAAAAATAAAGTAACTTGTTCGGAAAGAAAGTGATGCTATTCAAACCCTCCAAGAAGAAAAAAGACGATGAACTTTCATCTATTATGTATAACATCCCATAACAAACACCCAAGCACATCCACGCTTACAAACATCCAAGCATCCAAGCACACCAAGACAATGATAAGCTTCGGATCACCAATCTGATACTCACCCGTGAGCTTGTTGCAACAAAATCCTAAGGCGTATTTATTCTTGGCAGGAAGAAATATGAAAGTTCGAAATTCATATCGAACCCCCCCTTCGCCCCTTCACCCATTCCTCATGAATGATGTTTTAACCAACCAATCCGAGACCTTATATCCTTCAAAATATTCAATATATTCCGAATATTCCGTACCTTTATTTTTCATGAATAAATGGAAGAATATCCATCCGTTCGGTTGTGGATAAATAATGGGGTTCGCTTGTATCAGGTTTGTTTCGGGGTCTGTGAAGTTATCCTGATCCCTGATCTATATCGTCAGAGAATTGAGAGAAAGTTGTTTTGCGCCGAAAATTCAAAGATTTCCGTTGCATTTGCATTTGCATTGCATTTGCATTGATGAATGAGGTTATTGAGAGGAAGGAGCTAGATGGGATGCAAGATTGATAGGTACACCAGTATGATAGGTATGGTATTGTTAGGTTAGATATATAATGCAAGTATTCATCCGGATTCGTCCCTCACAGATATATTCCCACTTCCCACTAGAGTTTAAGGTTAAAGGTTATCCGCACTGTACTTTACTTGACATACCTACTTGCGCATGCATAATGCATGATGCATCATGTTTACATAATCCGACGCCTCGGCATCGAAGATACATAAGGTTACCAGGTACATCACTTCTTAAAAGAAAGGAGAACCCAGTGACTGATGTTTTTTCCGTTTTGACTTCCAATGAAGTTGTATCCTATCAAAGCTGCCTCATCGAATATACTCAGTCAATCAAGCATTAAGAAGCATATACGCCGCCCTGGATTCTCTGAGCGACCTCACCCGCCAAGCCGAATCTCGAAACCAAGGATCCATTTTATACACATCAAGGGGGAGCTACAGTAGAAGCCACACTGCTTGACATCATCACAGTATTTCCAAAAGTCGCTTTGCGTAAAATTCACACAATCTTCTCACGCTCACGCCAACATAATTGTGATTTCCTTTTCTCTCATTGAACTATAAATGCATCTGATACAGAAACGCTAGAGAGCAAAACGAAATATATTCGACCCTTAGTCCCACTCTCATCCGATATATCATCTTCCGAATCGAGAAAAGTTACACTGTCTTTCTTCACCCTATGTCCTTTCCTTCGTACATGTTTCGTTTCCATTCACTTTCACTTTTTCACTACATTAAACTAGACCGCTAACCATTTGATCCTCCTCAATAATTAATCCTTCATTCATTCATCCACCTTCCATGTCAAGTCCAACTTCCTGATTCTTCAATATGACAATCTGACAAAGAAGGAAAAAGAAAACCTTGTAGGGGATAGATCCTTAGTCGAGATGCTCGACGAATATAAGACAAGACAATGTGTTTCCTCCGCAATACTTCATAAGCCCAGCACGTAATTATTTGGTAGCGTCAAGAAATTTCAACATTATACCGAAGCCTCAAACCTTGGGTAAGATGATTTGCTGAAATGTCATTCAGAGTGCGTAAGGGTTGAGAGATCTGATCGTGAGACATCTATAATTTTGTTAGTTGATTGCCAAGCAGAAACGAAATTAAAGGTAAACATACGGTGGACTCTTGGTAAGATCAGTCTTCAGGATGACTGGAACTCTTGTCATTTCCTTAACATCTTGAATGTATTCACCATCTTCTTCACGAAGGGTGAAATACTTCAAGTACCTCTCCTTAGCGCTAAGCTTAGCTTCGACAGGTTCACCAGTTGGTACCTTGGAATCAGAACGGGTTCGGTGAAGATTGGTTGCAGCTGAGATGGAGTTCTTGGTTGGCGATGGTGGCACACTTTGAGTGGGGCGCTCCGCAAGAGAAACACCAGCAACACTACCAGCAATATCGGAAGCGTCATCGTCATCATCAAACAAGGCATCAACATCATCAGTTGACATGGTACCAGTTTCCATTGCCTTTCGTTGAGCTTCTTCATGCTCCTTCTTGGCTCTCTCAGCGACAGCGGCTTGCTTGGCAGCGGCGGCAGCATTTGTCGCTCTTTGAGATGCACCAGCCTTTGGACGTTCATCTTCTGGAACATATGCAGATGATGGCACACCCTTCTCCCAATACAATTCAAGAACTCTCTCATTCTTTCGGAATTCGGCTTTCTTGAGAGGAAGTTGATCGCAATGAACTCTCTTTTCAAAACCAAACTCTGGAATGAGAACATCGAAAGCAGATTCGTAGACGCAAACGACAATACCTTCACTGATGAGTTCACCACCAGCTTCTTCACGTTTTCTATCCATAATCCTGCAAGACTCAATGTGAACACTTTGTTCCTGAGCATTTTGAGCTGAATCCTTCTTGGTGTTGCAGGATTCAGTTGTCTTAACGAGCGTCTCGATATCTTCGTTGTACTCAATCTTGCCTTCAGAAAGAACAGCTTCGAGTTGACGATGAACAACCAAATCTGCATAACGACGAGATGGGTTGGTGAAATGAGTGTATAATGGTAAGTTAAGCGCGTAATGAGGGTAAAGATGGGGTTGGGTCTTTCCAGCGACAAAGTACTTGGCACGGTGCATGGATTTGACCAAAAGGGTTTCCATACCCTTGCGAATGTTGGTATCATCAACCTTGAAAAGACTGTTTTGAAGACGTCCACTGCTTGATGTGTCAATTTCGTAACCAATTTTATTCATGCGGTCAGCAAAGGTTTGAAGACGTCTTGTATTTGGTGGTCCTTGTCGACGAAGGAGTGCCTTTTCTGGCAGACCTTGATAGATCTTTTGCGCGACATAAGAGTTGGCCTTGTTCATCAATTCCTCGATCAATTCGTGGGATGGAGTGGAATCAAAGATGTTTTGTTCAACTGGAACGTTCTCATCATCTAATTGATAGACAAGTCTCAATGGTGCAATAGTCTCTCCATCTGAACCGAGGCGAGATTCGCGGAACTTTTGGGTGACAGCCTAGAGATATTAGCAACTGCCACGAATAGGCCTGTACAATCAAAACTCACATTGAGGATTTGGATATCCTTCACTTCAGCACCGTCAAGCTTGACATCAGTTTGACCAGAAAGAACAGCATCAACATCCTTGTACGTCAACTTTCCACCACTTTTGATGATGCTCTTTCCGATCCAGGTCTCGTCCTCGAAAACGATACCGGTTTGGGCGTTGACCTTGAAAACCACCGAGACGGTAAGACGATCTTGACCTGGAGTCAAGGAGCAAATTTCCGAGGCAATCTTAGGTGGCAGCATTGCACATGATCGGTTCATCAAATAAACAGCAGTTCCACGTTTGCGTGCCTCTCTATCAACCAAAGAGTTTGCCTTGATGAAATGAGCAACATCGGCAATGTGAATACCGATTTCAATCTTTCCATCGGCTTCAGTCTTGACGTGAATAGCATCATCAAGCTCATCAGCGCCATTGGGGTCAATGGTAAAGGTCTTCTCCTCTCGGAAATCACGTCTCGTGGAAATGGAAGTTTCATCTTCCTTCTCCAAAGACCAATCATCAAGACCAACGCTACGTGTGACAGCATCTGAAAATTCATCCGAAGCAAAGTTATTATCACGAAGAAGAGCATCAGTCTCGACCTTTAATTCTCCCATCTTTCCAAGTTGTTCCACGAGGGTACCGAACGGATGAAGAGAGGTAATTGGCCATCTCTTGATGCAAGCAACGAAGATACGATCGGCATAGTCTTGATGTTTGTCGACAAAGTCCCGTGGGGCTTGCTCGGTAGGGATGGCGATCAATGGAACACGCTTGTCAGTAGGTTTAAACCAAACAATCTTTGGCTTATCTTGTTGACGTTGTTCTTGATGACGACCGGAATTTCCATCACGTGCTTGACGTTCAGCTTCCTGCTTTTCCTTGGTAGCCTGACTAGAAGGTCTAAGAAGACCAAGAGTTCCAGAAAACATTTGCCCGGCAACACGTTCAATAACTGCGACAATGTGACCAGCGTAAAGTGGTTTCTGTTCATCGTTGACTTCCTCTTCCTCCACAAGTAAAAGACTTTGACCTTCCACTTCAACATCATCATTCTTCTTTTGAGTTGGTCGTTGTCTCAAGCTTCCACGTCTTCTCAAACCACCCTCTTGGTTTTGCTCATCTCCATTGGTAGAATTATCGCGGTGGTGATTTCGATCATTGTTTCCATTGGTCGATCCACCGGTTCTGGTGTCAGTGATGTCCTTACGCTTCTTCTTTTCCTCCTTCTCGCGTTTTTGTCCCCAAACTTCATCAACATCCAATAACTCAACGGCAACAAGATCTCCCTCCAAAGCACGGTTACGATCCTTGCTACCGCAAATGAAGATATCGGCATCGAGTAATCCATCGTGAGTCGTGACGTAAGCATCAGAACGATTCTTTTTGTTAACTCTCAAAATACCTGAAACGAGCTGACCATCGCCCAGAAGAGCTGGGAGGGTAGCCTGAGGAAGATAGGGAGTGAACAAGGTTTTACGTTGTTGCTGTTGTTGTTGCTGAGCATTGAGTTGTGGGGCATGCTGACTATTTTGCATACCCATTTGTCCACTTATTTGAGCAGCTTGTAATGCTTGAAGCTGATTGAGCTGTAAAGCATTTAACTGTTGACCATATAAACCTTGAGGGATAATCATCTGTCCTTGAGGCAGCTGAACCAACTGAGGTTGACCTTGATATTGAAATCCACCAATGTTGCTCATGGATTGATTGATAGATCCACGATTTCGGTGATTTGGTTGGAAACCACCTTGGTTTTGTTGACCTTGGAAGTTACCCATTTGTGGTTGTGGATCTTGAGGGGCAGCATTCTGAGGTACTTGATTTCTCCAGTTACCATCAAAGTTTCGGGAAGAGTTACGAGCATGTCCGCTTTGAGCACTGTTTCTTCTTCCAAATTCATTGTTTTGACCTGCGCTAGCATCTGTAGATCCTTGTGTTGATGGGAATTGAAATGAGCCACCACCTCGTTGGGATGATCCACCTCTACTATTTTGACTACCTCCCACAGCCATGCTTTGACTTCTACTATGAGTACCACGACCGCCGCGCGCAGCAGAGCTTGATGTCAAATGATTGCCGATAATTTGGGGAGGTTTATCGTCTCCAGGGCTGACATTTTCGGAGCTATCACCACCAGTTGATGTAGCACCGCCTGCACCAGGAATAGGAAATTGAAATCCAGAAGTCGTTCTCTTCTGTTGGGCGATCTCAGCTGCCTTTTTAGCTTCTGGTAATGCAAGAGAATGGCGTCTTTGATGACCACCACCTGGAGGGCCACCACCACGACCACCTCTCGTGGATTGATTCTCACCACGATTGCTATTCCCGCCAAAGTCTTGAGTGAACCCTTGACCAGCGGCTCCTGAAGATGGAGCTGGTGGTGGACCCGCTACATTCATCCCCATGTTTGGAAGTGCCGATTGATTACGACGATGTGAAAGAGGTTGTGTTGGAGCTCCCATTGGCACATTCATCTGTTGTGATTGTAATTGATTGGTGAATTGAAATGCATTCTGATTCTGCATTTGTTGTTGTTGTAAAGGATTGAAACCTTGGCCAGGAGTAGCAAGGTGTTGATTAGGAATAATTCCCATGTTAACATATTGTTGATGGGTAGCTTGAATCTGTTGTTGCTGTTGTTGTAAAAGCTCAATCTGTTGCTGAATAGCTAATTGTTCCACTGTTAGGAGAAGTAATGATTAGCATATGTATTGAAAGACGTATGAATTGAATTGAATGGAGGATGATTGTGAGATGGTTGCAGATTGATAGTGCCATGATCTAGTGAGGGGTTCCATCATAAAAGTAATAGATAAATGCATTGGCTTTATTTCTTTTTATCGAGGCTGATATTGGTTGCCGGATCTTGCAAAGAATGACGAATATACGTCACTAAATTCCGGAAGCCGTAGGAAGAACAGAAGGAAAGGTGGAAGACATACTACCAGGAGAAGAGAACATACTCATCAATGGAGTAAGTTCTGAAGGACTTCTTCGATGCGCGATATGTAACCTTCTTCCAGTTGGACCAGCTACACCAGCTTGAGGTGCTTGACCCTGCTGTTGTTGTTGTTGTTGTTGTTGTTGCTCCATGATGGAGGAAGTTGGTTACACGTCGAGTGTGCGATGACGATTCGAGAGAAGGAGAGTTGAATTGTGCGAATGTCCGTCAGCGTCGTACAGTACTATGTCTGAATGTGTGAATTGATTGTACCAAACAAATCCGAAGAGATGATTGTATTATCAAAAACAAAATGAAGTGTAAGCAAAAAAAGAGGGGAATTGATGTTGTACTCTCTTTGGAGAAATGTGGTTGTGAGTTGTGGGATGTGGGATGTGGGATGTGGTTGTGTGTAGATGAAGATGAAGATGGATGTAGTTGTAAAGTTGGCTTGATTTATGTGGAGGTTTATCTTTTGCTTTGGTAGCTAGCTTGGGAGGCGATTTAAGGTTGCGTGGCTGGGCTCTCCGTAGCTAGCAGGTAGTGAGTACTCGAGTAGAGTAGTGAGGAATGAGTAAGTAGAAAGTAGAAAGTAGAAAGTAGAAAGGAATTTTTAGATAAGGTTCACGCGTAGCTGGACACCCAGGTAGCTAATAGGATGATGCGAAAGGATGAAGGAGTGGTCCTCGAGTTTCTGTCTCTTTACTTTTTTTTTCTCTCGGGTGTGCTGATTGATTTCTTGGGATAGCTCTTGATGCACCTTGAGTTGGGAGTTTGGGAGTTTTGCAGTTTTGGAGCTTGGAGCTTCGGAGCTTTTGCTGTAGTAATAGCAAGGTACGGTATGGTATTATTGTCTTTGTTGACAATTAATAGGCCAATAGAATTTTGAAATTCCTGTATTTTTAATGAAGGGAGAGAATTGGGGTAGAAGAGAGAGAGAGAGAGAGAGAGAGAGTGAGTGTGAGGGGAAGTGAGAATAGGAACGAATTGTTGTTATTTATTATTTTTCTTGAATTCCTGACTGATGGCGGTTGGAGGAGTACGGATAGATGTAGTAGGAAGGTTTAGCAGGTAGGTAGGTTGGTGGACGTGGGTAGGTGGATGAGTGGGTGGATGAGTGGATGAGTGGGTGAGTGGGTGAGTGGGTGGATTTGATTAGAGGTGGAGCATCAACAATATCAATTGGGTAGGATGGATAGGAAAGAAGGAAGATGGAAAATGTATGATGTATCAGGTTTCGCTTTGGGTTTTGAGTTTTGCTTCTTCCTTGGTCCACCCGTGGTCCTTGATTGTATCGTCCGTTTGTAGATTAGAGAGATGGTTCGTGCCCTCGGTTTTTTTTTGGATTGACAGGTTGCTGAAAAGGCTTTGATGCAGCTTTTGCCATATACTAGACAAGTTAGCTATCAGCTCGTGAATTAAGCGCGTCGTGTATCTCTCCGGTAACATTCCGAATGTAATCGGGTTTTTCAATAAAGGAAGTTTAATGGAGGAGGGCCATTGGAAGTGTCAGAATATGTGATGTATGTGATGAGATGAGTCGATGAGCGATGAAGATTAAGATGGCAGATATATACGCAGGTATGATGTATTATTTATTGAATTTAATGAATTATTCAAAATATTAAAAGTAACCTTAGGTTGCTGGTATTGATATCATTCACAATTTGACATGATTGATACATGCAATATGATATGTATTGTCTTCAATTGAGGACCTAGATATTCACAGGTGTGATTTGATCAACTAGGTAGTCCGATACTCAACAGAGGGGTTAATGGTTAATGGTTAATGGTTAATGGTTAATGAGTGAGTGATCGACTACTTCGGAGGTAGGTAAATGAATTGAGTTTGAACTAATGAAATAGAATTGGCCTAGAATCCGCATTATTATTTTACTACATTCATTCCAAGGAGGAGAGCATGTGTTCATTCATTCGCATTCAGAGTTATCTACCAACTAAGATCTTACCTATCTTTCATCATCTTGGTAGTATCCCTCCCTATGCTGTAATCGGATTATAAGACCTATAAAGAAGTTGAAAAAATCACCCATCTAATATCACTGATGTATTATATAATCATATAATACATCAGCATGAGCTCCTACCCCAATGATTGTGCTCGGCATTGTCCATCTGGATTTTGGATCTTCCACCTCATACCTTGATTGCTGTCCACTCAGTCCCTTCACTCCCTTACAATAGCTTTCCAATTGTCAACGAGTATTTTGCTCATTACTCCTACCTCCTACCTAGTACTCCGTACATCGGTAAGATGGTAATACACCCACCTATCTATTGGTATCTACTCGTCCTCCTCCTCGACCCCATACACAAGCAAACCTCTTAGTCCATTCATGATAATTCATGATGAAGTCATATTTGTGTTGAATTCTATTCATTCCTTGAAAATTCTCGTACTAACGCCTGGCTCTGATTAATTCTTGTACTAACAGATGTATGTGCATACTACTAAAGGTCCTAGATAGGTTCATGAGTTGCGCACCATCATTCCTCTGATATCTTGACATGGACATGCTTTTCCTTGGCAGTATGAGAGTATCTCTGTACTCCAAGTATCTCTGTACTCCACATATATCTACAAATGAATGATGAAATTTATTCCATCTGTTACGTGTTCTCGGTCTTTGTGTGATTCTCTCTTCCTTTCATTGAATAGGATGCTACTATTACCTGGGGCTACATACACACTTGGCCGTTCATGCTCATGGCAACCCTTCCCTTGGAAAGTTTATTAGAGCTTTGAACTTCTTTCATACCTACTACTGGTGTCCCTACCTAGTGCGGATAGTAGCGAGGAGTCCTTTTTGTCTGACACCTTGTTCCTTGTCTTCTCTTTAACCATCATTTTTAGACTACGGCGTACTTTACCTGGATATGCCTATATGAAGGTAGCGAACTTCACTTCCTCATCGTCCTGGGGAGTACTGAAAATCGAAGTGCAAATCAAGGAAAAGAAGAAGAAGATAAAAGGAGAAGAACGAAGGAAAGGAAGTATGAACTCTTGAGGGCTCGATTAATCCCATTTATCTTACTGTATGTGGTTCTTGGAAGCTCTTTTTACTCTGTGCAATATCTACCGACCTACATACCTATAATAGGTAATGATGGTCTTGTTTCTTTTGTTCGCTCTCCCAACCAAGTCATAAAGATATATATATAGATATATATAGATATATCAGATATATCAGAGATGTCAGATCTTTACATAGACAAATCAAAGAAATTCGACAATCAATCATTTATATTTAGAAACAACCCTCAGTTCTTATCAATCCTTGCCTACATATATAAAACCCTTGTCAATCGATGCACAGCATTGACACCAACACTACCGGCTAACAGCAGAGCTTCCTTCCTGGCTGCACCTGCAGCTTCAAGCCTGTTCGCTTGACACACCGCCTTGGGCAGAAGCAAGCATCATGTGATTTATCAGGAAATCAATAATTCACTTCGAAATTAATCTAATATATATTATTTTTATACCAGAACAATCAATCTTTATCCAGCTTCAAAACTCTTGTGTTTTTTTCTTCTTGTACACTATCATCACAAACGTTCCTTTCTATAATCCTGATATTCTTGACACTCTTTTTATGCGGCTGCGAAAGAAACAATGGCTGCCAATCAATCTTCAAATGAGGAAGACGAAACCTTGAGAGCAAACTATAGTCTCATACCAGTACCTTCGGTTTATGAGCACGATATAAGATTCGACAATCGAAATGCCGAAGAACTGCACCATGGGATACTTGAAGCTGCGCGACGGGAACATGAAAGGGTTCGGAATGAAGCGGTGCGAATCTTTCAAATCACTCTTCTACAAGAACAACAACTTCGGGCACAGCTTGAAATTCAAGCGGAACAAGAAAGGTTAGAAATTGAAGAGACGCGCTTAAAAATTGAGGAAAATCGCGTCAAGACGGAAAGGCAAAATGCATTGGCAGAGATTAGGAGGAGGGAATTGGAAGAAGAAGCAAGAAGGATACCCGTCGTCCCTCCAAAACCTCCTACCCCGCCGCCAGCTGCACCACCTAGGGTTCCTGTTCAAATGACTTCGAATCCACCTCAGAATCAATTCCAAAATCCTCAACAGCAGCAGCAGGGAAATGGCAGTAGTGTGTTATTTGGCGCGCCAAGTCAACAAACGGATGGATCTGGACAAAGCAAACCTCAGCAAGCCAGTCCCTTTTCGCAACCTCAAACGCAACCTCAACTCCAACGGCAAACAAATGGATTTTCGAACGTTCAACAAGACCCTCCAAAACAATCATTGGCACAACCTGCACCTGCACCTCAACAACCTACCTCTACCAGGCAAGCTTCAGCTTCCTCCAGAGATCATCTATTGCCCGGCGTGGAACGTTATGTTGAAATTCACAAGAATCTCAAACAATTACGGCAGTACTTGGTAGCGGAAGGAAAACAAAATTTACCATTCAAGAGGATGTTGGGAGATTATCGAAGATCAATTCGGCAAACGGTTGGACAACTGACTGGTGAAAGAGGTGCGAATAAGGAGTGTGTGAGTTGTGCTCAGAATCATCAAAATGGATATTCATTAATATTTCGCAGATTAATAAAATCATCGATTTACTCACTCAATCTCTTCGTAAAGTTCAATCCCCAGGGATCGACCCTAGCAATTATATGGTCTCGAAACCAAATCCGATGGAAGGAGCTCAGAATAATGGAGATCAACTTCCGTCTCTTTTCATTTACCTCCTTAACTTTTTCTCCAAAGCCATTGTTTCCCAATTTACAACTGAAGCGGCGGTTCGACCAGAAACCGCAGACCCTGTTGGTGTCATCGCCGTGTCAATATTTGCCAGAACGGAATTCTTATGGAGGGGTACTTCATTAATCGATATCCTAATAGCAAAGATGCGAATCTCAATACCTATAATCTTCGGAGTTCGTGGAAATGAGAAAACAGAAGAAGGAAGAGCTCGAGTAGGATGGCAAAGGCTAGAGGATGGAGGTTGGATCGATGAACAAATTCATAACAATAGGATGATTGGGTTAGCCGCGGGCTATGCAGCAATTTCTTTGCGAGACTTTTCCAAAGTAAAACTCACGAATCCTTGGCCACCGACGAATTATTGGAGATCTATGGCTAGTATTGTGTCTACTCCAACGGAACAAGCTTCACCATCACAATATACGGTCCTACGATCCATGATTGAGGGTTGGGAACAGAGATTCATCGAATTGTATGGAGTTCAAGCAGTTGCTGCCCTGAGAGTTGCGTTAATTGATTTCCCAGCTCGCGCTCCCCCTTCAGCAAAAGTGGCTGCTGGGTCGTTGAGCGTTTTGGTTGACAAATTGGAAAGGGACAAAGGGCTAAGACTTGCATATTGAGCAATGGGAGTGCTTGTATAGTACGTTAATTAAAATAGGGGGAACGGCTTGGATATGTTTAAACAGGGGCTAACTAGCAATTGTGCTGGTGTTTTGCGTGCATGAGAGAGGCGTTATGGGAATAAAGTAGAGAGTACTTCGTATGTCAGCGTTGGGGAGAAATGGAGATGGACATGGAGCTATTCGAATTATATACCCACATGAGTAATAATTTATCCCACGAGCCTTTTCAGGTCCACGACTTGTGATGTTTGCATTGCTTGGTAGTTTTCCCCGCGTCCGCCTCGGAGAACTTAAGCAGGGGAGATTATGCATATGGGTAGCATGAGCTCTTGGCCTAGAGGTTTATATATCTTGATATGAAAATCTGATATTGCAAAGTTCTCAAAAGTTCTTTCTCTATTTTAAACAGTCGTCTTGATTCCAATCTGGTGTGTATTCAAACCTAACCAGCCATTATTACCCTCCTTTTCTCGTGTAATTATATCCATAATCTTACTCATATTGCCCGAACTTGGGTGTTCTTGATTTCTCTCCTGTACCTCTATACCTTGGATTCATCCACGGGATAGACCCCTCGTCTATATCACCATCATCTATCCCCTCCACATTCTAAGTATCCGTCTACTTTCAGCTCTTCCCCGTTTCCTATCTGTCTTTCATCCTCAGAAAATTTCACACTTCCTACCCTCCTTTCCTTTGCTCCATCGCATCCACTCCCTCCGCTTCTCCCTCTCTCCAAACTTCCGCACTTCCATCCCCGTCCTACTCTCCTGGAAATCGAAAAACATTCTCCCTCCCAAAATGTGTGGTATTACCTGCCAGATAAACTTTATCATGATCCATATCTACACATTTCATATTCCCTGTTTAATCTACATGAGAGCAGTGCATCTTTTTGTTATCAGTTGCGTTTCTTTACTTCATTGACCGAGTACTATGAGCTTATTTGAAAAGACATAGGGTTAAAAGAAGGTAGGAGGAGAGCGGAAGGTAAATAGTGGGTGGTGGTGATCGGTGATGGGGCAGAATAATGAACATAGAGGGCTGAGAATGAAATGTGAGTGGAATAAGGAGAAGCGCGGAGGCAAAGGGGAAGAGGGGAGAGAAGGAGGGCAAAAGAAGATAAACATACTTCAGGTCGTGTCGGAATCGGTAAAACATCTACCAATCTACAAACAATGTTATCGCCCCATGTTTCATCGAAGAAACCGAAAGGTTTGTCGAGAAGTGTTGTGATGCATTCAAAATCACCAAGTTCTGGACTAGCTATAGCATGTTTCTTCATTTCTCTGCCCTTCCCTTCATTTCCTTTCCTTTCCAGCTTTTTCAAAACACCCCCCACCTACTATTCTCCATTTTTGTAAATTTCCGGTTCATCAAATCAACCAGCGCAAATTATTTGATACCAAAACACAATGTAACTGCAGGCCTAATAAGGACAAACAAAAAGTAACACGCTTTCCATAAACCTGGATTTCCCATGCACATCTCGCCTGTGTCTAAGTACAGAGATTCGACACGTCGTCAAAAATATCAATGTCTATCTTACATCCACGCCCGCATATTTCGCAAACTAGAGGGAAACACCAGGAAATTTTGCATGATAGTAAGGAACAACACCCGTGTTATCAAACCTCCACAAAGCAATTTCTTTTATTTTCTTACGTATTGTCCGTTAATCGCAGAGCCCGGGTGAACAACCGTGGTATTGAGGTAGATCGCGGTGCTGGCTATTTCAGAACAGCCGGAGATGAGGAAAAAGAGCTTGTAGGAGGTGAAGATACAGTAGTTGGCACTCATAATTGTAGTTAAGGGGTTCGTTCATGCGGAATGTGGTGACCGGAATAGGGGACTGAGGACTGGGGGGCTGGGGGCCTGGAGCCTGGAACCTAGAATCTGGTTTTGAGAATAGAAATATAGAGCTTAGGGGATACCTACGTAGAATTCCGACTCTTGTTTGGTCCGAAATCGAAGAAAGAGCGAAGAATATTCGGTAGAGTCATCGAAACTGGTAAAATTCTTCTAATCTAGACTGCAGTCCAAATTCCCTAGCTTTGGAACTGAGGAGCATCTTTGAGCACTCGTTGACTTTCTTAATTGATTCAACCTTCAAAACAAGCTCAACATTTATCAACTCCAAACCCAAATCCCAATGAATAGCTCGTAATTGAACCGCAATTTTGACTACAGAAAACCATGAATGAATGTGGAAAAGATGCTATAAACTTACCATTTCCACTAAAGCGTCCATAGAAAATTGCCCCAGGATCCATGAGCAAGAATGGGAAAGTTATTGGGGTAGATCGTTGTGGTATACATTTTACTTATGCCGAGTTACGGGGTCCGGTTAGCGATGAAAAATGATCTAGTCTAACTACATATGGATGTGGCTAGAATGTAGACATGGGCAACCCTACCTGACTATTTGACCCCCATATGGTATTCACCCTACCCGCAGAGGTAGAGCAGGGTGGTCATCCGGCAGGTCCCACCCAGGGTAAGCCGGGGTATGCCCTACCCTTTGCCCAACCCTGCTAGAATCAAATGAAACGACGACAGTATGAGTTCGTGATACCGCTTCTGACCTCACCACCTGGCAAGGAGTAACACCAATATGTGATGGGAAAAACGAGAAGGGGGTATTCAAGGCCGACAACATTCCGACACGTCAATACTCAAACTCAGTTGGACTGAGCATAGTAAGCACTTGTACCCTCGATCAAAGTTCAATGGGCTGAGATGTGACACGTCTCATCAACTACCCAGGGATATACTGCGGGTAAAGTGTTAGGTCACTGTGTCATGTATGCGAAAGGGTATGCACATAATTGACGTTGGAGTTTGGACGCAGAAATGGAGGCTTCAAAATGATAGATTTGTTTCAGGGCTGAGCCTCAGAGCTTGGATGCAACGGAAACGGCCTCGAATCGAGCTCAGAAGATAGAACTCTGCAGTGGTGGCAGAATGTTGCCACAGGAAGTGCTTGATTGCTAGTCTCCTAGACCTCCCTCCCAACCTCGAAACCTCAATCTGTGAAAGTATCTCAGATTAACAACATTCAATACCTTTAGAACCCCGGTCGCTCTCATTTACACCAAAACACTAAGCATTGATATTGAATATGGGAATGGCTGCAGATACTCATACCAGCAATTCAGATGTTGGCTCACCCCAAGGCTTAAAATTTCCTTACATTGAACCAATCCTGGAGACCGCCATCACTTCTCTAGACCGGTCAAGGCATCCTCTTAAGATGATGAAAAAGTAGAAAATTTCCCTTCTGAAGTGTCCACTCCCACAAAGAATAGAGGTTTCTCAAAAGATTTTGAATGGGTCAGATAGATTTCCTTCTAATTTTTTAAGGCGGTACCATTTTGATTTGGGGGTACATCACCGCTCGTCAAGATGGTACGATATGATGAGCGGTCACTAAAAATCATCAGTGAGTGTCTCCCCGCACTGGGGAGTAAAAAAGGCAAAACCTAGGCCACTCCGAAGACTTCCGGGGTATTGACAACGGAGCGTCCGGATAATAAATGAATGGCGGAGAAATTTCACATACTCACGGAAAATCTGCATAACACCAAACTTTCAGAACTCTGAGGATAGATTACTGTGTATTTGATTCAGCGGTGGGAGGCGATTCAGGACGACCGAGAACTGGCGGGCATTATGGCCAAATTTTGGATGTCCCGTTATTGTCTCGGTTTGCACGGGTGGCACAAACTCAATGACGAGGACTGCAGGTTCGAGAGTCTTTGTTGTAGTCGATGGCTGGCTACAATAAAATCAATGAACTTCCATGCAATTTCCTTTCATCCCGTGAAGATTTTTGGTGGTTTTAGCATGTTCCAGGAATTTAAGTTGTGCCCGTTCTTGAGATTTGATGTAACTCTTATGATTGAATTCGACCATCTTTGCTCTGATTGTTACATACCTTGCACTTAAAAGTGCTTTCACTTAGAGCACCTGCAATTGGTATAATTTGCACCTTGGCTCTTGAAAGGGTGTGGTACTTCAACTCCCTCCCGTCCATCCCGCGGCGTGTAGGGGTCGTGGCGACAGGAAGTAAGAACATGATTGACTTGCATTTTAGAGGTCTGATTGCAAAGCATGTTGACAGTGAAGCTGCACTCGAGGGTTATAATGAACGAGAGATCAGGTAGGTTGACTGATATCTACGGTAAAGCAACGACAAAGTTATATTTAGACTAATTTTCGGCCGATTATCACATGACCATGATTCGTAACTGATGCAACGGGTTTGAAGCTCAATGCATTGGATTGTGGCATGACGGAAAGATGCAAGGGTGGAATGAAATGCTGGTACAAATGGTCAAAATATCAATCCCGCATCAAATACCGAGCCTACCAGATCTCCTTTTCTATGGAATTCTCCATGTCGTCAACTATACTCAGTAAACCCCGTTAACCCCAATGTAAAGATGTTCTGTATTCTCGGCGTTAATGTGTGCAAAAAAACTTCGAACGGGATTAGATCAAGGTTACGAACTCTTGTCATTTTTCTGATGCAAATTTTTCAGGGGTCGGAAACAACCAAGTTTAGCGGATCGGACTTATTTTCATTACTTTTCCTTACGAAATTTACATCATCGGCCGAAAAGTTTCTCCACAAAAAGATGAACGAACTACAGAACAAAATCCGTCGAGTCTTGACTCTTGACTTGATATCCAAAGGCAAAGAGCGGGCTTGCCATTATTACGATTCCGCTTGAAACTTGTCCATGTCCTTCTAGTGAGTATGATTATAAATCCAATGGAGCTTGTCCGGAAGAGGAAATCTTGGACAACTTCGCTTTCATCTAGCGACGTTTTTCTATTGTGTTCGATGATGACTATAGCTGTAGAAAATGTACAAGCTAGTTCATGACTATAGCTGTAGAAAATGTACAAGCTAGTTCATGACTATAGCTGTAGAAAATGTACAAGCTAGTTCATGACTACTCGTAGGTCCTGTCCAATCGATTCCATCCTTTTCCAATTTCAGAGCTTGATCCTATATCCTATATCCTATATCCTTGACCATTGTCGATGGCTCAAGCGCGAAGCCTAAAACTATGAACACGTCCGAAGAAAGATCCAATTAATTCTTATCTACCCCCCTATCATGTCTCCACCTATTTTGTATGGGTTCGAGACAATGACATGTTCAAATGAGAGGAGCAACTATAAAGTCCTCGAGTTGGACCATCTTTTCCAACACTTCTTCATCACATCATAACCGAATACACTTTCACACATCACAACCTAACAAGCAAATAATCAAACATTCCACAAAATGTCTACAGATTACAAGTTCCAAGGATGGTTGGGTCTCGACGCCGAATCCGCCAATGGAAAGATGGTTTGGCAAGAGTATGAGCCTAAGCCATTCGAAGAGACAGACGTCGATATTAAGATCACTCACTGTGGTATCTGTGGCTCAGACATACACACTTTGAGATCCGGATGGGGTGCATCAAATTACCCAGTCTGTGTTGGTCATGAAATCGTTGGAAAGGCTATTAGAGTCGGTTCTAAAGTTAAGGACATTAAGGTTGGAGATCGCGTTGGTGTTGGTGCTCAAAGTGGTTCTTGTATGAACCAGAAGGGTGATTGTGAAGCTTGTGCTGACAAGTAGGTCTGATTCTTTTCAGAATGGTGAGATGAAACTAACGTACCTAGTCATCAAAATTACTGCCCTCACGGCACCAGTACTTACAACAGCAAATGGCCGAATGGAAGCAAAGCATACGGAGGTTATGCTGATTACTGGCGCGGAAGTGGTGACTTTGTGCTCAAGATCCCAGATTCAATCTCATCCGATGTTGCAGCTCCCATGCTTTGTGGTGGTATCACTGCTTTCTCGCCACTTGTACAGAATGGGGCTGGACCCGGGAAGAGTGTCGCCATCGTTGGAATTGGTGGTTTAGGACATTTCGGTATTATGGGCGCAAAGGCTTTGGGTTGTGATGAAATCACAGCTATTTCCAGAACTTCCGCAAAGAAGGAAGATGCCTTCAAAATGGGCGCCACTAGATTCATTGGTGAGTTTGGATTGTTTTCCTCAACCAAATGGAGATACTAACGAATAAACGTATAGCCACCGATGAAGAGCCAAATTGGGCCACAAAATACGCAAACTCCCTAGATCTCATCGTCAGCACTGTCTCCTCGCCAAAACTTCCACTTCAAGGCTACCTTAACCTTCTCAGATATCAAGGTAAATTCGTCCAAGTTGGTGCGCCCGAAGATACCATTCCTGGATTCAACAGTAAGTCAAAATTTCCTTCCATCCTAGGCATTGTGTTGACATAAATCAGTGTTCTCTCTCATTCTCAAGAATCTTACCATTGGTGCATCACTCATTGGTCCCCCACATGAAATTAGAGACATGTTGGCACTTTTCGCCGAAAAGGGCGTCAAGACCTGGGTCAACAATGTTCCAATGAAGGATGCCAACCAAGCTATTGTTGATATGGAGGAAGGAAAGGCGAGATACAGATATGTTTTGGTCAACGAGAAGCACATTGATGCTTAGGTTTTGTAAGGATATTTTTGGAAAGTCCGGAAAGTTGGGAAAGTTTATAGCGTTGAAATTGAAAAGAATTATCACACTCTAATTGATGACCAGACTTGCATGCTCATATTGCTCACTCGGTTGTTGTGAAATGCATGTCAGCCCTGAAGAATAGGATTGGGAACAAGGTTTTCAAGGTCCGCAGTCACGGTTTTTGATCCTTAGATTTTTCTAGGAGGTTGAAACAATTTGGCATTTTTTAATTCACGGCGATATTCCAACTTTCTTCACACATTCAAAACTTTCTTATTGTATCCTTTAATATGGATTACCGAACAAGCAATTTTGAGAAGATGTTGCATTCAAAAAACAATTAGAAGCATTATGATATATATAGGTAGTTTATGAACGCACCGAGCTTTGAGCGATGGAGATGTTTACTCTGCGAAGTTTGATGATATCAGCATTCACTTGACAATCACTTGAAACAATAGTCACGCGGAACATAGGCATTATCCGTATCCTAGCGAGATCATCACTTTCACCTTTTTCCTCTCACATTTTCTTACATTTTTCTACATTCAATTTTTCAACACTCTTATCTATTCCTAGACAGCGACGGCAACAACAATAACAGCAGAAGTAAAAACTCAGAAAGATTCACAAAACTGTGTGCTCTCAAGATCAATTCTTCTTCTTAGCTCCTCTCTTTCTTTTAACTCCTCTCTGCCTCTTAACTTTTCTCTGTCTCTTAACTCGTCTCTTCTTCTTGACTCTCCTCTTCCTTCTTATTTCTTAGCTATTATATAGTTTTTCTCTTTTCAACACCTCGCTACTCTCAATCAATTCATCCTCTTAACTCCCCCTCTTCTTCTTGACTCTCCTTCTCTCTTCAATTCTTCCTTGTCATTTCTTAGTCCTTTTTTCGATACTTCGCCGTTCCCAATCAAAATCTCACTTTCGACAATTACTAGTCAATTTTGTAAAGCTTTTTATTTTGATCTTTCCACTAACTATCATAGATATCCTCTACATCTCAAGACCTGATTCGAACAATCGTTACACACGTCAAATTTCGACACATGTCAGATCAACTGGATAAGTTGTTTCCCGACGGTATACCAACGTCTGGATATTCGAAATATGAATTACCAAGCACGCGTAGGACTAAGAACGAATTCGATTCTGAAAATACGAAGCCAAAATCTCATGATGAGAATGATATCCCGCCTCTTATACCATTCGCACACCTATCTTCTGGTGCGTTGTTCGGATACGATGGTCCCCCAAAACATGGGCTTTTTGCACCTCAACACTTAACATGTTCTTTACATGGTTGGAAAGATGTAGATGGAGTCAGCATTCCATTTTTCTCTGTCCTTATTCGCCACGCCCGCTCTTGGCTTTTAATTTCCCGTGGAAGAGCTATGCCATCAATTGTTAATCTACAAAAGGAGCACCCCGAGTTTTCTGATCGATATGCCATTACTATTACTGGACCTACATCAAATCGTTGGGGGAAACGTGAATTCACGGTCCTTCATTTCAATACCAAACCGCACATAAGTTCGTAATTAATCCAAACATTAATGAGACATTGCTAACTCAGGTAGACGTTAGAAGTGAGCGGAGTTTATTGGATCTTCATGCTCTTATGAGTTTTGGTCAGGATTATAAAGTATACATCGAAAGCAAGCGGTTTTACAAAGACGAACATATTGATGTCTGGTTTACTAAGTGGTTGAAAAATCATCCTGATCTAGTATCTCATCAATCAAAAAAGAGAAAGCAATCGAACTTCTCACCTTGTACAATTTCTCCTTATACAAAGCGTAGAGAAACTTCCTTCCCTACACTGGATAAGGCTCTAGATTCCAGATCGGATGAGTCTGCAAAGCTTACTAGTCCTGGGGTACTAACTCGGTTTTTATTTCTTCTAACTCCGCTGACCATTCTCTAGGTTCGTCGACTTATGTATAAACTATACAATGATAAATATACAAAGAAGAGGCTGGTGGAAGTGGTAATGAGAGACGCTGGGTTTCATCTGGCGGGTAGTGAGCCTGTAGTATTGAGCTTGAAGGTAAATTATAATTTTAGCTCCTAATTAGTATTATAAGGATTTTTTTGGTGGTCACTACTGGTGGTGATCATTTTTGATAGGGGGGTGGTGATCACACAAAAAAGTAAATATAATCACCACCCCGAAATCGATCAATTTAAGAGATATTTTAAAATTTAAAAAAGAAAAAGTTAATAAAATTAATTAATAAATTGGAATATTTAATTAAAATTGAATTATTTGTATTATTTGTGTAACGGTACTGATTTTGTTAATAAATTATAATAAGAAATCATAAAGGAGTTAAAACCATTTTTCGATATAGAATAAATTTATAAGGTAGTAGTGATTATATAAAATATTGATTAGGAGATGATAACTATACAAAATATTGATTAGGGGATAATGATTATACAAAATATTGATTAGAGGATAATAATTATACAAAATATCGATTATAGAAGTAATAATTATATAAAATATTAATCTAAATAAGAATTATTGTATTATATAATAAATATAATTATTATATTAGATTGAAAAAGATATTATATGAAATAATTGTTATATTGTATATATAATAATATAATTATTATATTAAATGATTATTATATTATATATATAATGATATAATTATAATAATAATAGTTGTAATAATAAAAATTGTAATAATAATTATAATAATGATAATAATGATTGTAATAGTAATTGTAGTATTAATTAAGATTGTAATTGAGATTGTAATTGTAATTATAATAATAATTGTAATAATAATTTTAATAATGATTATAATAGTAATAATTAAAATTATAATTAAATTTATGATTATAATTATAATAATAATTATAGTAACAATTTAAATTATAATTATAATAGTAATAATTATAATAATAATTGTAGTAGTAATTATAATAATGATTGATTATTATAATATATATATTACGATTTATAATTTTCATTATAATAGTATTATTGATATCAGTGATTTATATATTGATTATAGGGGGGGTATGATTTAATCGTTACTTTCGGGGGTTTTGATTATCTAAGTCTGGGATTCTAAGATTTCTAGAATAAGTATTTTAAATAATTATAATAGAATAAAACAAGTGTTTTATTTAATTGATTGAAATAGAATAATTATTCTAAAGGATATTATATTTTAAGATTATAATTCTTGAAGAAAAACTTTTAGAATAAATGTTTTAAAAAAGGAAAGATTTTAGGATAGAAAAGGTTTTAAAATTAATTATATAATATATTAATTCTATTCGTTAGTTAGTAAAATTAGTATCATAGGGTTAGGGTTAGGGTTAGGGTTAGGGTTAGGGTTAGGGTTAGGGTTAGGGTTAGGGTTAGGGTTAGGGTTAGGGTTAGGGTTAGGGTTAGGGTTAGGGTTAGGGTTGG